CGTCGAAGTGCGACTAATGAGTTTATTCGTCGTCTTCCTCGCCGCCTCCTTAAGCTGCTGCGCCAGACTCGACGCATGTGACGTCTCCCTCACCGGCTCATCAGAGGAATCCATATCGACAGGCGAGGAAACCTGCGTCTGCCCGGGCGACGGCTGGTGCAGCGGCGTCGACGTATCGCTCAGCCTTGGCGTCGTCGCACTGGACGCTGCCTGCTGACCACCTGCGTGCACATGCCGCGAGTACGTGATCCAGACCGCGTAGACGACTTCGGAGCGGCGGATATACTCTTCTCCTTCTTCGAGGATCACGTGCTCGTCTATGGGGGTCTGCTTCTCGCTCTGGACGACGCGCATTTGGAGGTCGATTTTGATCTCGGAGCCGTCGCGGTGTTTTGCTGCGATGCCGTCGGGGCGGAGGAAATACGCTGCCGCGTCGCCTTTTCCGTCTTGCAGTGCAGCGAACGCCCGAGCGCGGCGGAAACTCTGCTCGGGCACTACGCTGCCGTCGACTAGCTGGATATTGTCGTCCTCAGTGAGGATCTTCAGGATACGATCGAAACCCGGGATCAAATCAGTGATGTGCAGTCTGTCCGGATGATCCTGGCCGAACAGCGCAGCGCAGAAGACCGAGTTAGCGCTAGTGATCTGTAGCGTATCGGCCGACAGCACCACGATTCCCGCGATATGTGGGAAGCTCGAGACCCGGAGATCCGTGCCGCCCGGCACCCGCTCAATCGCCACCGGCACATTCGCAGCATTATTATTTCGCGCTGTGAAAAACCTTTGCTTCGTGACCTCGGCATAGTCTAGTGCGCCCGTCCTGGGATTGATGCCCTGCCGGGGTATCCGGGGGATGAGAGTCCCGATGTCGACGCCGGGTTGCGCTAACGATTCGCCCCATATTGGCACGGAGGGACCTTCGACTCCGGTTACTACTCCGTCGCTGTCTATGCGGAGGATGGCGACGTCTTCGTGGATTTCTTCGAGGACCCAGATCAGGCCGCCTTTCTTCTCTTTGACCCACAGACTGGCAGATCCGGTGTGGCCGTTCCGCTTCTGGATGGGAACGACGTCTCCACAGAGTAGAACACCTCTGGACTTGTTATTCGCGTGATTGAGCCCCATTTTGCCTGCCTGCTTTCGAGCAGCAGCGACGGATGATCCAGCACCATCATCCGTCTGAGTCCTTCGGCTCTCCTTAACCTGCCTCGAGGAAGGTTTGTTCAGCAGCGCAGCCGTAATTCCACCTCTCCCCAGTAAAAATGACGTAGTTGACCTCGGGGTATCCTGCTGGTTATTTGCATTCGACGCCTGGCGGCTCTTATGCTCTGCTTCCGATCCCGGCATTGCCAGTTTCTCCTCTAGCCACGCTCTGCGTTCTTCCCTAACCACCTCCATAATACCCATCTTCCTGACCTCCGCATTCGTGACCCCAAAAACAAGGCAGGCGAGATCGTTTGCAGCCAGAATCGTCCATGGCGCTTGTGATTGAGTTGTGAAGATGGCTTGTGCCGCTGGCGCCCATCGATTTGAATGGCCATGGACAGCGCCGGCAACGTGAGGTTCACTTAATCCGTATGTCGGTGAAGTTCCGTAATGAGACCTCTGCTGTGCATCGAGATAAGGTGAAATCAACGGAGCCTGCTGAGGAGCGTTAAACGCGCCTTGGGGTAAAGGTGGTGAGAGCATCCTCCCATTGCCATATTTGTCGTTTGCAAGGTATGGCTGCTGGACCATGGCGTCAACAACCGTACTTCGTAACCGCGAGGGACTTGTGTCGGTGAATGATCGTAGGTAGCCAGGTCTAACAGGTGCCGGTGCCATGAAGACGTCTGTCGAAAAGCTTTCGCCAGTGGTCGTCCGCGAAAGTACGTCCGAATATCCCTCCGACGGCGCCACATCGCTGGCCTCCTGCTGGGACCTTCTCGAGTGTGTTGGCGATAAGGGAGCCATCTCATCTGGACTCTCGGAGCGCTGGCCGTAGCTTTTCTCAAACACATTGTCGTTATCGAACTGAGGTGGGGGGCTTGACACCAGCCCTCCCATGAAACCAAACCCATTCACCTCTCCCGCCTCATCTGCTCTCGGAATCTTCGCCCTTGCTTCAGAGTCTAACCCGCCCTGGCCATCCTGATCCCCCAGTGTGCGCGGTGTCACGCTGGCAAGGGAAACCTGGGAGCCTCCATGTCGACTTATAGATTTTGTCATAAATTCTATCGATCTCTTCAGCACGTTCTGGCGGTTGTGCATAAAATCTTCGGTCGACTGGTGGGCGAAGGAGAAGGAGTGTAGCGACTCCGAGGGAAATCTCGTGAGATCTTCCGTGAAGTTCATCGTTGGCGAGGATGGGGCGGTGGATAGAGCACCATAGGAGCTCTTTCGAGACTCCGAGTGTGTGGTAGTGATAATCGGTGCCGTCCGTGGCCCCAACGAGGGAGCGCGAGAGGAGCTCGCAGAGGATATAGTTGCAACTCTCGAAGGTGGTTGCTGGCGAATTCGTCTTAGACCGGAGGCACCAAGGCCGTGCTCATGGTCTGTCATAACGGAAGACCTGGATTTAAAACCGTCAATTACCATAATTCGTAAAACATCCTTGACCACTGTGCACAGTGATGGATATAGCATCAACCCCACCACTACCGCGTCTATCCATAGCCGAGTTAAAGCTCACCTGGAAAGGGTATCGTAGTCGTGGGCCCCACCATCGAAGGAAAAGCGTATCCTGCCCTTGTCCTTGTTCGCAGTGCCCTGGGAGAGGAGGTTGCTGGTACTCCGGTTCTTTGGGAGGTTGAGACTATTCGTATGTGTGAGGGTGTTCGTATCGTGGTCTGCGTACTCGGGGGTATTGCCTCTTCTCCCTCGCTCTGGGGATCGTGGATATACGTCGTCGCCTGGGATCGTTAGTTAGCCGGGGTGTTCAGAGAGGAGACAGGCAGTGGCGAGAAGCTGCCCGCGTCTCTGCTGCCTGGGCAGAAGGCGTCCAGTCCACAGCTTAATCGCCCAACCAGGAAATCACCAGGGTTGTCGCGAACATACCATCGTGTTTCGGCGCGTTTGACCCCAGCATAACTGCTCGGTCTGCGTGGGGGCGCAAAGCAAACAGACTGCGAACCGGGCCGGCGATCGCAGATTCCGACGCGCTGGTGCTGCAGGCTGGCTAATTGTTATAGGCTGCTTCGAAGTGCTTGCTCCCTCGGGGAGGGGCGCTCTGGCAAAGGTGAGCGCGGCGGCGGGGGAAAGAGGACGTGCGTGTGCAGGGCAACGTCGGCGGCGGCAGTTGAGCTCGTATTGCGTCACTGTTCTTGGTATTGAGAATGAGGCGCGGTCAGGGCGTCGGCGGGGGATCGACGGGGGGACGTTTTGAGCGGGAGGGCGGCACCGTCTGTGGCAACGTCGATCGAGGGGGTGTACGTGGTGTTTACGTCTTCACCGGCGGGCGGCGTGGTGAGGAGAGGGGTCGGGGGGCAAAGTGGTGGTTGTTGGCCGGTGTCGAAGCAATTCCAAATACGCTTAGCTTCTCCCACCGAAAAAGGACGGCGAGTTTCACGATGATTTGAGACAGGTACAGTGGCCTGTTGGGGGGATGGGATTTCAACAAAAGAGATGGAGCAGAGTCTTGGGAAAATAGAAATTAGAGAAAGTGAGCGCCGGGCTGGGAATTTGCTTCTTCCTCTTTTTGCCCTCAGCGACTCGGACTGGGATTGTTGTGAAGGGGAAGGAGATGGGATCTACGTGGTGAAAGTCGAAAAAATGAGTTTGGGTGCTGCAGCTATGGAGTTAGTAGAGTAGGACTACGGAGGGCGATTTCGCAGCGAACGCAGACGACGGACGCGGGCTTGCCGTTGGCCGGGTGGGCGGTGGACTGACTGGTGGGGTGGGGTGAGGGCAGCACGGCGAAGCTTAAACGGAGGTTGAGTGTCATATTTATTATATATTTTTTAGGTTTTTATGGAAAAATAATTTGTTTTTTGATTATTTTTAATAATTATGGTATTTATGGTAATTTTGGGGTAGTATTGGGGTAGGATGGTATTTATTGTTATGGTATGATATTTTAAGTGGCTTTTTTAAATAATGGGGAAACAGCTGGTGATTGGAATAGGCCAGAGCCTGTTAGATCGTTGATCTCCTACATCTGTCTTTCTATTCGCGAGAGTCGAGTGCTAGACTAGATGGACAAAGGAAGCAAGTTTCTTGTGCATCATATGGCATTGTTTGTTGTGATTCTAGTCATGTGGGTAGTTTGTTGTACGTATGTGTGGTGTATGTGTGGTGTATGTGTGGTGTATGGGGTTTGTGTGTGGGGTGGGGTGTGTATGGTGACTCTAGAGTGTCTGTGTGTGGTGGAGAGGGTAGTAGAGTGATAGTAGGAGAGGATATGGTTGGTAGTAGAGTTTGTAGTAGAGTATATGGCAGTAGAGTATATGGTAGTAGAGTTGGTAGTAAAGTTAGTAGTAGAGTTGGTAGTAGAGTTGGTAGTAGCAGAGTGGTAGAGGTAGAGAGGGAGTATCGTCTATAAGTATCATATCATAGCAAAATGAGAGAAAGGTACCTCCGCTCTTTACTGTACTCTGTATCTACTACCACCCACCGTATAACGTATAAGTTTCTCCGTCGTTCCGGGAGGATGATCCGGCCGGCAGTACTAAAATACTACTACTAAAATACCACCCACACTGTAAAAAGTATAGTACAAAAATATACTCGTATCGCGATAAGAACGACAGTACTCTATCCTGCTATCCCATAGTAATGGATACTGGTAGTAGTAAGAATAGAATATGTACCCCACACTCACATAACCCACTCTACTACCACTACTATCACCGCTTATCCATCTCTTATCCACTCCCACCACTCCCACCTCCCACCACTAACCACCACCAACCCCTCCATCCATTCCCCCTCTCCTCCCTCCTCTCCCTCTTCTAATCCACTACATCCACCCCTTCCACCATACTACATCCACCCCTTCTTCCCCTCCTTTCCCCCCTCCTTCCCCCCTCCTTCCCCCCTCGTTAGCCTCTCACGGCTCTTTCCTCTTTTACAAATAGAATCACCGAACCACAGAACCAAAGAAATATCCCCATACTGTACCGAACTCTACCAAACTCTACCAAACTCTACCACACAAACATATACGAAAAACCATACGAAGCCTATACGAAGCCCATACACAGCCTTCCTCACTCCATCCACACACACAGACACATCCCTCCTCCCGTCCATTCCACCACACCCATCCACCCAATAACCACTCGACAACTCTTCTCAACCATCCACTCACACCCACTCACACACCATTCACACCCTCTCAACACACGCCATTCACCCGCCATCCTCCCGCCATCCTTCCGTTATTCACACCCCCCCCATCCGTCCCCTCTGTCCCCTCGGTCCCCTCTACCTCCCTCCCCGCCAAACAACACCATGACCCGTCGTGTACCCATATACAACTTTTGACCGAGACACTCTATTCACACACCACCCCCCTCCGTGCCTCTCGTACCATACTTCTCGTCCATGTGGGTGTGGATAAAAAGGAAGGGCTCCATAGAAGATCAATTCTGTATCCTCCTCCTCCACTCCAAGTGTAACAGATCAACTGCTTCTGTGCAAATAGTAGCACCGCTGTACCTTCTTCTCCCCCAACCTCCTCCCGCCGTTGTTCCGCTGCACTCTACTTTCTTCTACCTCCCTTCTACCTTTCTTCTACTCGCTGAGCGAAATACATTCAATCATAGTCAGACAATCACGCTTGATTGACACTTGACTGACTCTCCAATTCTACGCCTTTCATCATTTGCTGCCAGGATCCACGTCCCTTTGCCTCGTCTCTCAATCCCTTTGTTCAGACGACCTGCCCAGACGACCAAATCCCCCATCCGTTGGTTCGCTCCCATTAGACCTCCCGCATCCGCATCGAACCACATCGGAGACATCCCGCAAGACACGCAAGCAAACCCTTTCCACCGCACGTCGCAGGATCTCGACTTCCACTGTCTTCACTTCTCACTGTATCATTCGTTTTTCTTCGTTTTCGTTCTACGGCCGCTCAGCCGCAAGTTGCAGTCCTTCACTTCTTATCATAAACTCGTCGACCGAGTCGGCGATGTCTGGTTGATCAGACGTTTTTTTCTTGTGTTTCCGGATACGCCACAACTTCGAGATACACCATTTGTCGTACAATAGCGTTGTATATTTCCATTATCATTAGCACCAGCGTCTGCCTTTTTATAGACGCTTCCCACACCCACCACCCACCATGGATACCTTCGAACCACTCGACACCATCGACTCCATAATCCCCTCACAAGTTGAGATGGAGACAACCGAACCACCCCCAAAGCTCAAGGGGAGACAACGCTTCCTCCACAGCCTTCAACGAATGTCCTCGGCGACCTCCCTCAAGGGACTCAGCAGGAAACGTGCCATAAGCAATCCATACTCGAGCACAAGCAGCAGGGGTTCGGCAATCAGCTTCTCAAACATACAATCGAGCCAGGCGGGCAGCAGCTCGAGTTTCTCGAGGCTGGTTATGGGACAACAGGCCAATACGCCTATATCTAGCGGGAGCACTCCACCTACGCCCGTAAATGGACTGTCGAACCTCGCAAGTCGACCGTGGACGGCGAATTTGGACGATGGAGGGCCAGGGAGTTCTCCCACCTCACACCCCGGGATACAGACAGTCGACTCTGATATCATCGAGATTGACGAGGGATACTTTGCTCATCCGGTGGCATCATCGGCTGTCAAGCCCAGCACACCGAATCCGAATTTTGATTTCTGGGGCAGCCTACCAGAGGAACTGAGACTATCAGTTTTGAGCCATTTACGACCAAAGGAGCTGGTCCGAGCATCTATCGTCAGCCGTCTCTTCTACTCAATGTGTTTTGACGGCCAACTATGGACCTGCTTCGACGCCTCCGAATTCTACACCGCCATCCCCGCCGACTCTCTAGCCAAGATCGTCTCCGCAGCCGGTCCCTTCGTCAAAGATCTCAACCTCCGCGGCTGCGTCCAAGTCGAGCACTACAACCGCGCCGACGTCGTCGTGAAATCATGCAACAACCTGATAACAGCCACCCTCGAAGGGTGCCGCAACTTCCAGCGCGCAACCCTCCACGTCTTACTCTCCAGCAACCAGCGACTCGCGCACTTGAACCTCACGGACCTCGCGGCAGTCAACAACGGGTCTTGCAAGATTATATCCAAATCCTGCCCGCAGCTCGAGTCTTTCAATGTCTCATGGTGCAGTCATATGGACTCCCGTGGACTCAAACTCGTCATCGCTGGGTGTCCTAAACTGCGAGATCTCCGCTGCGGCGAGGTGCGTGGGTTCAGCGGCGCCGCTGGTCTCGAAGTGGCTACGGCGTTGTTTAAGACGAATAACCTCGAACGTCTCGTTCTGAGCGGATGCTCAGACATTACAGACGCGACGCTACAGACTATGATCCAAGGCTCCACAGACCCGGACACAGATATCCTCACCAACCTCCCTCTCGTCCCTGCGCGAAAGCTCCGCCACCTTGACCTCTCCCGCTGCAACCGCCTAACAGACACCGGTCTCGAGTCCCTCGCCCACTGCGTCCCCTACCTACAGGGTCTCCAACTCTCCTCCTGCGCTCTGCTAACCGACTTCTCCCTCTCCGCCCTCGTCGCCACGACACCCTACCTCACGCATTTGGATCTCGAAGAAGTGAGCAACCTGAGTAACACCTTCCTCTCCGCCCATCTCGCGAAATCACCCTGCGCACCGCTCTTATCACACCTGACGCTGTCCTACTGCGAGAATATCGGGGACGTAGGAGTCCTCCCACTTCTCCGCGCCGCAACGGGACTGAAGGCGTTAGACATGGACAACACCGCCATAACCGACCTCGCCCTCGCCGAAGCCGCCCTCATGGTCCGCGACCGCGCCTCCCGCACCCCCTTCCCCCTCCCAACCTTCCCGCAAGGCGCCCGCGCCACCCCAACCCTAAAACTCGTCATCTTCGACTGCCCCCACATAACCTGGCCCGGGATCCGGGAGATTCTGTCCCGGAACTCGGAGATGCTATCTCTCCCCCCCAACAGGCGGGAAGTCATAGCGCTTAAATGCTTTTATGGGTGGCAGATGACGGTTGATGAGCATTTGAAGAGGGTGCTGGGGGGGGAGAGACATGGCGCGGAGAGGCTGGAGAGGAAGTGGGCGGAGCATATGGTTGCTAGTGAGGAGGTTGGGGAGGGGAGGGGAGGGAGGAGGAGGAGGAGAAGGGCGAGGGAGGCGGAGAGGGGGTTGGATGAGGAGGGGGGTGGGGTGGTGGGAGGAGGGAGGAGGAGGGCGAGGAGTGGGGGGTGTGTTGTTATGTGAGAGATTGATTGATTTGCGTGGACGGTGGTATGATAGGGAGGGAGGGCATTTTTTGTTTTGTTTGTCGGTAGTTCTGTGTTTGCGGTTTGGCTCTCACTTGGGGCATGGCGATGCGATGCGATGCGATGCGCTTTGTTTTGATCCATAGACTTGGTGTAGCTTTGCGCGGAGTTTATGATTTTTCTGGTAGGGGTGTGGATGGATGGAGTGGATTGGTGCTGTGGATATGGATGAGTATGACTATATGACCAGAGACACTCACGAAGAGGAGCGGGGGGTTGGGTGCATGTAGAAATATCAGTAGCGAAGCAAACACGATAGATCAACGAATTTACATCTTACCATCACCACTATCATCACCATCACCTGTTTCCCCTTCCTCTGTATCTGTCTAACCAAGAAACCCATCCACCACACCACAACGAAAAGACAAATGGCTCCAGCCCAGCCCGGAGCCATTTGTTCGGGCCCGAGACACACCTGGTGGCAACACAGTCGTTTCCAACGGCCTGAGCCTATCTGATCATGGTGAGTTCGTGTTTGAGGGGTGGAAGAGGAGGTTTGGGGTCGGGGAATGTGGATGGTGATGGTGATAGGGTCGAGGCGATGGTGGGAGGATGATGGCGCGGTAAGACGACGGCGGTGAGAAGTGCGACGACGATGACAACGACGACGACAGCGAGAATTACACGGACTCCACCCCCCTCCCCAGAGACAGTTGAAATCATGTCAACGCTTCTATGGACTCATCGACGACAATCAATGGGTAGGTAGACACCCCATGGCTTCATTTGGATCCGCTGGTGTTTTTTGGGGGAGGAGGGGGATTTATAGCACTTTTTGGGAGGGGGGTGGATGAGCTGGACTAGATTGGAGGGTGGGATGGATGGACTGGATTGGTGATATGGGTATAGATGGGTATGGATATATGACTGCTGTGACTCTGGCGCGTAGAGGGGAACTTGTGTGGTTGAGTGGATGTAGAATATTGGTATCAAGGGAAATGAGAATAGATCAACGAATTTACATACTCTCCATCTCCCACCCACTCCACCCCTCAATAACCAGCAAACACAAAACCTCAACCCTTTAACAACAAATCAAAATGAGTTACATCGATTTTACCCACCCCAGTAGAGTAGATGGTGTGATGGCTAGTTGGGGTATATATACCGCTCAGCATTTCGACTTCATAACGAGACACAGACTCTGGTAATCGAGAAATCGTGGAGGATAGGATCGAGGTTCTTGAGGCTGAGATGGTGGATAAGAACGCGCAGATTAGACGGCTTGGGGAGGATGAGGGAAGGAGGATATGGGTGACTGCTGGTGGTGGGAAGGAATGGCGGGGAGAGGGGGGTGGTGGTGAGAAGCAATGGTGGTGAAAAGCAATGGCGGCGAGAAGTAACGATGATGAGAAGTAACGATGACGAGAAGGACAATAACAGCGATGAACAACGCAGACTCCATTCCTCGCGTCATAATACAGGGGAATGAAATTCCACCGCCGCGCCCGGGGAGCTCTGAAATCAGCTGATGTCCATCTTAGTGCCATGAGGGGAAGATAAAAAAATAGGGGCTGGGGAGGGGATTTATAGAAGAAGCTCCCCTCCACCACACCCTTTTTTGGGAAGTTGGGGGAGGGGGGAGGGTGTATCGAGCACTTGCACTTGTAAACTACTATTCGCAAACAGTTTCATCTATCACAACCTCTTAGTCCCCTGCCCCTTTCTCACCCTCTTCCTCTTGCCTCAAATTCTTTTCTCATCCGTCCGACTTTGATTCTCTCCCCCGCCCACGCACCACGCATCTCTGCCTGAGAGAGCTCGTCGGAAACGAGTATTTAATCCCTGCGTTGCAGCCCTGTCATCTTGTGGAAACTAGGTCAATACAAAGAGCAAAAATCAAAATTCGACCAAATGGAAGGAGGGCGGGGTGGATGAACGGGAAGAGGGGTAGGGCTGGGGGTGGAGGAAGGAGTTAGGGGAGTGGTGGTGAGCGGGTGATAGTGAGAAGGAGGATGACAGTGAGAGGGTGACGACGGTGAGAGCGCACCGATGACGGGGTTGAACGACGACAAGAAGACTTCGACAACGACAACTCCCCCCCCCCCCGCGAAAAAAAATACCAAACGCAGCTTCATATAATCCCGTAGGCATCGCATCAGCAAATGTTTGTGACAGAAAACACTGATAGCTTTCCCAAGCATTATTTGCCTTTGCTTGATGGATGAGAGGGTGGAAGAGCTGCGGTGGGGGATATATATGTGAGGTGTGGCTGCTGCGGTGTAGACCACCCTCAATTTTTTTTGGGAGGGCGGGCGGGGGGAGGGGGAATTGTATTGGGAGAGCGTATAATCTGGATGCAAATGGCATCACCTATCCTCTTTCCCAACCTCTTGCCTCTATCGCAGCCTCGCCCCCCCCTTTTTTCCTCCCCGCGACGTCTCCTATCCTGCGCGCACCACACATCTCCAACCCAGAGAGCTCGCCGAAGAGGAGTATTTAATTCCTGCGTATAGCAACTATCAACTATAGGCCTTACTCTATGACCTCTATCCTTAACCCTCCATGCCCTCTTTTACTAAGGTCTTCGCCCCTACAATAGGGTTTTCCCAGAACTAGGGGAATAATTTGTACAAGACAAACCCCCTACCACCAGCTTTATTTGCCTTATTACCATAGGCGATAACCGCCATCAGCAACGATATCGGTCCCAGTCGCGAAACTTGATGCATCGGATGCGAGGTAGAGGTAAGCTCCCTTCATTTCATAGAGATCACCAATTCGTCTAAAAAGTAAGATTGTCAGCGTGAAGGGATGAAAATTTTGGCTAGGTGATCATGGAGTAGTATTGGCAAGTACAACTTAAGGGGGGGGGGAGTAACCTACTTCACTGGAGTTTTCTCTCTTAATGTTTCTTTAACATCTTCTGAGACTGCTCCTGTAAGCCCGCTCTCGATAAAACCTGGGGAGACAGTGTTTGCACGAGCGAAATCGACCCATTCAACTGCAAGAGACCTGCCTATTATCAGAACACCTAAAGTCAGCTGCTGGTCTTTGATTGATATGATGAAATGCGATAAGGATGAGATCGCAGAGTCTTACACATGTGAATCACGCCTGCTTTAGACGCGTTATATGCTGTCTGAATATGAGGATAATTTACGATGTGGCCGCTCATGCTTGCAGTTGCAACAAAGCTACCCTTCTGGAAGCCTTCGAGTTTCTTGCCATCTATGGTTGTCTGTTCCTTTGCCTGGCGCCGCCAGTGCATCCCCGCTGCCCTTGCACAATAATATACACTGTCCAGATTTGTTGCCATAACCTCACGATAATGTGAGATACTGCTATCTAAAACAGAGGTTTCGTTCCCTTTCTATGTGAGCCATGAGGGTACTAACGATTGAATCTCAACGTGATCGGTATTTAGCGTTGAACTTACATGCAATACCGCTATTAGCAATAAAGCAGTCAAGGCGGCCATTAAACTCATTTACCACTTGATTGACAGTGGATTCTACCTCGTCTGGCTGGGTAACATCTACTTGATATGCAATACCTAAGTTTTGTTGTAGTTTGGAGTCAGCGAACTAGATCTTAAAAGATGAACGACAGACTTAAGTAAAGGCTTACATTTGACGTTATACTCCTTTGCAACCTGTTTAGCAGCATCTACTGCTGCGCCGTTCTTGTGGTACAGTATTGCCACATTGGCACCTGCTTCTGCAAGGGCTTCAGCTATCGCGAGACCAAGACCACTTCCTGCGCCCGAGACGATGGCCGTTCTCCCCGTTAGGGAAAACTGCGGGAATATGCGCGACGACGCCATTCTATTATCGATGGGCAATCTTTGTACGCTAGAGGTGGGTTTATGAAGAATATCAACGAGTTTTCTGGTTTTGTTCTAATGTAGGGCGCGGTGAGAGTCCCGCGCGGTAACATGCTGTAGGTGTTTAGCGCTAACTAGATTAGGAGGACTGCACCCCAGGGAGTTGTCGGCGCGGTTGCTCTCGTTTGGTTGGTAAAACGGGCATGACAAGATTGTATATATTATTCGACATGAGAATAACTGGTACATACGACCATAGACTCAAGAGAATTGGGCATCCCGTCCGCTCTGCCATACACAAGCTTGAGATCGGTGGATTAGTAGTTGGGTGGGTGACCACCAGCGAATACCCACTGTTGTATGTTTTTTGTTATTTTTGTTATTTTTGGCGCTTTTATATGTTAAATTTTGGCCCTCGAAGTTAGGGGGAGGAGGGCGGTTCAACCCGGGCGATTTAGATTTAGCTGTAGAGGAAGTGATTCGTTATGAGAGTGAGAGGATGGCAGTAAAAAGATGGCAGTGAGAGGAATAGTGACAACACACACCAACGTCGAGAAATACGAAAGGCGACGAGCAGGAGGACGACAACGAGAACTCCGCAAACCCCGTTTTCTTTGCCTCGACAATTACCAGATTTGTGGCGAACGCTTCTTTGGCCTGACTCTCATTATATAGGGAGTAATCTGCAAACCCGGATAGGATTCTCTCCTCAGCTTTGCCTCTTTAGCTTCGCCGAACCACGAGCATAACAAGCTACCCTTTACAGATCCATCCCTTGTCTCAACCAACTCCCCATGTGAGTTGCAAAATAGTTTGTAGACAACCGTTATTCCTTTCGTTTGAAAAACTATCACCTTAAGCACCTATTATACCACTAATCATAAAAACCAGCCCCCTTACTCCCCCTTCTCCTTCCCCTCCCCCTCTCCCATAACCCCCACAATCCTCATCTCATCCTCCACCGCCCCCTCAATCCCCACACTAACCGCAGCCATCATAGCGGGTTCCGTCCTTAACGTATTCCGCTACTAATGCGTTATAGCCCTCTGCACCGTACTATCCCCCTTATTTAGGATCCTTATCTCCCTGCTCGCCATCCTAAGCTCGATGGTGCCATTAATGATGAAGATATAGTCTAGCGTGCTAGTGGTATGTAGGGCACCCTTCATTTGCTCTAGGTTAGGCGAGAACTGCTCGTTGTTAGTTCAACTTTCCGCGATGTCTGTAGATACGAAAAAAAGGAATAGGAAGGGAGAAGGAATAAACGTACATGTATCAAACAGCCCCCTGTCCCACCGGCAGTGGGGAAATGCACCTTTGGCTTTGCTTCGTCCTCAACCTCTACAGCCACGTCTACTACTTCGATATCTACAGCTACATCTACTACCTCGACCTCTACATCTCCCTGCGAGACCGTCTCTAGCTTAGTCTCACCGACACCCTTAATCGCCATTTGTGGGCAAAGGGGGACCTCGCACGCTCTAGCAGGATCTAGAACGCTGGCTAGCTACATAAGTGGTTCCCTACAGGTTGCCTCTCTTAACGCGTGCGCTGTACAGTGCGTCGCACAGCAGTGTTGTACGGCTATCTATTTCATTAAGGGAGCTTACTGCAACTTAAAGTATAGGCCAAGAGCGTTTGATTAAAATGTTGCAGCACCTAGAGGTATCCTATTTGATTTCTACGAGCTTCCCTATTTAACCTGCAGCCCTAAAATCTGCCCGACTTAGCAGTAGTTAATGTACAAATTTATTAGCTGTTTTATTAGGCCTATATAGATTACCTTATAAGATCAACTTCTTCTATTTCTAGCTGCATACAGTGTGCCAATCCATTGTATACCTAAATTCGCACCCCCACTATCGCAACGCTGCATCAGTTGTATGTTACTTTTTGGGATATATTTCCTGCCCCTATAATCCGTTTGCCCTCCATTATGCCTACCTGGCTGTCCTTTTGTTGTGTACGTGACCCTAGTGTAGGCGTTATGCCTTATCTCTCATATCATATCATCCCATCTCACCTATATCCCCCGCCGCCCTCACAGAAACATCAAAACAAATATGTGCAGCAAAACAGGTATGCAAGCAAAGGCGCCACCAAGCAGGAAGTGAAATGAAAGAATAAGGGATCGGAAGGTAGGAAACATCATGAGAAGATAGAAGGAAGCACCAAGATAGAAGCACACGAAACTACAAAGCACTTAGATATGACGAAGGTTCAGGCCATATCATATATGATATGACCTCTGAAAATTTAACCATATATGGTAATATCACACTATCTAATACACTGGGCATGGCGTGAAAGCTGAGCTCCTTGCCGCCTTAAGGGTGATCTTAGGTGAAGCGAGGGTGAGTAGGGTGAGGCGTAGCAACGTTTTCGAGTTAGTTTCGTATCACTCTTGCCTTAGTTTCGTAATAGTAGTAGAGAAGAGCCATTTTAGCTTTCGTACCTTACTTAGGTGCCTTGCTCTTATCTACCATTTATCTTGCGCTTTGGATGTGATGTAGCGCTTTTCCCTCTGGAGATGTGAGGTGCGTTAGGGAATGTATTATGCTAATAGTTCTTGCATGTATGATTATGAGCATAGTCACAGAAATTCGAAGGCCAGAACTGAAAGATTCCTATATTAGGTGAACGTTCTCAGAATAACTAAGTCTCGTATAATCGAGTACGCTGACTTCGACTCGATTAAAGCCTCAATGTTTTTACGCCTTCTCAGGATCAGATGTCTGCCGTCCCTTACATCAACAGAGCTCTTGGCCAGAGCTAACTCGCCTTATGGATCTCACAACTTAGCACGGGGCTGCTTGAGATCTTGGACACTCTCAAGGATGTCATTTCTAGTGTGTTCAATACGAGCCTGCGTCGTTTCGAATAGCCTTGGGATCCCTGATTCGGCAAACGGGATTCCTTCTGACACCATCGCTGCTACTCCCTTCCCTGAGAGGTACGCCTGTGGCATTCCATGACCGGTGAACCCAGCAATAATGAACTGACCGGGCCTTCCCGGTACCTGCCCAATGTGAGGTAGCGAGTCCGCTGAATAGCCCATAACTAGGAGATATCTGTGTTAGAATTTCTGTACGACGGCAACTTAGAGGGTGATTAGCTTACTTCCGGTCCAGATCTGGTCCACGTATGCGCCGCTCTGCTCCCAGCCGTGAAAATTTCTTTGCATGTACTGATCGAAATACTCCCTAGCAGGTTCTATCATCTCATCGTCGTTGATGACATTGTACCAATTGCTCTTGTCCTGGTGGTATTTATTCCAGGCGCCACCGACGATAATACTTCCGTCTTCTCGAGGAATGAGGTAGTCGAACTCCCCTTCAGCCCATCTCAGAGTGTATGTCTCTGTCAGCCTCGTCACGGGACGAGTCGGTACTATCCTGCAACAAACGCCGCGCACAGGGACGATCTTGCCAGAGTATATAGGAAGAATAGCCGGCGTATATGCATTGCTAGCGTACACCACATGGTGTGTCCTTATAGAGCCCCTTGGTGTAGTGACCGTCCACCGGCCATAATCGTCTCTCTCGGAGGAGACAGACTGAGCTGGAGTGTTTGTGTAGAGGTTTGCTCCTTGATCAACGCAATGGCTAAGAAGGTGTAGAACTAATTTATAAGGCCATATATGGCCCGCTTTATAGGTGAAACAGCCTTGAGCTCCCTTAACACGACATCTCTAGAGGCAATCAGCAGCCAATTCTACCCCTTTTCAAACTATAAACGACTCACCTCTTCCGCATCATCCCGTCCGTAAAAGGCCACTCTGCCGACTGATTTAACGCCGGCAGCTGCCAAACTATCAAAATTGGCCTTTGCAGTTCTGCATTCTTCTGGAAGCAATTGCACGTCGATGGCTTTTGTTAGTACGAAGTCGCAGTCGATTTTCTCAGTCCGCACAAGCTCGGTAATGGCGTCAACATGGGCACGCTCAAACTCAGCAACCTCTGCGGCGGCCTCCATGCCATGCTCTGCAGCGATGTGACCAATAGAGCTGTACGGATCTGGCTTTAAGTGACCGCCTAGTGCGATGCGTAAGCTTTAGGGTTTGAACCAGACAGTGATCCAACGACTTACCGTTTCTGCCGGTTGCTCCGGAGCATGTCTGGCGAGCCTCCAGTATCGTGACCCTTAGCCGCTTTTGTCCTTTATTTTGTTGGTGAAGATGATACGCAACTGATGCACCAGCTATTCCTGCGCCAATAACAACAACATCTGACTCCTCTGGCACACGGTCAGAAGACACATAGTCGTCGAGTCGATGCAGCTGAGTCCTCCACCACGATGCTGTAGCATGAGGTACTGGGAAGGGGGTCATTTTCTCGTGCTAATCGTCCTTGATCAGTCTGAGGTAAAGGGACACGAGAAAATGAGGGAGCAAGAGCAGGCAAGATTTATAGGCACAGGGGTACAAGTGTGATCAGAATAAGACAACAGCTCGTACAGACTCCTTTCTTAACTACGCTATATTGGCAAAGCACGACATGTGGACCTTACATGATGCCTAGATAGACAGGTTGCAAGCCCAGTTTGTCCTCGCATTAACGATCTGGGAGTTGGCCGAAATAATAGCCAAGTTCGACTTAGTGGCAGAGGATAGAAGTGCGCTTGTAGGGGTGTATGCCGATGGTCTAAATAATAACCAAGTTTGGTATAGTGCTAGTGGAACACTGCCGTTGCAATAGTTTGTCTCTACTTTAACGCTGCGGGGGGCCCAAATAATAACCAAGTTTGGCTTAGTGCTCGAGCAATGGACTTGATACTCCGATTTGTTTCCTAGTCTTGGTGTACAACTCTGACTCTACCGCTCACCAGCCAGAATCTATTAGTAAAAGCGAGAGTTAGTGGCTCTGGTGTCTCCACACGATTTCATGTTCCTCAAGAACATAGTCTCGATAACGAGATTAATAGTACTGGCCGAAAGCGCAAGTGTGAAACCCGTTGTGAATCCGACCAATATACAAGTGGATGCATCAAATTCTAATAATTCATTTAATACGCAAGGGCTATTGGCGTTAACTCACGAGTTGTCCTTCCAATCCGATTCCCTGGAGTCGTGACGTAATGCCTGTCCAGACACCCACACACGACTATATGGGGAACACTAAGTGTGCATGCGGATCAATCTAAAATTGCTAAATTGATGGTGCTAATCCAGAGATGGAAGGCCTGAGGGACAATTGAAAGGGACCACACGCGGCGGAATACTGTCAGGGGGCGTGCCCACCTTGTTTTCGCTACTGTCGATCGAGTTGAGTTTATGGGCAACTTTGGAGGGCTTAGTCGCAACATTGCACTATTCAGGAAACTCTTGGGGCCATAGAAACTGTCAGCGTAGTGCTTAATTCTAACTGATTGAGGTGCGGATGTATGTCAATCAGGAGGTCTCCAAATCCCAAACCCGCTAAGTGATATCTAGAGAGTAAATTGACCATGAATCTGGAGACGCACAGCTGGCTACTTTTACAGTAGTTTACAAATACCCCTCTCTTCCCATCCACGGAGGATTCTCAGGGTGGATTCAATTGTTTCTGCAATCTCCCAAAAGTCTATCTTGTACGAAGCGCAACGAACGATTTCCCAATATGAGCACAGAAAAGTCATCAATCATGCACAGGGAGGACTTAGACGATGCAGCTATACATGATGCCGAACAATTGGCAGCAATGGGCCACGCCCAGAGCCTATCGCGCAAGTTTAGCCCTTGGAGCATGCTGGCACTGTCATTCAGCATTCTCGGTACCTGGGCAACCTTCGCAGTTGACCTCTCGAACGGATTAACGAACGGAGGAGCTATCACGATCCTCTGGGGCCTTTGCCTCGTGACTTTCTGCAACTTGTGCGTAGCCGTTTCGCTGGCTGAATTGTGCAGCAGCATGCCGACCGCATTGGGGCAAGCATACTGGGTTTCTCGCCTCTGGACATCGCCACTCGGTCGTTTTGTCTCATATTCCTGTGCCTGGATCAATGTATTCGGCTGGTGGACTCTTGCGGCGTCGCAGAATGCGTTTATGACAGACATCATTCTCGGCATGAATGTCATGTTAGATGAAAGCTGGACTGAAGGAGACAAAAGATGGTTGAAATTTGTCATATATATTTCAATCACTATAATCATGACAGTGTCTAATATCGTCGCATGCCGCAGGGATTGGATTCTCCGCTGGTTCAACAACGTTGTTGGTGCTTGGTTCGGAGCGGAGTTCATTATTTTCGCTCTCGCCATGCTCATCTCAGTGGGCGTCAAATCCGATCTTTCCTTCCAGCCTGCTTCATTTGTCTTCACTCAGTGGATCAACAACACGGGCTGGAGTGATGGCGTTGTCTGGTTTATAGGCCTCGTCCAGTCAGCCTACGGATTGACGGCTTTCGACTCCGTGATCCACCTGATAGAAGAACTTCCATCCCCTCAGAAGAATGGCCCGCGGATTATTTGGCTTTCTGTTCTTATAGGCTCGATATCTGGCATGATATTCATGATCGTTTGCCTTTTCTGCATTCAAAGTCTGGAAAAAGTCCTACAACCCCCTTCTGGGTTTCCGTTCTTGGAGCTCCTTAAGGAGACCATCGGGCCCAAAGGGGGTTTTGCGCTCATCGTTTTTTTCACAACACAAATGCTCGGGCAGGCCGTCAGCATGACGACAACCGCCTCTCGTCTAACATGGGGTTTTGCGCGCGATGGCGGCCTCCCCTTTAACAACTACCTGACGCATGTCGACAACTACTGGAAAGTTCCGGCACGAGCTCTGTGGTTTCAGGGTGGTATCATTGGCTTAGTAGGCGTCCTATACTTCTTTACAGAGGTCGTCATCCAAGCAGTCGTGAGCGTCTGCACTATCGCCCTAACAATCTCATACGGGATCCCCATTCTCGCGCTCGTGATGTTCGGGATGGGCGATATCCCGCCTGGAGATTTCACCCTTGGCCGTCTGCGCCCTGTCGCTAACTGGGTCGGCCTGACATATTGCGGTGTTACAACGGTGTTCTTCTTCTTTCCTAGCTCGCCTAAGCCTACTGCCATCGGGATGAACTATGCCATTGCGGTGTTTGGAATCATGGTCCTCATTGCGATTAGTTTCTGGTTCATTAAAGGGCAACATACCTATTTGCGGACAGACGGAGCTTTGGTAGAGATGAACCGTGCTGAGCAACTAGAAGCTCAGAATGGAAGACGAATATATCCAGAGCAAGATCAAGCTTCAAAGATAAGCTAACTGATTTAACCAAGAATGATGTACTTAGGCGCTTTATTTATCACTTAGTCTTCAGTACCTTTGCATTGTACACTTTTGGCATTATTGGAATCAGTTATCATACTAAATTTGAATTTAAATCGATTCGCAGTCTATGATTTCCTTATTGAAAGTAATCTTAGAAAGCTATTACTGTGCGTCCTTGGGTTCAGTAATACTGCATTCACGATGCCTCATGGTTCCCCGACACTCTGATACCAGTTTCTCTAGAAACCCCGATACAGCTTCTTTCTTACTCTGCAAGAGCAAACAGAAAGAGTGTCAGGTGTCCGCATTACAGCTTCCCGGGGTCCTGTCTTTCAGACCCCACTCCCGCCGTACCCCCCTGCCAACTATGTAGGGCCCACTCCTTTCAAAGCTGGGGTTTTTGTGTCAATAGTGGATACGTAGTTTGGCAATTCGGGAAAGCTGCGCTTGTGCGGTAATGGTGGCATCCGAGACAAGGCTACTAAACTGTTTCAAGCAGCCCGATTGCCCAAATTCTTGGGGCTAGTTTATTACGCATGTCCAGCACGGCAAGTCTCCTCCAACAGCCATTCCTTAGACGAGGCGTTCTATTCCTCAGTTCCTATAATATGAACCCCGCATGAAATGAGCCCTTATCCAACGCCACTTACAAGCCCCACCTCTATAATAGCAAGGTGCTGCTCTACATTATGGCACTAACGCATTATCCCAATTCGGTCCCAAGGGCTTGCCTTATATATAGAACCCCATGTCCCGCAGAATCACTCTTCTATTCGATTAACTATATATATACGGTACTGCTACTCTCGAAAGGCTCACTCTCAACGATCCCTCAATCAAACATATTTCGTCTACAAATAACTTCGATTTCTCACCTTTGAGCTATACCCCAAAATGCCAGGTCCAACATTCCATAACTACCCTGGCATCGGTGCCAAAAACTCAGAAGCATTCCACTACTCCCAAGCCGTTAAAGTCGGAAATATCGTCAAATGCTCCGGTCAGGGAGGTTGGGATGCTGAAGGTACAATCGAGACGGACCCCGAACTCCAGATCCGTCAAGCTATGGAGAACGTTTTGAAGGCGCTGAGAACTGTTGATGGGAGGCTGGGTTGGGAGAATGTGTATGCGGTTAAGTCGTATCATGTGGACATAGAGGACACTTTCGATATTATGACGACTGAGTTCAAGCGCTTATCACGTACGCTTCGCCCGGTTTGGACGTGTGTTGAGGTTGGGAAGTTAGGGATTCCTGGTATGCTTGTTGAAGTGGAAGTCGAGGCTTGGATTGAAAATCGAGAGTGAGGTGAGGGCAGGGAAGCGGCTTTCGGATATTCCAGCCTAGATGGCCCTCTCGAAGTGACTACGCAATAATGCTCGAGGTTAAATTAAAATTAGATTTGGTTGGCCTTCTTTCTTGTCGTAGAGTAACCAGTCTATTTATTTTTGAAATGAAGGAAACCATCTTATTATAGGTGATCCTAAATGGTGATAGTAACAGCGGCTATTAATAAGATACATACTTATAGTTTTAGTTACAAACCCTATAAAATATAAACGCCTTTACTGAAATCTTTGAACGTATGGAACCAGTCACCGGCCTGTCCACCGGGCTTCCACAATGTTCTCAAATAGCTTTGGAGTACCTTTATATTGCCAAACTGCAGCTGCATCTCAATAATATCAAGATTCTTCATTACAGTCTCTCGGTGGAAATCTGCGACGCTATGAGCTCCAGCTACACAGTAGGGAAATAGAGCGCAAGTTTGGTATCCCGCCTGTTCTGAAAGCATTGAAAGAGCCTCGAGACATTGCTGGACTCTCTGCTGGACAAGTTTATGGTGGGTTGGAAACTTGCAAATAGCCCGGTAGAGGTAAATGAGTGCACAATATCGAAAGGCGCGGAACAGCGACTGTGCTTCCATATAGCGATGGTGCTGTGTCAGATCTTCAGTGGCATCTTGCATCACGCTATATAGGGAAACCTCCTTTAGCGGTGCTTGAAGATTGGACTCAAAGTCTTGCACTTTTTCAACGCTCACTTCGGATGCTGGATTTTCGGTATGATCAAGTGCGTAGTGTGCCATCTTCGCAAGTTCCTTGAATATGGCTGCAGGTGATTCTTCTCCTCCAATATCTTCCCACCAAGATCTGCCGGAGTCAAATTTTGACCATAACTCTGGTACTATATATGGCCTTTCGCCAAGAATCAATGCTCGTGAGAGGTCCATCGAGGCAAATTCGGACAGTAAAACAAGTTCGTTGGGCGCCGCTCTTAATATAGCCTCTAGAGGTCCCCCAAGAATGTTGATTACAGCCTGAGCACCTAGCTGGTGCTCAATCGTAGCTGCCATACCGTCCTGCGGATTCAGATAACCATCGAGCATGCACAAAAAAATAGAAGTCATAACTATAGCACGTGATTGCTCTTCTTCTTTTATGCCTTTTGCAAGCTGGATTCTGAGGGAGGAGATACAGGCCAGTCGAGCCTGTTCGCTTTCAGTCTTCAATTTGTTGGTTGGCGCATCCGCTGCTTTGTGGGTTGTTGCCAGAGCAAGAATAGATAGCAGTAAAGGGGGCGATTTGAGAGCTAGAGTGAAAGGCACAGACGACTCGACACCGCCAACGAAAAGTAAAGGCCAGACTTTCTGGCGAAAATAATCGAAGGCGCTCTGCTGGCTAGCAGACAAGGTGCTGATTCCTAGTTCCTGCCTCGGGGTTGAATCCTGGCCGGAGGTTGAATCGCGTACAGGAATGTTTTTCCCGGCAAGGTACCCTCTGGATGCTAATGAGTCCTGCCATTTCAGGAGGCGTTTGCTATAGTTGCAGACTAGATCGGCTTTGGCGCATTTGCGACAAGTCGGCTTCTGCAAGTCACACATTACACGCCGACTTCGACATGGCCAGCAAGACCCCGGCACGGTTCGAATGCGCTTCTGACCATTAGATGGTTGCTTGCGAAGTGTCATATTAGAACTAGTTGTAGACGTTGACCTCTGTCTGGGATTGAATCCACCAACCAATACCCTGTGGACTGTCCGCTGAATTGCCTAGACGGGGTGTTTAGTCGGACTAGCCAACAACACTGCGCTGAAGATGCGATGTCCCGCGTCCAGAGAGACAGACTATGAGACGGTATTCAAACAGAAGGTAAAGAGGCCACGGGTGGAGGTGGAGCGTGCAGGTGATAGGTAGCTTAATCATGGTGTAACTCGAGGAGCTGCACCTTGTCAAGAGGCCACGTTTTAAAGGGAAGGACAATTGACCATAATAAGTGTACAGATAATTGAGGATCGTAAATGTTTAAAGATGCGGAGTAGCGTGGACGATGTTCAAGAGAGAAGGAGAATTGGCCATTTGTAGGGAAGGTAGAGATAGCGGAATCGGAGAATGCGGGGTAGCGTCGGACGATGTTCAAAAGAGAAGGAGAATCGGCCATTTGTAGAGAAGGTACAGATAGCGGAATCGGAGAATGCGGGGTAGCGTCGGACGATGTTCAAAAGAGAAGGAGAATCGGCCATTTGTAGAGAAGGTACAGATAGCGGAATCAGAGAATGCGGGGTCGCTTAATTGGGAAGCTCGATTGACCAACTCCATAATATCCAAGCTTCACCAGTTGGCATCAACTGAAACACGAAATGCGCTTTTCAATCGTCTCTGTGGTCCATTTCGCGACATCTACTACGTATTCTCAAGTTTATTTGCCGTCTTTCCATTTCCTACTTTGCTTCCTGACTATGGCCCTCGGCATAGATCGCCTCGCTATCCCGCGGATCCTATGGCTACCATTTCGTAATAGAATTAAGCTGTGGCGTTAAAAGGCCTAGCTAAACCCCTCAGATATAACTTTCGTCTGTACCGTTACGAATTGCATTTTGTTCCCACTACCGCTGTTTTCAAATATTCTCCGTGTTCTAAGAAATATGGCAAACGCTGTAGAATTAACTGCTCCAAATGGAGTCAAATACTCGCAACCTACAGGTACAACCACTCCCCCTTCGCAAATGTAACTTAAGTCAGATTTCCCCGATTCTGACACGACACTCAAGGCTTGTTCATTAACAATAATTTCGTTCCCGCTCAGTCAGGCCAAACGTTGGAGACGATCAGCCCAAGTGACGAGAAAGTAATCACCAACGTTGCATGTGCAAATGCAGACGATATCGATGTAGCTGTTGAGGCTGCTCGAGCTGCATTAAAGAGCCTGGAATGGAAAGGAATCTCAACTTCTGCACGTGGTCTCTTGTTGTTCCGCCTAGCTGACTTGGTGGAGCGAGATCGAGCTATCTTGGCAACGATCGATGCTTGGGACGTTGGAAAGCCATACACCGTGGCATTTGAAGAAGATTTAGGAGAGGTCATCCAAGTCTTCCGCTATTATGCTGGATTTGCAGATAAACAATTTGGCCAAACTATTGATACAACTCCAGAGAAATTTGCATATACCCGCCACGAACCCATTGGTTAGTGTATGATCCACTGGATAGCTATCATATGCTAACTCTGCAAAGGCGTCTGCGGCCAAATTATTCCTTGGAACTATCCTGTAATGGTGAGCAACAAAGTAAAGCTCTCTCTCTCTTCGCTTTTCTAACTTCTAAAAACAGATGGCGGCATGGAAGCTCGGTCCAGCACTAGCTTGCGGAAATACTGTCGTTCTCAAAGCTGCCGAACAAACGCCACTCTCTGTGCTCTATCTTGCTAGTCTTATCAAAGAGGCTGGATTTCCTGCAGGGGTTGTCAATATTGTTAACGGCCTGGGTCGCGTTGCAGGAGCTGCAATGACTGGTCACCTAGGAATCGACAAAATTGCCTTTACAGGAAGTACTGTCGCGGGCCGCGAAATCATGAAAGCTTCAGCCATCAATCTTAAGAGCATCACGCTGGAAACTGGAGGCAAAAGCCCATTAATCGTTTTCGATGATGCTGAGCTGGATCAAGCTATTAAGTGGACGCACGTTGGGATCATGAGTGAGTCGATTGTGTACGTCTCTAGAGTTACGGCTGACTTCGTATAGGCAACATGGGACAGGTTTGCACATCGACTTCAAGGGTCTACGTTCAAGAAAGTGTTTATAGCAAATTTGTCGACGGGCTGAAGGACTATGTTCAAACAGCAACTGTCATCGGTGATCCCTTTGCAGAAAAGACTTCTCACGGACCCCAGGTATCAAAAATCCAATTTGATAAAATCCTCAAATACATCGAAATTGGCAAATCTGAAGGTGCAACCCTTGTGGCCGGAGGCAAGAGGCACGGCGAGAAAGGATTTTTCATAGAGCCAACAATCTTCTCCGACTCAAATGACTCGATGACTATTGCAAGAGAAGAGGTTTTTGGACCCTTTGTTGTAATTTCGCCTTTTAAGACCGAGGAAGAGGCAGTCACAAGAGCAAATGACACCCAATATGGCCTGGGTGCTGCTGTTTTCACCCAAAATATCGCAAAGGCTCATCGTGTCTCGGCTGAAATCGAGGCGGGCATGGTTTGGGTAAGTCAATGCTGATTGCACACCTTTCCGACACGGCTAACTCGCATGAACAGATCAATAGCTCCAATGACTCTCATTATGGAATTCCTTTCGGCGGTTACAAACAGAGCGGCATTGGACGAGAACTTGGCTCATATGCTCTTTCTGCGTACTCGCAAGTTAAAGCTGTTCACGGTAAGCAGTATTGGTAATAGATAAGACTAACTGCCGCTAACGTTTGATAGTCAACCTAGGCGTACGTCTATAAGAAAGTATAGAGCGCTCCGTCTAGCATAGATAGTGCAAGTAGGAAATAGCGTGGCTAATACCAGCAGGGGAAGCTGTTAGAATCATTCTCGTCCATTAATTTTCTATGTAGTAGGCTCATGTAAACGCTTCTACCCTAATAAGTGCCTATAATGATTCAGTAAACTAAGTTTCAAGTGTACTGCTGGTATCCTGTAGACTGGTAAAACAGATGCTCAGGACAGCGAGTTGCAAAACGTCCTCCGGAACGTAGCCCCACCACGCTCACCCACGCTCACTTATACCACTGGATTATTCATGGCCATACGAAGTCGCAGTGCATTGCGTTCATCTCGTCTTAATACGAGACCTATTTCGTGCGTGTCGACGTGGTCACCATCATGTAGCTGAGGGAGACAACCGGATCATCGTGAGGCATCAAAAATGTGAGGGCGCCGACGTTCACCCACTAGTCCAAATGGCACCGTTCTAAGCATTAATTAACTGAAAGCTCGAAATTCAGTGGATTGATGCTCTCAATCGTGCCAATAGGCATAGCGTGGAATCTGAGCCCCTTGCCGCCTTAAGGGTAAAGCGAGGGTGAGCCGAGGGGTAAGTAGGGTGAGTAGGGTGAGTAGGGTGAGGCGACCCACCGTTTTCGTGTTAATTTCGTGTTAGTCTTGCGTTAATTTCGTAATAATACCAGAGTGTGGCTGTTTTAGCTTACGTACCTTGTTTTATGTGTCTTGCTCTTATTTTCTATAATCTACCATTTATAAGCTATAAATCTAAGCTATGTAAACTAAGCCCTAAAAAATATAGAGGACTTCCTCCGAATAACAAGAGTTCTCATATGACTGAAATCTAAATGGTGATTCAATTAGGTCCTCGGACCTGTCATTGACACACCCCTAACACCTATTAGGAGAGTGGCCGAAGGGTGGTTCAACTCCACCGTCGAAGCTCCTGGTGGCAAAGGCACCTCTCCTACCTACTACAGGAAAACAAATCAACTACAATGCTTCCAAAAATATAGAGGTGCCACATTAGGACTATAAATCAGATGACTAGATTGTGAAGTTCATGTAATTTAGAGAATTAGAATAGGAACTAAATCTATAATCTAACGACATTTAAACTTCTTATAAGCATAGTAATTCCTTCTACTAGACAATCTTAATCTCATTATACTCTATACTACTAGGAGGTAAAAGCTATTCTAGGCTCTTAATAATTATAGTAAGTGCACCTTCTATTAGCTTTAGTACATGCTAATTAAGACCTAGCCCCTTACTAAATTAAGGGGCTATAATCTATAGATCTACCTAATATATACATAGTACTAATAGGTGTACTATATAGATAACATATTACTAAGGTTTATACTTATGTTCTACCTACGGACTACACCCCTAAATTACCTAAGAACACCATCTCTCTTAACTCCTGAACTGAATCTCATTTATGTGCCTATTCCGTTCTCCTAAGTAGTCCGTGACCGCGGCTTCGCTCTCCACACCTAATACACCTAACACGTCCGACGACTGTTCATTCTTCCAAACCTGGAATTCCTGAACAATGGCCTGCAACCCATGCATACTGATCTTTTGCCGCTCTGTCAATTTATATGTCGGCCGGTCCTCTGGCTTCTCTTTCTCCGCACTCAACACATAACACAACAACTGTCGCCATACATGCGTATAACTACGAACTGTGGTGATGTCCATCCAACTGTCAAATGGCATTCGCGCTTCTTCCGTGGCCTCCTTCCGATGCACCTCGAATAATGCTGCCTAACTAACAGCCTCTTGCACCGTGATATATTGTGCCTCTCGGATCATCCAATCAAATGCCTTACACATCGTTTGCAATTCCAGTTCGTCGTCATCAGGCATCTCCACCCATCCTCGGATTTTGGCTCGATCTAATCCTGCTAAATGGGCGGCCCATCCTACACGGCGTAACCATGGGTTGGGCTCACGATGTTCGTCAGCCTCCTTGATCTCCCGGCGCTCTTTCTCTTCGGCCCTGCGGAATGCCGCTTCCATCTCATGCCTGGCTATGCGAAATTGATGTGTACGTGAGCTCATCCCCTGTGGACTTAGCTGACTCTCCTTCCCTTAGACCTCAAAAGCCGGGATTTGGGTCCCTGTACAGAAACCCGCTGGTAATGGACCTTAATCCTCTATGGCACATCTTGTTGCTTGCCCTTCTTAGGTCTGCCATTATGTTTGCTCTCCCATTCGTGCTCCTCTATGCAATGCGCTCTCATCCGGCTTACTATGCCACACATATACTTTCACTCCTTTTTACTCCTATAGCGTTCTTAATGGCGTTCTTAAATACTTCTTTAGTTACTTGTTTAATTGCCTATGCTCCTATCCCACTAATGATCCTGCCTTGTAATAACCCTAACCTCAACTCCGACGACAACATTGCAACCCTATAACACCAGCACTTTAGTATTTAAATTTCTAAACTAGGTATGACATTTATATAGCACTCACATATATATGCCTAAGTTAGAGAGCTTTAGCAGTGCTTTTATATGAAAATCTAATAATCTCCCCTAGCCTAAAATGAAAAGCGCTCCCTAGACCCTAGTCACTTTTCGACTAGGGTTCTAATTGGTTAATAAACCGCTCCTAGCCCTAGGATCGCAGCGTCAGCTAGGCGGACTAGGAGGCAATTTTCTCTAATTCTTTAGGGAGATTCTGACTATAACTTTTCGTTCTGATTCGGGATCGGATAAAGGGGCGAATCCATTCCCATATAGCCGACCAGATCAGCCCTGAGGTCAATGTTAATAAGTATTCGAAGCAATTTTCTAGCTTGCAAGCACATACATTAACACTGTGCCTTGCAATGAAGGGTTAAGAGCTTCGATGCCTCCTCGGGTTTCTACCATTTTGATCATCCCATCTCTGTGGGTACGCCACCCCTCGTGACTTCCGAGTATGAACTACCAAACTCTAGATCAGATTGCTCAGTCTAATGGGGCGGCTAAGACCTACCTCAACCTTTGCAAGATAAGCCACAGCTCCGATACTTGCATCTGAGACTCCCGACACTTCTTCCATATCCTGGTTCAGGTAGTGAATTGCTTCTAATTTGTGAAGCATACTTTCACGTGATGCTTGTCTTCCTAAATAAAAGTCCATGTACAACGCAGAGCTGCAAATGATCATATGAAATAAAGCAGCGTTTGTCATGGCTAATGAAAAGAGGCTCGGTTGCCCCGTGCTGTGCGTCAAACAAGGCTCCTTTGGATACATGTTATGAACGACAACAGAAAGGTCTTTGGCAGCGAGAGTCAGCAGGGGTTTCTACTGGACTACAATAAACATGCAAAGTGCTTGAAATGGAAAATGAACTGACAAAGATGAACGAGTCTATACATGTGAGGTCGCATCGGAACAGGGTATAAGGCGAATGGATCGAGATTTCCCTTCAGCTGTACAAGAGGCCCAAATGGGTTGAAGCTCCCCTGATAGCTAGCTCGAATAGGGTCTCGGTGGACTTCATTCCTGTGGGCCATTGGCTTTAACTGTGACTTCTGGGCTGGATGCCTCTGTTTCCGCCGGAAATTAGTCATCACGTGAGTTCGGATCAATGTCCGAGCAGCTTTCTCTTTTGGTTTTGGCTCTGAGGAATTGATAAATGCCAGTGTCTGGGTCTCTAGGCTCTGCCCTTTCAGGTCTTTTGCATGCTTCTTCTCTGGTCATGTTAATGGAATTCAAATAATGCATAGTGATGGCGGAGTACTTACTGATGCTAGCCCGATTCTGATTGGAATTGTAGATCATGACCATAGGGCGTCCATATACATCTTCCAGAACCCCATCTTGGTTTTCCACGACATCGAGGGGCCCGTCCGTGGCAATAATGGCTGGGTCATGTAAATGCCCACCAGTAGAACCCTGAAAAGTCATCTTTACACAGTATTGATATGGATTCATGGAATACCTTAGCGAGGGTTTGATTGATGGTTTACAACAGATTAATACGCGATGGTGTAGATTATAAAACGCCAATAGCTCGGCGTACGGAGGTACGGAGTACAAATTCGTTTTAGGTTAGTTAAAATGACCATGGCCCCGAAATGGTTTAGCTTCAACTGCTTACGTGGGTTGTTCTCTCGTCCCCTGGGTCTGAGTACCCCTACTAGCGACGATTCGCACCTTCCGGCTTCCGACTGCCAATCACATCGAAATCCACAGGCATAACATTCAGCGTCATAACGCAAATTAAGAAGCCCCTTACTCCGGCCCGGCGAACGGGGAAAAAGATATCGCCCGCAGGCACCGAAAGCGCCGATGTGGACGATAACGATCATTTTTATTTTATTCTGTGGCTTTGGACGGAGCGTGAACGACGATGATTTGGGTACAGAGGGCTGAATAAATGGCGGCATGCTTACCTTACCTATCAGGGAACGAGGATGATGCGAGAGATGCTACAATACCGTTGTGAGCATTACAGCGGGTTTCTTTCCGGTAGCTGAATCGGCTTCTCTTTTCTGGCTGCAAAAGTATATAAGTACTTCCCTAACAATGCCGCCTCCTTCCTCTCTTCATCCCATCAATAGCTTGTCTTAATAATTTGATCACACATCCTTCTAAAAAAGCGTCACGATGCCTTCTAAGTATGCCCCGGCTCACGCCTCTCCTGCTGGCACCGGCGATTCCCGCCCAACAGCACTTCAAATCATCAAGGACGAAAACCTGACGGGTGCCCTCGCTTCCAAGACCATTCTCATTACTGGCTGCTCCAGCGGCATTGGTATTGAGACGGCACACGCTCTAGCAACAACCGGTGCAAGGCTCTTTCTCACAGCCCGAGACACGGAGAAGGCACAGGAGGTCCTTAAAGACCTTCTTGCCCCCGGCCACATCGAATTGCTTCACCTAGACCTGACATCCCTTGCCAGTGTACGCTCCTGCGCGAAAGAATTCCTCCAGAAGAGCGAAGGAAAGCTGAATGTCTTGATCTGTAATGCTGGTGTCATGTGGATACCAACCCACACGCAAACTGTCGACGGCTTCGAATCCCAGTTTGGAATCAATCATCTCGCACACTTCCTGTTGTTTCAACTTATAAAGCCGGCACTCTTGTCTTCCATTACCCCAGATTTCAACTCCCGCGTCGTCGTGCTCTCGTCCGCGTCGCATCGCTCCTCGCCGATTCTCTTTGAGAACATCAACCTCGAAAATGGCGCCTACAACCCTTCAACTGCCTACTCTCAGAGCAAGACAGCCAATATATACATGGCAAATTCTATTGAACGGCACTATGGCGCGCAGGGCCTTCATGGACTCAGTCTCCACCCTGGAACCATTTTCACAGGTCTAGTTAGACATCTTGATAAGCAGATGTTGGCTATTTTAAGTAGTGACCAATTTAAGGCGATCATGAAAAGTCCAGAGCAAGGGGCAGCAACCACGGTATTTGCCGCTGTGGCACAAGAGTTGGAAGGGAAGGGTGCGCTTTATCTAGAGAACTGCATGGTTGCTGAGCCGCTGAAGCCGGAGCCGGGGATGCTTGATCCCGGATACGCAGTGCATGCATTTGATGAGGAGAAGGAGGAGAGGCTATGGAATGAATCATTAAAGATGGTTGGTTTGGATAGCAACTAGCATTAGGCATATCTAAAGAGAGGAGCTCACAATAGAGTAGTTAAGCCAAAAAACATTCTATTTCACAACACTAAGTATACGAGTAGGTGTTAGTGACAGATGCCACTGAATTTTACTAGTACAATACTAACCTATATTCAGCAATATCTATTTAAAAGCTTCAAGATAATTTACTACTAAAGCACTAGAATTAAAATCTGTTGCCAGCATACATATAGCGACAATACCAATAAGGAACCACTTTTTGAAGACCGAGGATTCCATAGGATTCCCGGGATCGGATGGAATCTGCGGTTCCGGATACACAGTGAAAAGGAAAGCCAATTATCATCCCACCCAATCTATCGATTTATAATATATACCCTTCTAATTCCTTACTTGTCCAATCCCACAGTCTCCTGGCTAGTTGCTCATTCCTTGCATCTGTCGACCCATCTGCTTTATTCCCAACTGGAACATAATACCCGCCGCTCACAACATCCTTACTCGTCGCAGCCCACAATTGATTTAACACACCCTGTTCAACACTGACGCCAATTAAAGATCCGATAGTTGCCTCGAACATCCTCACCCAAAGATGTTTCCGCCTCATTGGCTTCGACAGACCCGTTTCGACCATCCCTGGATGCACCGAAACACAAGTAATCGACGGATATCGACGCGCAAGCTCCTGCGAATGCAGAATGTTTGCGAGTTTGGACTGCCCATATTTCGCGACGTTGCTTTCTTCTAGTTGGGGAGTGCGCAAGGTTTCGAATTTGATGCCTCCCTTTGGCGTCCAGGAGTGGGACAGAGAGGTCAATGTCACGATTCGCACATCTGCACCAGGAGTTTCTGCAGTTTCCAACAACATTGGAAGGAGTAATTTGGAGAGCAACGCATGGCCTAGGTGGTTGGTTCCAAACTGTATTTCATATCCGTCTTCGGTTACATCAGTGGGGACGGCCATGATGCCAGCATTGTTGATCAGAATATCCAAGTGTGGTGAACTGGCCGAGAACTCTTTCGCGGCATTTTGGACTGACTCAAGCGACGCAAGATCGAGTTGAAGCAGATGTAATTTGACCCCTGGAACAGCGGCTTCTATCTCGGCAATAGCTACCCGCCCTTTTTCGAGCGAACGTGATGTGATGTAGATTGCCGTGGGATTGTGCTTTGCGAGTTGTAGGGCGGATTGCTTTCCTAGCCCATTGTTTCCTTAATTCTGAGGTCAGCGTTTATGATATCCACATTATGTTTACATTTATTGAGAATATACCGCCAGTGATCAAGACGACTTTCCCCGAGAGATCTTGGATGTCAGTGTCAGGGGTAAACCTCTTGCCATCGAACATTGCGAGAGAGACTTCTTCAGGCGGAATTTCAAACGGTGTGAAGGAGAAAGAAACAAAAAGCCAACACTAATTGAATCACTAGAGAACAGGCAAGCCGCTGAGTTTATAACGCCTTTTGATACCGTGGTCGTCGCCACAAAGAACGAGCCCTGGCATGAAATGGAGGCTAAACCATTTCAGGGCAGTGATCTTTTTCGACTAAACGTAAATGGGGTGGTCGTCGCCACGAAGAACGAGCCCTGGGATGAAATGGAGGCTAAACCATTTCAGGGCAGTGATCTTTTTCGACTAACGTAAATGAGGCTAGAGCCTGCTAGCAAGCTTTTCATTTCCCTTCTCTAAGTTTGCTAGAGTTCCCGCTATGACATGGGTACTGTACGTCGGTTTGCTGAGCCAGATGCACAATATTATGCCTAGCTTTTCCTAATTCAGTCCATTATGGAGTTCAAACAAACATTGAAGTGGGGTGCATTACTAGAGAAAATATCCTTACTAGCGTAGAGAGTGGTTGCTTGCTAGTTGAAGGGGATAAGCGAATGTAGAGGGGATAAGCGAATGTAGATTGGCTAAATTTAGCCGAACGTTTAAACAGCATCTAAATATAGAGTATGCAGACGTCTCCTTGTCTAACTTAGGATATAGTAGTAGAGCACGGCTGTTAGCACACAATTGAAGTCAAAACTGTTTGTACGTTAATTAGATAGGTTTAGAATCCCATCTAATTAACGTATAAATAGTTTTGACTTTAATCGTGTGCTAACAGCTGTGCTCTACTACCGTATCCTAAGTTGGACGAAGAGACGTCTGTATACTCTATATTTAGATGCTGTCTGAACGTGCGGGCTCATCCTACGCAGGTAGATGGCCATTATGCTGCGCAGTATCTTAGAACTCCACAGTTGACTTGTAGCCAACGAAGCTAAGTAATATCGACAAATCTACCCGGCTAATAGCATTTCCTTCTAACCCCCAGCTCTAGCACAACTCCAACAGCCGTGTTACAGTACCGATCTTCATGCCTAGATTCAGGGGTGCAGCGGCGTCTCCGACGCGTGCATGGGTCGTTCGAGATTACCATTACCTCGTCAATCGCCACGTTGTAATTAGCCAATGCCCTGGGAGGCCGTCTTGATACGCATTCGGCCGAACCCGCTAAGGCCATGGTTTCTACCGGACCTGTGGTTGTGTTGGTGTTGTTAAACTTCCCCGCTCCAGACTTCCCCCGCAAATGCCTCACACGCCGCAAATTTTGGGACACCAGATCCCACCTCTTCGTACTTTCGTAGAAGCGGTGGCACACTAAAACGTCAATTTTAGCAAAGCGTTAATCAGGCACCCACTAACAAATTTGTATGGTAGCTATTTGCTCCATTACCCCATATATTTAGTCAGGGCCTCCCCACGGTTTCCCTAGTATTTCCTTCTGCATCCTCACCTCATTGCCCCACCCACCATCAACTTCGAAAGCACAGCTGCGAAGATGACTGCTGCAGACCACGACATTGAGAAAAGGAACGTAGGCAAAGGCACAGAGCAGTCCACCCACGACTCCGCAGGCGAGAAACCTTTCTATACACATGAAGAAGGGAATTTCCAGGATGGGGCGGCGCGAGGCCATGCTGCGACTGACGAGCGAGTCCCCATTCCTCCTTTATCTTTCCAAGACAGAAGCTTACACTTACAGACATGGCCGACCACTGGTAGAGTTTGACAAAGCCGCCGAACGTAAGCTCCGCCTGAAGATCGATTTGTATATCGTTCCAACCGTTGCTCTCCTCTACCTGTTCTGTTTCATTGATCGTGCAAACATTGGTTAATCTCATCTAAAGCGGGCTCTGATTTTTTCTGACTGATGACAGGCAATGCAAGGCTGGCGGGATTCGAGAAGGACCTTGGCTTAAAGGGCCATGACTATAATATTGTCCTCTCTGTCTTCTATATTTCGTACATCCTCTTCGAGATCCCTTCCAACATGGCCTGCAAATGGGTTGGCCCTGGATGGTTCATCCCTGCTATCTCGCTCGGTTTCGGAATTGCCTCTATCTGCACTGCCTTCGTTACCAACATGTCGACGGCCAGCATCGTCCGTTTCATCCTCGGCGCTTTCGAGGCCGGTATGATGCCAGGCATCGCCTATTACTTGTCCAGATGGTATCGACGAAGCGAACTGGCTTTCCGCTTAGCGCTCTATATTGTCATGGCCCCTCTCGCAGGTGCCTTTGGTGGTCTCCTCGCTTCTGCTATCCTACGACTCCCAAATTTTGGTGGTCTACACACGTGGCGGATGATCTTTGCGATTGAAGGCATCATCACGTGTGCTCTTTCTCTCGTTGCATTCATCACTTTGACTGATCGCCCTGAGACTGCAAGGTGGCTTACCCAGGAAGAGAAAGTCCTTGCAATTGCTCGTGTCAAGTCCGAACGTGTCGGAGCAACCGAAGTTTTGGACAAAATGGACTGGGCTAAGACCTTACGAGGTATCTTCAATCCTGTTACTCTCGCCACTTCTTTCATCTTCCTCCTCGACAACGTCACCGTCCAAGGCCTCGCATTCTTCGCCCCTACCATCGTTAAAACCATCTACCCTAGGGAAACAGTGATGTCTCAACAACTCCGGACCGTTCCCCCCTACATAGTCGGCGCCTTCTTCACGGTCCTCTTCCCCTGGCTAAGTTGGAGATTTGACCGTCGCAACATATTCTTCATCTGCTGCGCACCTCTCATGATGGCCGGCTACATTATGTTCCTCGCCAGCACCAACGTTCATGTCAGATATGTTGCAACCTTCATTATCGCCAGTGGCTCCTACTCCTTCGGAGCTCTCTGCAACGCCCAAAGCGCCGCAAACGTCATTTCTGACACAGCCAGAGGTTCCGCAATCGGCACCACTGTCATGTTCGGCAACATCGGCGGTCTGATTTCGACCTGGTCATTCATGTCATCGGATGCTCCTAATTTCCCTATCGGCAACGGTCTCAATCTCGCAACCTCATCGGCCATTATCGCCTCATCGATTTTGTTGGGCATCTGGATGAAGAGGGATAATATGAGAAGAAGCAATAAGGATATCGATTCTGAACTTGCTAGCCTTAGCCAGAAGGAGATCCAGGATCTCGACTGGAAGCATCCGGTGTTCAGATGGAAGCCGTAGAAGAGGGGTTAGGCCGGATTAGCCTTGCCTTTAATGGTGTGGATTGTATGGAAACTATTTAACAATTTAATCAGATAAGGCAATTTCAATATTTGAATCATGACCATGTGTGCGTCACCAATTTTGCTAAATAAGATTTCCTCTGGTGAGTATCTGAGTGAGTGAGGACTGACATGCATGCAAGTTGCCAGGAGCCATTTGCTAGTGGCAGTGATTTGGGCTTAATTGTCTTGGCCGAGGATTGGGACTAGAGGCGTGTTATCATACATTCCACGGCATGAACCGGTCATGATTGCCGTCATTGTACTACTGGTACTGATACATTCACTCTAGCATTTCAGCTCGTCCGGATCTTGGGGACGGTTGTCTGTGTCGGACTTGCTATGTCTAAATTGCCGGTCTCCCCATTTACAGTTGCCATAAAAGGTCTGAAGCTGATTGGAGATTCAGCTGGGACCGAAGCGGAAATGGAGGAGCTGCTGGAGATGGCGGTTAGGGGGGATGTGGTGACGATTCTCGAGGTGAAGGAGTCGTAGGTCGCGGTTACTTTAAAGCTTTTGATGCCCCTTCATTTTCTCAAGAGCTCTCTTAGGATTAAGACGAACCAAGCCTGTTTTGCACTTTTGGCGATTCGGCGTGGATCTCCTGGAAGGACGAGAAAAGGTCGACTTTTGATACTTCCCTCGCACCCGTAATCACCTCCTTTTAACCGCTTTTAAAAGTTATACTTAAGCATTTAAAAGACACCTACATAAAGAGGTCATAGAAGGTGCATTATATGAGGAAGTTGAAACGGTCGTATTCGGTGCTCCCAACAGTAGTCGAGGAAAGGTTGACTCAAGTATAGGAATAAAGGAAATAAGGGCCTAGGGAAGCTATATATATTGTGTGTTAAGATAGCTAAGTTTAAGCAGCAGAAGCAAAGCTAGATGCACAACTATAGCTAGCAGCAGATTTCGGGTCGCCATTGCCGTTATAGCGAGAGACCAACGGATACCGACAGATATTCTTGGTGACAGTTGCACCGCTGGCATCAGTGGTCGCGGCAGCTAACGTTTCCGGAGCAGTTCCCTTTTCTACCCAAGCGACAAGGGCATCGAGCGGGTCCATTGGCACTGGTCCTGACCCCATCCCACAATGGCCAACTCCTGGGGCAAAGAACACACGATAAAATTTGTCCACAGCGGACCTGCCACCCATGGCCCTTTCAACCCATTGACGGTATTTCAATGTACCATCTGGAAAGATTAGAGGATCAGACAGACCGTGCCAAGTAATCATTTTACCACCTGTAGCAGAGAACGCAGATAGGTCGGGGTTGTTTGTACCAATGACTCTCTCGTATTCCGAGTTAGACTGAGCGAACAGCAGCGAATAATCCAAATATGTAATGGCAGAAGTGTTGAAATTGGGATTTCGCTTGAGAAAATACCTGATCCAGGAATCCGAAATAGGGAACGGGGCACCAATAGTTGTCCTATTAGGACCAGGTACAGTCAAGGCGATGCCATTGAATGGAGTACCGACTTTCAAACCGTACCAAAGCTGTTGTCCAAGTATATTTGTAGGGCCATCGAGGATCTTGGAGACGACGTCAGCCATGGCGTGTGTAATAGTGACTTCGGTGCTGTCACAGGTGACTGTTGACCCAACCAGCTTGTAAGGATCAAACGCGCAATTTTCAGGATCGCCAATGACGCCATCTTTAACCCCATCTAGCATATCGCATTGCAAAATGCTATCAGCAGTAAATGTATCAAATATACACTGAGTCGGGAAAGTCTTCTTTTGTTCCATAACAACTTGCGGCCATTGCTCGGCCATAATAAAGCTCGGCCAATTGATAGCAGGGGAGATGGCAAGGATGCCATTGTAGTCTGCGGGGTACTTCTGAGCCTCCATTAGACCTTGTCTACCTCCAGTAGAGCACCCGTTCCAGTAGGAATAGCTAGGACTTCTGCCATAGAATTGCGCGGTTACAGCTTTACCAACAACGGCCATATCATGCAGAGAGCGCGACGCAAAGTTCGTCAAGAGACCCGAATTGACAGTGCCATTGCTGTCGAGCGCCCACGCGGATGGATCTATCACATTGTTCGCATGGCCTCCGTCGGTCGTTGCGCCCGAGTAGCCAGCCCCAGCTGCGGCAGCAAGTGCAATGCTACCAGAACCAGTTGCCCACCCGCCGCCTCCAGTACCTTGAAAGCGGCCATTCCAGCCTTCAAGTGGCAGCCAGACTTCGACAAGAACATTATCGTTTACCCCAGAGTGCGTAAGGTTGACATTGACGTTACAGACATTCAGGCCGGAAACACCGGTGGGAAGAAGGATTGGAAAGGGCGGTATAGTAATATTTAGCATCTCCGTACCAATAACTGAGAGGACAGTGGCACCTGGTACAGCAGGAGCGGTGATAGATGCACAGGGTATAGCTGCTGCTACACTGGCGAAGAGAATAACGGCAGTCAATGGTAAGAATGCCATCCTGAGACGAGATCCAGTGATGGCAGAGAATAAAAATTGGGTTTAAGCTGGGAGTAACACAGTAGATGCCCAGAGAGACCGAAGAGATATATATTCGACATTATTGAGTGCTGATGATCCCTCAGCAACGTGGACCAACTTTTGCCGACTGTGACTACCGCGTTAATCCCCTGTAGTTTCCGTCGTTTTTAATGAAACACGGGGGATAAAGAGTCCGAGGAGTACTTATGCAAGGGTGGATGCATAGAGCGGCGGATGCGGGTCGTTAAGTTTTTCTAATAACAGAAATAATCATTTCCTATTGGTGTTTGGAGAAGCCGACATCCATCTCCGGCCCTGGGGGAAATTTATGGCTTCTAAAAGGCGGGGAAAATCGCCCTTGCAATCCGTCCATTTTAACTAGCAGCACTAAACGAGGAATTCTCTTAGCCCCACTAAAACATCCTCTTACTACTAGCCTAAATTATATTAGTTGTACAGATCTAATGGGTAAACACGCTTTCTATATCAACAGGGGAGGTTTCTTTTTTATAGTCTACTTGCTATTAAAAAAGTATGCAGCCGCCGTAACGGTATCGGGGTGCTGAGAAAAATGTATCGTGTATTTCTGTCTGATTACGTGAATCCCAGTTTTAGGTAACTCGCACAATGTGTCACGTGCATGTTGGACAAACGGCGATTGGGGAGAAGCGATTGCGGGCCGAGCCGGTGTTTGACGGAATGGCTAGCTCTTGCGTACCTTTCAGTTCGACCCAAGGTTTGCGGGGGGTCGTACTGCCACGTCAATCATCCAAAGGATGTGGCACCAGGACTCCTACACAATATAGGACGTTATTATTGGGAAAAAGGTCAACAAGAACGCGTATTTCAAATATCAAGGTACGGATCTCGACACAAGCCAGCAAACGGACCAGACGTTCTAACATCATCGAAAAAGGAAAGCCGTTAGTCCACTTTCTCGGTAAGTCGCGATGAGACCTTTTGACCCCTCATTCAAGCGACAATTCCGTGGCACGAGAATGCTGACCAGTCCTCAGGGAGCGATGTCAGCAAAGCCGCTTGGCAAAAGTTTAAACAAGATTTGGAGGTTGAAATCCTCCTCATACCAGGATTTAACACCGTTGCACCATCGCCATCATTCTTTAACACTTACTCGTCACTGGTATGCAAAGCACTGTAGATATGTGGACATAGTTTTCTGACGCAAAGCTAGGATGGCATCTTCAGTTGGAACTCCTGGCCTTCCGAAGGCTAGGGAAAAATTATTGTGCCCACAACGGACGACCAAACCTTCCTGGACGCGGCCAAGAGCGCAAACAAGCTATTCATGATGGATATGTCACACAAATGGTCTTATGGGCGATTTTCACAACACACATATTCATCTCAAAGGCATCTCCTCCGAATTCTTATACGCCCGCTTTGCATGGACAATCTTCCGTTTCCTATCATCATTTCTCAACGCCCACATCACGAGGGCGTTGCTGGTTCGTCTTCCCGACGGCCAAGAAATGGCGAAACAGGTTACCTTCGAGGAAATAAAAGCGCAATCTCTGTCGAGAAGTCGAAGCGTCAGTCCTAGAAAGCGCCAGATGACCATTTCCGATGGAGGACAGCACACCACGAAGCGATTATGCCTCGACCATAGATTTGGGGGCACTAGTCGGCAAGGCACCCAAGCTCGCACCCTGTTGACATATACAGGTACGTCTCTGCCGAGTGTGAGCTCGCCCGAAATCCTCGAACAGTCGGATTTGGATATGCAGACGTTGGTTCGAAGCCGCCGTTCAAGTGATCCCTCATTATACTGTTGCGACTATAACAAGGCCAAGAAAGAGTCTAGAGAGGGGATGCCGGGTAAGCCGGAGTTTGGGGGTGCATATGTTTGTGACCAGTGTAGGGGTGTGGAATACCGCGAGGATAGGGATAAGGATGTGGAAGATGTTTTCTTTGATCCGGAATGATTTCTGTTCGTTTGACATCCGCATAAGCAACAAGCAGTACAACATGGCAAATTAGAAGAATGTGTACCCCTTGCCAGTTGCCCATGCCCGGACTCAGATTTAAGAGATGGGTACGAAGAGCACCAGGGCCAAAGACCCAGGCGGCGCATGATGTAATTCTCGACGATGTATGCTAATCCCAACTTCGTGGTGCCACTGCGTAGGCCGTCGTCGACGATGGCGGGTCTGGTGTGGCAGGTAGGACGGCGGACGCTTGGAGATGGAAGAGAGCGGCAGGCGTTTAGGACATCGCAGCTGCTGGCGGCGTTTAAAGCACTGGGGGTGGAAGGGTACGGGCAGGAAGAGTACTGGTTGGCAGGCAAGGCGAGCGTAGGGCTGAAGGGGTTCGTGGGGTTGTGGGAGCGAGGACTGAAAATGCCGGAGGATATGCGCAAGAAGAGTCTAAACGAGGCGGAATCGCTGATGGCTGGCTAAGCTAGGAGTGGGCTGGAAGGGATCAAGGGGATGACAGTAAGGAGGAGGCTGACGGAGAGGGTGGGCGAGCCGCAGCGGTTGCTCCAAGGCGGAGTGGCATGGCGGCGTTTGTTAAAAATAGCGATGATGGGCAGAATGAGGTAGGAAGTCAGAGATTGAGTTCGGTGATTGTCATCAATGACAGCAGCTTCGTGCCCTCAGAGAAGTGCGTCATGGGTTTTGATGACGGGAGTCGGCAGGGAGAGGTCGGCGATGACAGTGTGGGAAGCTAGGGCGCCTGTCACTCATTCTGTGTATATGTGCATCCCAGAAGTAGACGCCTTGGTCACATCATTGGTCTCTTCAACTGTTTTTTGTGGGGTCGATAACTTAGTGAACTACAGGAATCTTGTCCTGAGCGGAAAAGGATTACCGAAGGATGGTTTGGGGCCACAGCAGGGGATTGCAGGGTTTGATGCAAGGGTTGCAGTCGGTTTAAAGCGACGTGGGGGGGGATGGGATGGATGAGGAGATTAATGGAAAAGGATAAGATATTTGCAGGGAATGAGAGTTTCGATCGTCGCACATGATGGTGCTGAGACTTAGTAGGTGATTCGAAAAATGGAAATATCCGCGATACGCGATCGGGGCGCACTAAAAAATTAAAGGCGACGAGGAGAGGATAATGCCGGCAATGCGAGCCCGATCGGAGACGTGTGGCGTGGCGTGTGTGGTGTTGGCACAGATGTCGACGTTGAGCTTAGATTGCCCGATCGCGTCGCGCTGTTTTCTTCAGTCAATCACGTGACATCCGAGCAAAGAGCTTCGGGCCGAAGGCGGCGATTAGGGGTAAATAAGCAAGTCGTAATTTTAACACTACTGCATGCCACGAAGACTCTATTTTGCGGGGAAAGCCATATCGTGGTCTTGGCGCTCATATCAAATAGATAAGAGCTCTCTGTACAAGTGCCGACACGGACCATTGGTTTCTCCATTTCGAAACCCCGCCTCTATATCCTTGATAAGAGCTCCGTACAAACTATCGGCTTAAGTCGGGTTTCTAGAGAACCACTTGCGCTAACATATACCCCTCATATCAAAAACCCTCTTAGCCTAGCTGTAACGTAGTCTTATCGGCATTGAGCTTGCTCTTATATCTACGAAACGTAATCAAAAAGTATGCTGCCTTGTCCTCAGAGAGCTCTTATCGAAATGGAAAGCCCTTGGGCGAGTAATATGAGAATACGAGAGAGGTATTCGAACTGACAGGGACCAAGATATGGCATAATATCTTTCACCGACTTGTTCGGTGTTTCTAGAGATCAATAGCTTCAAGCTAGGAAAGTTGTGCGTTGGGGGTCTATCTAGATTATGATCAACTAACTAGGCAAAACCAAGATTATGAATCAGAATTCTCACTTTGTTCAAAACTATAAGAGCCGTTCAATCTCTTATGTTTTTTCTATCTCTTTAACCCGAAATTCATCCTTCGTCATAAGCTCTCACAATGAGTTCTTCTGTCTTCCTTGGCTTAACAGCTGCTGCTGCTCTGTTCTTACCAGCTACCAGTTCCGCAATTGTTGCCCGTCATGAGTCTGTTACCTTTCGAGGACCTGTCACTATTGAAGCCAATGGCATGAGCAACATACACCTTACTTACAATGTTCCGATTGATGGAGTACTGTCCCTTCATTACGGCGCATGTAATACTCCTATTACTGTTCATAAGGATTCCCACCATCATTTGATCGGCCGCACGGAAGTTGGATCACATCCTTTGGCCAGACGCAACGCTCAGTGGAGGGATAGCAGGCCAGAAAAATTCGTCTGGCTTGTCCCAGAGAAATTACCTGACTCAGGATGTCTCCATGCTTATGCTGGCTCGGATCTGATTGGAAGATCAGAGCCGATCACAGTCCAGAAGAAAAGCTCTAGGCGCTCTGTCGTGCTTGGGGACATCGCTGATGCCGAAGGCCCTTGGTTCGATGGCGTGCAGTATCTCAAGTCGAAGGAGCCGGGCAAGGTTTTTGTAGCACAGGCTAAGTCGAAGTCCATTGGTATCTTGGGAGGTGGCATGTCTGGATTGATGAGTGCTGTAAAGTTTCCCATCCATATCTACCTGAGAATAAAGCTGACTATTCTAGTATCTGCTAAACTCTGCGGGCTTTCATAATTGGAAAATCATTGAGGCCTCTTCACGAGTTGGTGGGAGGGTTCACACTGCCTATCTCAATGGTACGAGATCGGATCAGTATCAATATCAGGAAATGGGACCTATGAGATTTCCCGTTGAAACCTTCTACCCCGATACTAATGAGACTATTCAAATTAATGACCATAAAATGGTCTTTCAGCTTGCCGATGCTTTAAATAAGATGAATAAGAAGCGACCAGATTACAAAGTTAATTTCATTAAGTACGTCGGGTCAATAATTATTACTATACACTGAACTAAATTTCCTAGGTGGATCCAAAGCAATCCCAATACTCCCGCAACCACGCCAAGGCGACTCCCAGATGGCCGTGTACCTACATCAGCTGATATTAAAGCCAACCCTTCGTTAGCGGCAACACCGAATTATACGAATGCCACTGCCGTGAAAGAAGCTGCGGCGGCATATGATGCCTGGATGGGTGTTGACGAATCTGCTTTAAAGGCCCTGGCTAAGAACGTTTTTGAAGCGCACAAAGCGGCGGTAGAGCACGGGATCCTCGATTTCTCCGAGGCTGGCTATCTCCGCTATAAACTAGGGATCGATCCCAACATAGCAGATCAAGTTTCCTCACTCGGAGACAATTATGACTCCTGGTATTACGATACTGGCTACTTCGGCGCTACCAACTGGCGCACTATCGACCAAGGTCTTAGCCGTCTCCCACGTGCTTTCGAACCTCTTGTTATGGAGAAAACTATGTTCCAAACCGCCGTCCAGGAACTGTCTTACAACAGCGCCACAGACAAAATATCCGTCAAATACCGTCCTGGAAGCCCCTTTAGAACTACTCCAGAGTCCATAGACTTTGACTACGTTATCACAGCTGTTCCTTTCTCAAAGGTCCGACTGTGGCGTCTCCCCCAATACTCTTCACTTCTTAGCCGCGCAATCAATACTCTTAACTATGAGCAATCGTGCAAGATTGCTCTTCACTATAAGACACGCTTCTGGGAACACCTCGATAAGCCTATCCTGGGTGGTTGTGGAAGCACTGACATCCCTGGTGTTGGCAGTATCTGCTACCCCTCGTACAAACTCAACTCTACCGGGCCTGGCGTTATGCTTGCCTCCTATGTCAGCGGCACACTTGCGCGCACAACGGGTTCAATGAAAGAAAAGGACCACGTAGCGCTAATTCAACGCGCTATGATCGAGGTTCATGGCGATATTGCGCGCGAACAATGGACTGGGAAATATGACAGACATTGCTGGGAGAATGACGAGTTTCAGTCTGGCGCCTGGTGCTCACCAGAGGCCGGGCAGCAGGCCCTATATTTGCCGGCCTACTTCAGGACTGAGATGAAGACCGTCTTTGTCGGTGAACATACTAGTTACACGCATGCTTGGATTTGGAGTGCCCTCGAGTCGGCAGTTAGAGGCACCACGCAATTGTTGCTTGATATGGGATTAGTGGATGAGGCTAAGGACATCACTAAGGAGTGGATGGCGAGATGGATGAAGATGTAAATACAGTACTTAGTACTACATATATTTTAAGTGACGTTCGCAATGGCATAATAGGCACCATTTAACCCACCTTGCCCAGTAACTACTTGTGACGCTACGTTATCACCAGTACGATACACGCATGGCCTTGCAAGGGGTGATTATCGGAAGCGTTTGGGAATCGAAAGACATCTAAGAGAATATTACAATGAATATCATTTCAGCTGACACGGCCCGTGACGCGCGGAATCACGTTCATCCCCACTCTTGGATATCATCCTCTACAGCTAAACTCCATTCCCCGCGTATCCTTAGCGGCAGATTTAAACGACGAAGGCTGGAAGTCTAGCTGTACCAGTCGCACTCCTTTATCCATGTGGGTTTGTACCTGCGTCCTAGCTCGGTCGGCGATGGCGTTGTCCCCGCACACTTGTCGATCAGCAAAATGAGAATCCGGGGGGGTGGAACTTACGTGAGACTATGATATCTCCCCGTCGGCCGCCTATCTCCTTCTGGGGCAAGCCTTCTGTATCCGGCAGAGTAGAAGTCACCTTAATCTTCTAGTGGGTACCAAGCTCCTCGTCTTGCTTTCCAGACTCTGAAATATAAAGAGAAACCTTAAGGATCAATAAGACCGTTAGCTAATTGGCTAATGAAGTCAACAGTGGTTCTTACTATGCCCGTGTCCTATGTTAAGATTTTATCCATCCACGGCTTTACTATCCACCGTCTCACCGCATCTTCCTAGCCTGTCGTCCGAATCAGTACATTGAGTTTTATCAGGTGAAAGAGAGGCAATTACCTTTATTCTGTATCTGCTAGATGAGGAGTATCCGACGCGTTCTCACCTCGCAGCTGTTATACCCGCTGACGAGATCTGTAAGATATGACATGTGCCTAGCTATACCTACTTCGATTGCGATCATGATCACCATCCCATATGCCCCAAAGTTGTGCGGTATTCCAAAAAGGCCATCGATGAAAGCACGAAATGTTTTGTTCGCGTTACTCCTAAGCTCCCCAGAGACAGCAGACAGATCCATGACTAAGACGATCCGCAAATCCAACGCCGAGCTATCTACAGGTCGACTGCACGCGCATGTCGAGTAATGCGTCGCATGGCTCGCGGAAAGACCAAAATGAGGGTGTGATATACCACCTTCACTTAGAGTGGGAGGGAAAGAAGGAGATTTTTTAGATGGCCTGCGCCTCATTTCGTGATGTAAGTATAGTTGGTTGGAAAATAATTTACAGAAGAGCATCCGATACGTCCCAGTCTGTTTGGGTGCGGTGCAGGGGTGGCATTCATGGCTTAGCGCCTTTGGTCCACTAGCGTGATGGATTGAAATATCCCACCTTTCTGTGGACGTGCGTGCTTGATCATCTACAACACTAGAGATGGCGCTTCCAGTAACACAAAAGAACTCCATAACTGTGCAGACCACGCTGCCAGTCCAACCATACCCTTTGATATCAGATCGCAATCCCATCAAGACGCAGCGGCTGATCATTCGGCCGTTCCAGGCAAGCGACATTGACGCCCTCTACGAGCTCCGCCTGCAGCCTGAGGTGATGAAATACACCAAGAAGGGTGTGCCAGACATAAACCGCACAGAGTCGCAGGAAATTCTGGACAAGATGATGGGTTCCCCAGGTAATGACATGTATAACTTTGCTATCTGCGACGGCAAGACAAACGTCTTGATCGGGACGGGGGGCTGTCATTTGCCAGTGGGCGAGGTCGGGTGGCCTGAGATCGGGTACATGTTCCGCAAGGAGGCCCATGGCAAAGGTTACGCAACTGAGTTCGTCAATGCCTTCCTCGATGCGTACTGGGTGCTTCCGAGGGTGCGGACGGAGGTCGTGGTAGATGCGGAGACGGTTGAGCTGAGCGAAGGGGTCACCGCCGCCAAAGAGTGCCTTGGGGCCATCACGACGGCGGACAATAAGCCAAGCCATAGCGTGCTACGGAAGACAGGTTTCGAGCGCGTCAAAGTATTCGAAGTGCTAGGGAACCATCCACAGGAAGAAGGCGACATGACATTGTGGGCGTGGACAGTGAAGTGGCCATCAAAAGCAACTTAAGGTAGACTATAGGCCTTGCAAGATGTTCTACTTAATATCTCGAATCAAACAGCAAGCATAAGCATAGAGACGTCAAACCAACCCGAAAAATCGTCACTTCCGATTGTCCTAGATCTCCCAGCTGTGACCTGGCAACACCTGACCACTGGTCTGGGCGTCTGAGGATGAGGTTGTGTCCCGGATCAGGAGGTATGCCCCCATGCATCATTTCTATTGCAATGACCCCTAAAGGACGAGCGTGAGGAGTAGACGTTGACGGCTGATAATCATCTAAGAATGCTGCATGATAGATCAGCTCCTAAACCGCCCCGTTATGATAAGTATACCTAGTATTATCAAGTGAAATCAAATATCAAAAATATCCACCTCATCACCTAAATCCGCTCCTTTGGAGCTCTCCCTAACATGTTCTATGGAATCGTCATTGTTCTTATCGGGCATTAAAAGGGTCCCATTCCCCATTTTAAGCCTAGATTCCCAATGGTTGTGCAAACTAAAGGCTTCTCTAACCAATGTCTCTAAGATGGAACCTGTAAGTACCTTATTCTCAATATCCTCTCTGAACATTGCGGAAACCGCTTCATTTTCTTTTCTATCCAGCTCCTTGCGCTGCTCGCGGATCATTTGAAGTTGGCAATCCATCCTATTTTCCAGAAAGTTCTTATTAAGTTTCATATCCTTGATGCGACGGTCCAGACCCGCTTCCACGAGTTCCAGAATTGCAGCTCGAGTATTATCACCCAGCGTCATTGCAAGTCGGATTGCAGACTGTACCATTTTCTGAATACCTTGTGCACTTGTCGGTAGGCGATGAACAGCAGAATGGCGAAGTGAGTCTATGGAAGAGAAGACTGTACTGAGGGGCATTCCAGAGTCGTTAAAAACTGCGTCGGCTGGAAGCTCATCACTGAGCTTGACTAAAGTCTTTGTCCACATTGTCAGCTCCGCCGCCTCGGCACAGTCCCATCCTTTGCTTTCGACCATCGTAGGAGCCCATTTAACTGCAAAGTCGAGGCAACACTCTTCCAACAGACGTTGAGTCGTTATCAGAATGAGATGCTGTACGTTATACGGAATGGATGCAGGACGCAGGGAAGGGACTTTTGATTCCACTTGTATAGGAAACTCGGGCACCATTGAATTAAGTAGCAATAGCGTCTGCGTAGGCACTACAGGCAATCAGTACGGCTAGGTAGGTTCAATAGTGGTAGCATACACTCTTTCCACATCCGCATCTTCGTCAAACTCATTTATTCTACCTCCTAACACCAGTTCTTCCAGAGCCTCTGCTTCAGAACGTGCCACCTCATTTACGGATGCGGCCCGTTGAACACTTCGGGATAGCGTAGTTTGAAAGAGATCTGGAAACGTAATCTTTGCTTGGATATCTGATTCGAAAACACGAACTTCTAGGAGTGTCTTGAGTATATCCACGGTCTTGTCGGATCCAAAATCCTTGATAAGAGCTCCAAACGAACCTGAATGTTTTTGTACTAGCTTCCGGATCTTCTTGGCCTGCCGAAGGTTGGCATTATCGCCTGAAAACAAACTGCGATACGCAAGAAAGACACGACGCTTTTCAGCAGGGAGTGCGACATTATCACGGCTTTGATTACGGCTGAGAGCATGCACTGGCAGGATATCCCGTATTTACTAGGAGTATTACTTATATACCTCGAGTAATATACAAAATAGCCTCTGCAGATTCGAAGAACCGGTTTCATCCAAGTATTGATTTCGTATTACAATCGTGTGAAACATTTAAAAGGGAGCTGGGAGTGGGTGTAAAGAGGATATGCATGTTTGATTAATGGCGATTCGCGAACATATCGAGGTGAGACATAGCTCATTAGCAGTTGATAGTTTGAATTCCGAGGTATGATTATTTGCAGGAACTAGAAAGGTCATCGTTACTGGGAAGATTTGCTAGGTCTCCCTATCACATACAGGTCTCATTTCGCTCAGAGTCTCCCCATAGAACACTAGAACAGCAATAGCCATTATAAGAATGATGTTTCGGGAAATGTAATACAAGACCAATAGTCTGATGTGCTGCACTTGGTGTGCGAGCACTTGTGTAAAGCATGCTGGTGGGATTAGGATGGACGGATTGCGAAGGGACGTGCGTGGTGTGTGGCTGCAGTGTGGGATGTTGCGATGAGCTATACATAAGTTATGGAATAATACTAACTTTTATCTAGCATCTCCGGGTCTCCACAGAAGGAAGCCTAGGTCTCGATGAAAGATTCCTCTGCCAACAGACTGTTGGTGGTACCAGCGGTGGAATTGGCGGACGTAGAGACTCAATGGCCCTCCCCTGTACTAGGTTATGGGGCGGTCCAGGTAGCTCTATTTGGTTTGTTTGAGCCATATGGCCGACACTTAGAACGTCGATAGAATCAACGAGATTATGAGAAGAATCACAGTAGGCAAGGTACTGTATAGAATGTCGGCATATTAAGGCTGCAAGTGGCTAGGCACGGCGGTGCTTATGAAATAGTGGAACTGTCAACTGCTAGTTATAGTTAGAGGCCGCCTTCCTCCCCGTCCCCCTGGCGGTAATCGTCCATGGCGGGATGGCACGGCGGGAGATTTCCCGCCGTGCCATCCCGCCATGTAACTGTCGAATTCTCGCCAAAACAAAACGACAAGAGGGAAACGATAACGAGAAAACGAGAGTGATAAAAAGACAGCGACAGGGAGGAGTACGACGGAGACGACGGCGACGAGAGGGCTCTGACAACGAGAATAACGTCCTTCACCCCCTCTAGTAAAAGTCGACCATAAATCATTGCCACACCTAGAAAGCGTGACGGTGAGAGGACGGCGGTGAGAAGATAATAATGAGAAGGTTGACAACGACGAGAAGGACAACGACAACAGTGGACAACGACAACAGTGGACAACGACAACAGTGGACAACGACAGCAAGAAATGGCGGAAACAGTCACTTGGAACCTTATATTCGTATTTTCTTTAGTAGTGGATTCAACAGAAGCGTATTCTAAATCCGAGACAACTTTTTATCGGCTTTTGTTACTGTGTTTGAGTTTTCCAAAGTCTTCTCGTAGTGCAAAGAATTTTGGTATCAACCCCCACAGAAGCAGTAGATTGCTTTGCTTGAAGGTTCCCCTGGTATGACCTCCTTGAGCTCAGAGCTTTTAGATCCAGTGACAATGGTTGGAGAGTCGGCTGCAACCCCTGTTGTCACAAATAGCATGGTTACAACCATTGTGGTACGGGGATGATAGTGTTCGTGGGGTTAAAGGCGGGATTAGAACGAGCGAAACGACAGAATAAGGAATGGGATAAACTCGAGAATATAACGAGCAACGTTCACTTAAGGAAAGTGGAATACGAGGATCTGTGAAAGAGGATGGTCGCGAGAGGACGAAGATGGGAGGACGGCGATGAGGCTGACAGTGAGATGATGACAGCAGCAGATGATACCAACAGCGAGAAGGACGCCGACGACAAGAGTACACCGACAACAAGAATGTCATATCTCCATCCACCCTCCTTGTCCCTCTCCACTTCGTGGGTAAGTATCAACAAACCCCGTCCTCGCGTACTGCCAGCGCAGATACTCTGAAATCCGGGCAGAAATACGAGTGTATATGGATTGCACGGTGGTTATAGTGGAAGAGAGAGGGGATAGACGATAGTGAGAGGATGGTAGTAAGAGGGCAACGATAGTGTGATGGCAATGGTAGTAAGAAGGTTATAGCAAGAAAACAACGACAACAATAACACGCAACCTGCCCTTTAATTTCCACCAAACCACCGGTATATCATCATACTAATCTAGATAAAGAGTCCCTCTTCTCGTTGCCATGCTCTGTAATTCTGGAACCGATATGAAGATACTTAATGAATAAAGCCCGTTTGATTCGAAAGCTATATTTCAAGGACCCACTCCTAAACGCAAATATCATCCATTAACTCAGACTTCTGCCACCCTGCACTACATCCCATTCCCCTCAGCAACGCATCCCCTTACTCTCCCTTCTCCTTCCCGTTCCCCTCCGGCACAACCCCCACAATCCTCATCTCATCCTCCACCGCTCCCTCAATCCCCACACTCACCGCGGCCATTATAGCCGGTTCCGTCCTCGACGTATTCCGCCACCAATGCGTTGTAGCCCTCTGCACCGCACTATCCCCCTTCTTCAGGATTCTCGTCTCCCCGCTCGCCATCCCAAGCTCCATGGTGCCATCGATGATGAAGATATAGTCCAGCGTGCTGGTGGTATGCATGGCGCCCTTCATTTGCTCTGGGTTGGGCGAGAACTGCTCGTTGTTAGTTCATCTTTCCGCGATGTCTGTGGACACGAAAAAAGGGAATGGGAAGGGAGAAGGAATAAACGTACATGTATCAAACAGCCCCCCGTCCCCCCGGCAGTGGGGAAATGCACCTTTGGCTTCGCCGCAATGCCTTCATAATTTTTCAGATCTTCATCATCTTTGATGGGGGGGCCGCCGGCGGGGCTAGAGGTGGTGGAGTAAACGTAGTGGACGCGGAAGGAGGGGAGGGGATCGATGAAGGGGGGTGGGGTGGAGGAGGAGTGGAATGTGGATTCCCCCGTTGTGGGGTCGGTAGTGGTGATGTGGTTTGTGGGGGCGGGGTAGAGGTTTGCCATTTTCTATGAGTTTGGATGGGTGAAAGAGTGGTGATGGTGAGGTTGTGAGGCTATAAGCTTTTGATAATGTTGGGGCAGGAGGGAGATGGCAGGGTAATATACTGTTCAGCTTGGGAATTATTCTGGGGATTGGTTTGAAAAATGTGGGTGCCTTCCTCATCCATGTAGGATCGAGCGTAGCACCCTGCAAATGTATCAAACGGTTATGTGTAGTAGCTGGATGCAGGGTAGACGATCCCATCTAGTCTGGCCCGGGGAGTGGTGTTTCGTTTTACTCGCTCGTAGTCATCGGGATGGGATCGTGGATAAATGAAGTACCACACGATATATCCCGCAGCCTACCTCAGCTCGGCTCAGCTTATCTCCGCGGATGACAGACGTCGTGCCATCCATTGTCTGCACAGGGTTGATCTAGATGTTGGTTCACGGAACAGTCACGGCGAAGGTAGATATATGGGTTTGTGATTTTTTTATATATTGTTGCACCATTGAGGCGGATGGTCATTGATATCTCTAGAGTTCTCATATTTAGAGAATTTACATAACGTAATGTGGTTATTACACATACAGCCCGATTCCATCCGGGATTCAAAATATCACCCCTCTTAGTATGCCGAGCGAGTTCGCATATCCTGAAATCGTCATTAGTATTTGTTATTACAACTGAAATGAATTCAGTGAAGACTTACAGAAATCTTCCTCTCTATCTCGCGCACGCTCCTGTCCAACTCTCCAGCAATCATCATCTTCTTATCCGTAGGCAGAAGTGTATAGCGCTCACACAGATCTCCGTCAATGACACCCTTGACCGGGACGTAGTAGCTCCGGTAGATAAGGTGGTCTCTCCCCGCAAGCGGCGCGTCCTCGGTTCGCAGGTGCTGCTCAAGCGTCTGGAAGAAATCGACATCTTCGCGACTGACGAACGGGATCATGATGGCAATGGTGCCCTGAAGACCGCTCCAGAGGAGACAGTCACGTCCACCGGCTACGAGATTCGTCTTTTGGATGCTAGTCGGGATATCATTCGCAAAGTTGTGCGCCATCAGGGCAACGCGGTGAGGCGCTCCCTGAAGGTACTGACGCTCGTGGACCAGGTGTGCGCCAGAGCCCTCTTCGTCTGCTTCCTCGCTAGCCTTGGTTGGGCAACGCAGAAGCCAGAGGTTACCAAACTTGTCACCGCCGGCGACGGTCTCGTAATCGACCATCGTCGTGCAGGTTGTCCAGCGCGCAATAGTGTCATCCGCGAAGGGAATGAGCTTGTTCTCTTGGAATTTGTAGACGACGAAAGTAATGCTCTCCTGGACGTCACTGACGATGATGCGGCTACCTTGTGTCTGGAGACCGACAATTAAGGACGCAGCGATCTCAGCCTGTGCCTTGCGCAGAAGTTGACGCATTCCCAAGTCGTATATGCGTAGCTCTCTGCCGATGCCAACAAGAAGCCTTCCTTGGAATCCGAGAAGTGCAAGCGGGGGCTCTTCGACCTTGGTTTTATGGATAAACTCGATTTCCTTCCCTTCTTCATGGAAACGATACACATGGATGAAACCACCCGATGATGAGCGGGGGCTTGCCACCATATCCTTTCCTGTACCCACAACCAAGAATACTTCATCTTCTTGGCTTGCAAAAGAAACAGTCGCCATGCTGACCGCTGCCTCGTTGTCTTCGAGGTCGATTTGCTGTAGGACCTTCTTTTCCGTGATAGGGTCAACGATCTGGATGCAAGATGCCCAGTGGCCCCTGCCACGAGGATATCCGAACTCTTCAGCAGGCAGAACGGCAGAGTCGCCATTCTGGACTGAAGGATCTTCTAGCAGCTTTTGTTTCGTGCTTTTGGAGAGAACATTATTATCGGACTGGATGACGTAAAAGTATGGGTGTTCAGGATGCTTGACAAATCGGCGGGGGGTATAAGACAGTGGGATTGACTGTTGAAGGAGGTTTTCTGTGAGTTTTTCGATTGAGAAGATCCTGAGATATATCAATTAGCTTCTTTCAAAACAATTTGGAGTTTATCATGAAATATAATTCATAGTATAGCATTCAGAAGGAACAATTGGATTTTAATAATTAATCCTCATAGTCACGTGTGACGTAAGGTTTTAACGATAAGAAAATCATCATTATGCTGGGAAGGGGGAGGAAGAAGAGGAGAGAACTGCGTACCGTAAATTTTGCCCTTGGATTCCAACCATCCCCTCCGGGCACTGCTCGCTGCTGAAATTCCAGCCCCACTCAAGTCCGACGTAGTCGAGAGGCGTTAACATGAAGCCCTTTGTGACTGGGTCGGAATACCCAAGCCAAGGCCTAGAGCTCAAAGCTAGTACCGCCGTTTGGCCCTGAACAGAAACTCGGAACAGCTTGGCTGGCTTCGGTCCCAAGAATCGTGTTCTCGTATCGGACAATTCACCAGTGACCTCGTCCAGAACAGTTCTCAGATACACGCCAGAGTAGAGCCCGATGTGAAGATAAAGTGTGGATCCACCAGACGAAGAGTCCGTCATTGCCATGATTGATAGCGACGAAGGCGCCGATGTCAAGGCCTGGACGGACTTGTTTTCAAGAGTGGAGTCAGGATCGAGGCTGAGAATTCGGACCGTGGAATCATCGCATCCAACCGCAAGGAAGTTACTCCTTACACGCCCTTCCGGGACTTCTCCAAGACTCAAGCACGTTACTGTGCCGCTCATCTCACGTTTCTCGTCGTACTCTGCTAAACTTCCATCGGAGTCCATTTCAAAGTAGACAATTTCTCCGGAACTCAGTGCCACGGCGACTTGTTGTGCGTTCGTAGTGGCCGCAACGATTGAGCGGTGCTGTGGTGCGGCCCATTCATTAACACGGCGATCCGCTCGGATATGCCTGATGCCCTTGGGGTGCACCTGAATCAACCCATCTTCTCCGAGCTGCTGAACAGCCAAAGTCGTGGCCGAAGAAAGGAACCCAGTATCCGTCACTTCTTCAACAGTTTCACCAATGCTGAGCACAAGCGTGCCGTTGGAAAATGCCAGAATGATATATGCGTCATACTCATCACCCCGAGTGAGTTTTGTAGTCCAAACAGCAGATGGCACACCAGGGAGTTCGGATTCCACGATCTCGTTGACTTCCAATCCATGTTTCAGGGTACGGAAAGTGCTACGAGCCCCTGTGCCACAGATGGAATATATCTGAGGAGCATCTTCTTCTGTCAGGTTCGCAACCTTGCAGTCCATTAGAGGATTCATGGAATCGATGCTTTCCACCAAGTTCAGATTTTCTGCTGGGCGAGGGTGGAAATAGACGGGCGTGTATGGCTCCGCTGGATCCGTTGGGAAGTTGTCGCTGATGTATTCAGTCTCTTCATCATCGTCGCCTAGCTTCTCGAATTGGTAGAATTGATGATTTCCAAACTCACTCGCAACAAACAGGAATCCACTCTTTAGAATGCAGAGGCTCGTTGCGATTGGAACAGTGTCGAAGTATTTAATCTTCAAACGCCTGACCTCGCCAGTTGGCTGCCCATTGTCATCCTCAATCATTTCGATCGTAATTTTGAAGAGGTCTCCATCATCAGACTGAAGAAGGAAGAAGAAAGCCCCAGCAGCACCTCTCATTTTGTGCATAACACCGGCGACAATCGACCTCTTTCGCTGAGGATCCTCTGTGGCGCCTCTCCGCCGGGGGATAGCAACACGGAAGGCCTCTTGGTTGGAATGGCGATATGTGATATTATCTTCACCACAAACCAAAACTCCACTCGGCCCATCAGTTCCACCAGGAACTTGGAACAGTATGCTTGCCGTTCGGTCTACAGGATCAGACCACTTGCGGACAACATGGTTCAGCCCAAGATCAAGCTCGTAGTAGACTAAGGTTTTCTCGATCTCTTCGAACGCCTGACCCGTAGGGTCTTGGTCGGAGTCGCCATAGTCGACTTCTAGGGCAGCGAAAACTGGATTTGCATATCCAACGTCTAGTGCCACTAGGGCAAAAACTAAAGTTTGAGCTTTATGGGCCTCGAGCGGTGACGAAATTGTCAGCTCGGCCTGTGAATTGCGGTTCAAGACATAGACGAGTTTGTTTTTCTCGACAGACGCGATGAGACACGCTCTGCCCTTTGGATCGACTGCGAGGTATTGTCCGGGAATCACACGTCTGACGCCAGACTTTCCAAATGTTTCGAGGTGAAGTCGGTTAAATCTGTTCTGTGCAGGAACAAATTCAACAATGGTGATGCGGCCAGAGTCGGATCCAATGATTATATAGTCTTTCAGAAATTAGCAAAGAAATCCCTGGAGAAAATTGTGCTAGCTCCATGCACCAGGAGAAGCTGTGGGGCCACTCCAGATTTTGGACTGCCCAACACGCTTCCACGAATCACTAAATGAAGCTTTCATTTGGAGGTGTTTGTTTGACTTACCCTTGTTGCTGCCGGCTAACCTGAAGGCTGCCAATGTCCTGATGATGCCAAACACATCGTGTGTTAAGGCTGTGACAATCTTCCCTTGTGATGGATCGGGTCTATGAAGAGTAAGGCGAGATCCTGATGCAGTTACAATTTGCTGCTCTTTCGTACCAGCGAATTGGCCCAAAATAGCCTGTGTGACCGCCGTTGGAGGTTGTATCGTCAAGGAGTACATGAACATGGACGAGGTGGTCGCCATATTGAATTGCGGTTTGCGCAGCAGGCCGCTGCAGCTTTATAGGTGGTCGTGTATCAGCTCCACAGGTTGGTGGATGGAGTCTTCATTATGGTCGCTGGCAAAGCAGCTTGACGCACAATTGTAAATAGGTCGCGCGTTGAAAAGTTCCTCATAAACCGAGGGCCGTGCGTTGATTGGCTGGAATTATTCGTGGGCTAGTACACCTCGTGGAGCTGATTCTACACCAAAAGTCCAAGTTTCACATCGGAGTGAATATAATTATTTGACATTGCACATAGGAATAATTGCGCCATGCAGCTACGCAATAAAGATCAAGGCATGAAAGGGATTTCACATGGTTCATTTAGCTGTTGGGCGCGCCTCTTTACTGTTTAGTATGTGCTTATAAGCGCGTCGATTTAAGCGCGCCTATATATTTACGTGCCAGATAGAGGCTGTAGAACAGCAAGTTATAGAATGACCTGGAGTCTGAGCCTAATTTTGGGTGGTGAAGATTGATTTTATTGAATATACAGGTAGGTATTGGTCTACAAATAGCCGTGATATAAATACACCTACTTTACACTATCCATACGGACATATCCCCTTAATATCATGCCGCCGCGACGTCCTTCTGTGTCGTCTCGTACCTGGAAGAATTAGCATTAGGCTCATAGGTGACGGGGATTGTAGTTCATACCTCTTGCCTCTGAAGCCCCAGACACCCCAGTTTCCACAGCTTATGTCTTGTGGATCAAGGTCATTGATGTCCCATCTCAAACTTCTGAAGCGATTCTCTCCTGGCGTCATCAATAAATCGACTTCGCCTCCCACAGTCTTATTGACCCATTCGATATCACGATCCATATCAAATTGAGTATATCCAGTGACAAAGATGGGGACCTTTGTCTCCAACAACAGAGGGATGGTCTGTTCCCATTCGTGGGTGCTTGCCGGATGTCCCAATCCTGGATGGAATAGCATGAAGCAATCAAAGTATGGATCGTATGGATAGAATTGACCAGCCTCGTGTAGCGTGTGGTAGTACTCAACAAATGTGCTGATCTTCAAAGAGTTGGTAATGCGGTCTTCAACAACAGCCCCAAACGGATTGGTGGGAGTTCGGGGAGGCAGAGGAAATTCATTGTCTCTGTTGGCCATACTTTCAGGGCCGATGAAGACAAGATGAAAGGAGACTCTTGGGAACAAGTGAGTCAGCTGCACCCAGACCTCTCTTGGAAGGGACGACTCGGCACGGGCACCCAGAATGAAGATTCTGACTGGAGGAGGAGCTGGACGCAACCCCTTAATATCGCCACCGCCTCCGGTACGAGCAGGATGTAAGGTATATCGAAGCGCACTCAAGCTCTTCATACCCTCATTGGTAAGGCGGCCATCCCTCTTTAGCGAGTAGGGGCTCAGTTCATGCAGAACGCTGCCAATTGTTGCTGGATACGTCAATAGCCTCGTTGCCTGGCGTAAACTCCTCTCGTCATTGATTGCTGTGAACTCCCTAGAGTATAAAAATGTATCCCAGTTTGTCATATTCACCAGTGCTTCTTCAATCTGATCGCCCGGGTACTCAAATTCCGGGAAAAAGCGACCAGAGCGGAGGTCATGGTCGTCTTCGTTTATCTCGCGGAGCGTGTCGCAAACCTCCAGATGCTTCTCATAGTCTTCTGCCCAGTGTTCCTCACAGCAAGCAACCGGTATGCCGCAATCTGGGCACTCGAAGTTGACGTGCGCAGGTGGTGTAGTACCGGTAGACTTTGGGGCGCTCTGCTTGCTATCGGAATCTGGAACTGATCGCGTATGTTGATGGGCATGATTTGGGCACCATGCGTTTTGTTTCATAAAAGCAGCGCGGCGGCGAATTTCTGGAGAAGGCGATTCAGAGAATGGATGAAAGAGGTTGTTTGGAAGTAACAATGGGCGACCTTCGGTTTCTGGCGCGGGAGTGTATTCTAGGCCCGGTGGAGTCCGGACCTGTACTGGCTCGCTCTTTGGTTTCTGTCCAGCAAAGTCGGTTATCGTCTGTAATCTCTTTACCGATGCTTTCTTCGAGGGGCGTTGGGCTAAAGGCCGCTGTGGTGTCGAGTTATTGTACAGTCCGGTTGAAATGGATCTCCGCCCTGCTCCGAGGGTACCAGTCCGCCATAGCTTCAAGCTCGCCGTTTGAAGTCGGGGAGAGTTTGTGAGTGCTCCCAGGCATCTCTGGCAAGTATATGAAGCTGTAGCCATTGTTGGCTAATTCGAATTATTCGTCGAGCGGGCTGGTAGTGAGCAAACCTTCGACCTGGTACATCGATGCTGTCTGTTTAGCCCAATATATTTTAAACGAGGCTCCGCCTTACCCATGCTCCTGTATTGCGACTAGCTCACCGCCTTCCATATTCGATATATCATATATCCGGATGCCCCTCCCTCGTTCACTTCACAGACAAGAAAGCGACAAAATGTTGGAAGTAATTTATGTGACAAGGCATGGCGTAAGGAACTCTCCTGTTATATTTTACTTCAGCTACTGATAACATTGTTACAGTTCCGTTCGAATTGGGTCGTCGACGCCGAGACGGGCGTCTACTCAGGGTCCATTCCTTCACCAACTGGAATCGCCAGCGACCCTGCGCTGGCAGGATATGGAGTCACCCAAGCACGCGAACTCGCAGATCATCTTGTCACCGTCGATCCTCCTATAGAAGTCTTTTACTCTTCTCCGTTTTATCGTTGCATTCAAACCATATATCCGACCATCGAAAAGGCCGAGGCACTGAAACCTTCGGTGCCGAAACGCACCGTTCGCGGGGATACAGGGGTGGGGGAGTGGTATGGTACAGCACGATTCGACCACCCTTCGCCAGCCACACCAGAAGTATTAAACGGCCTATTTCCTCTGTACGATCTTGAATACAAATCATCCATTGTTCCTAGTGTGAACGGAGAGACAATTGACGAGCTGCATGACCGGACAGCCTATGCTCTCCACAAGATTATTGAACAGAGTGACAAAGATGGAGTTAAAGCAATTATAATCTGCAGCCATGCGGCGACGATTTTAGCAATTGGGCGAGCGTTGACAGGCAGAATGCCCGAGGATATTTCAGAGCAAGACTTTAAACCATTTACTTGCGGGTTGAGCAAGTTTGTGAGGAAGGCAGGGGAGTCTGTGAGCGGCGAGGTCAATTTGTGGGAAGGCCCAGGCGCACAAATACCGAACGTTTCTTGGAGAAACGGAAATGGCGTTTCAGGCGGATGGACATGCGAATTAAATGGGGACTGCTCGTTCTTAAGTGGCGGCGAGGAGCGCGGGTGGTAAGTTGCAATCCTACCTCTCTGTACTGTAGTTCTAATCAGGTTTTAGGCGTTTTTCGGGAGACGAATCATTTATGACAACCACAACAAATGGTGCTACGGTTGATGCTGGAACTGGTCTAGGTGTGATTGTTGAAGGAAATAAGAAACCGGATCGTCAGTCATCGCCACCTGGAGGATCGAGGCTTTGAGACCAAGCATTTAAACCCTGATGCCAAATCATGCTATGCTCTAACGAGCTCATGATCAAGCAATACGATAACTATTTCATTGCTAAAGGGCTACCTGGTAAAAGTGCGGGACAGAGGAACGATGGCAGTAGAATGCTGTGCAATGCCATTTCTTATGAGGGCCTTTCTAGATACAGATACAGTTGTTCTTGATTCTAGTTTAAAATGAAGCCGCCTCTATATGTATATATTCTATATAGATATTATCCTTGCACTCTAAAAGCCAGCAGCCTCTGTTGCCTTTGGAAACGAAGGGGCGTCGAGGTTGCTCCTGCAATCTTCTTTCCAATGTTTTGGAGTGAACTTGTCGACAATGGCCTTGAATGTTGCCTTATTTACTGGTTAGCAAGTCTCTAAATAAGCTGATTAGAACTCACCAGAGTGCAGAAGCTCTCATCTCCGTCCAAATGGTTCCCAGGTAGTGCACAGCCGGGAATGTACATAGGCTTATCGTTATACCTAATTCGGACGTAGTAGCCATCCAACTTCTCTTTCTCGGTATCATTAAGCTCTTCGATCCTCTTCCTGGAGATCCCGGTCGGTGCATTGTTCTGGTTCGCGGCTGCCTTCGAAAACCAACCAAACCAGCTTTGTTTTTCGGACTTTGGCAAGACCGACTGTGCAGTGTTTGGCGCAACCTGATCCTTCGAAAGTACTTGGCGACCTGGCTGATCTTCTTTCTTGAATAGCTCGAGGGCAACATGACTCGTATAAGGAGGCCATTTCTCGCCATCAAACGCACCCAAGCTCGTAAGAATAGCCGCAAGAGTAGTGTCGTGGCAACCGCTCAAGCCGAGTTTAATATCTTGTTCACCATCTGTTCCCTTGGTAATTGGGCCATTACTTGCCCCATCACTGTTGCCGTTCCTCTCAATATGGCCAACCATTCGTTGACAGATGTCGCCCATTAGCCCGCCAATCCCAAGAGCACGATACTCCTGGGACTCCTTATATCCACTAAACCATTCTTCTACCCCTATTTTCTCTATAATTTCTCTTCCCTTGTCATCGTAGAACTCTTTCGGTAAACGCGTCTCCGGGCCATGGGCAAGGGTTGAGTTTATGGTATCCATGATTCCAGAGAGCCTCGGGCGTGAATCCACTGCTACACCTTTGCTTGGATCCGGCATCCACTTTCCGATCTTCTTCGTCAAGTATGCCATTTCAGTTGTATCGTTCCAACGATCGGCTGTGCGTTGCGCGAAGGCTCGCGAGAGCATGGAAAATCGTCTGCAGTTCCCATCGTTCGGAAAAAGGGTTTCATCTGACGGATTTCTCGTTATGATTGTCGGAGGAGGAAAGGATGCAGAGCGTGTGTCTGATGGGTATAAACCCCAGAACGCTTCTTGCATAGACTCCAAGGCACGAGGTATCGGAGTAGCGCGGAGATATATCATATCCCCATTGCTTATAGTGGAGGGCATGAAATTCAATTGGTCCACATACAGATGCCGTAGGCGCTTTCCAAGAGCATGAGTTGTTCTCCTCCCAGTGTCGGTCAGCTCTCCTAGGTTGCAAATGGTTTCAACTTCCCCGTCTGGCCCGGAAGCTATGACGGGGTTGTCCTCGGGCCCAAATGTCTCGAGGCGGCGTTTCCATTCCAAGGTTCCCCATTGGGAGTTTTGGCTATTCAATGTTGCATTCAGCAACTGTCGCGCTACCGAGCAATATGGCCAGAAAGGCGCAAGGCCCGCGTTTTGGAAGCGGGCGGAGACTGGGCTTCGTTCGCCATGGCGTAATAGGACCTGGACCTGTTGAAGCTTCAAGGAGCTCGGGTAGAGCTTTGCAAGTTCCTCATCTGAGTACGGTGCTCTGGGGCGTAGAGTTGTCATATCTGCATCTCGTATTTCTAAATTGAAAGTTGTTGATCGTTACAATTGCACATCTCCTGAACCTCGAGCCACGACGGTTACCGGCGGGGTCGAGGCTGAGACCCACTTACCCGCTTCGGCGTTTTGAGGCGGCTGGTGGTAGCCTTGCGGCGGGAAACCCCGTTACCAGACGTACCTTGCCCATTTCGAGGTGCTTGAGTACTGAACGCTGTACAAAAGTTTGAAGGTCATCTGCACGGCGTCATCCTCTGAGCGACATCCAGAAGCACATTCTTCATTCGCCGGATGAGATGAACGGAAGCCATATTTGCACAACATGCCGCCGAAAAATATCCGCAAAGGCATTCCAGAAATATCCGTCAACCCAATGGATCTCCCGAGCAACTTTTATTTCTCTCAGTGCACCTCAGATTCCGAAGCCCGCGCCTTCGGAACGTCCTCCTCACAAAAATGAAGACTCGAACACGAGCAACAGGCCGCGGTGGTCTAACAATATGCCAAATATCGAGGCGTCCCGGGCTAAGGCGCATGGAGACTTATTAGAGGAGCTTTTCGTGGATGGGTTGAACAGAACATCTGGAAACGGGGCCACGGCAACACTGAGACCCAACACCGCCAGTTTGGAACTATACGAACAAGTTGAGAAGTTGATGGAAATGCTCAACAATCCAAGCACGCCAATCCCAGCTATGTGGGCTTTATTCACACAAATTTGCCCCAAGGCTCGTCCGAAAGGGTCTCAAACTCCATATTCATTACACTTTGCCGCCAAATCCCTTCTTCGTAAGCTTCTGACAGCTCGACAACAACCTGATGTTGCTTCGGGGATACCAAGCGTGAGCGAGATCGCCAAAACCTACGCATCTCTAGGCATACTTGAGCCTAAAGTGTGGAAGCCGATGTTGGAAACATTCTTTACCAAAGAGTCCGCCGAAAAGCTCCATGTTGATGGGGATAGAATCGCCGAAGACCTCCTCGAAACTTGGCGGATAATACTTTCCCTTGGCCATAACTCCAGCAAGGCACCTGCCTCATTTATTGATATCGAATCCAGAGCCAAGTGGAGTCCTCCAGCACTTAATCCTACAAGGGTTAGAAGAGCTATGCTAGAGAGGGGAATAGAGCAGTGTTTTGCTTTATTACTACCAAAATCTCGTAATAAGCTCTTTCATGGCTTGCCCGCGAGTGCTATTATCACATTTGCTATGTTAACCGACAGTCGATTGAGCCACCCCATCCAATCTGCGGCAAATCATCCTTTTATCAAAGCAATTTCAGAAGTGATAGCAATGGCGCAAATCACGCCGGGAGAATTGGACCAATATGTTCGAATGCAAAACGTATCCCACTCTGTGGAACTCAACGATAGGTGGCCATCTATCATCGAGCAAGCCAGAAGCATTGCCAATACCCCTACCCCCTCTATGGAAATCCCCAGGGGCGACACAGATAAAGCGTTCCGTCGACTCATCACGAATAAAGAAACCCGCGTGTTTCGACTTCTACATCGTGCGTTGGCTGCAAGGGACCTTGATACTGCTGAGAAGCTGTGGTCAGAGGTTCAATCGTGGCCAATGGAAAATAATGGGAACGAAGGGCATAACATCTTACCAACTGCCCTCAAGTCATCAGCGCCATCTGCGGAGTTATGTAACCAGTTCATTTCTACATTCATGGCGCTTCACAAGGAGAGAGCTATTGATGTATGGAATTTCATGATCCAATCGGGTTTGCGTCCTACAGTTCTGACATGGCATGCAATGCTTGAAGGATGCAAAACCTCGAGAGACTCACAGTCGCTCTTGGCGATTTGGTCTAAATTGATCGACTCGGATACAGCTCCCGATGTCGAATGCTGGACTACCCTAATAAGCGGGCTTATGTACTGTGGAGATCTTGAGGGTGGCCTCCGTGCATTCGTCGAAATGCGCAAAGTTTGGGAAAAGGCGGCGAAGCGACATGTTGCTCAAGCAGGGCAGCCTATCGATATCAAAAGCCTTGGCGACGTCGATGGAGTCGTCAAACCGACAATAGCCATCATCAACGCTACGATTGCTGGATTATTAAGAAAGAACAGAACTGATATTGCCGGCCAAGTCCTTGCTACAGGTGGAGAAATGGGGATCACGCCGGACAACATCACCTACAATACGTTGCTACGCTCACTAGTACGGAATAAGGACGAGCGAGCTATAACAAATCTGCTAGGGCAAATGCAGGCCCAGGGAGTGCAAGGTGATGTAGCTACCTTTACAATCATCCTTGAGAACGCTCTTTCAGACGCCAAAAACCAGTCTCCTCAAGAACTTATTGAGATTATAAATAACCTCTTTGCCCAAATGGACGCATCGGCAGTGAAGCCAAATCAGCAGACATATGCTGCAATCATCAACAGCATACTCAGGCGTGCTTCCGACTTCGAACTCGTGGCTCCTGTCAATTTTGTTATAGCACATATGTCGAAGAAAGGCCTGCAGCCGTCTGCGCACATTCATACCATGCTTGTTGACTTTTACTTCAAGCAGAGCGAGCCGAAGCTGGATTTGATCGGCCTACTCCTGGACCAAATGATAAAGGGGAACGCAATGAGGGACCACATCTTCTGGGACCGGGTTATCGAAGGGTACTGCTATATTGGCGATACCGTCCGTGCTCTACAGTATCTTCGGCAGACACAAAAGGAAGGGTTCATGGCAGGGTATCAAGCGCTTGACATGCTGATTCACTCACTGGTTCGGAACAACGAGGTTGACCTAGCCAGAGAGTTGGTCAAAAATACGAGGGTTCAACGAGGAGGACCGCCAGAACCTGATGCCCGGGGCGTCGATGGTCAGCATCAGTTTTGGAATAGTGCAGCCGAGATGGGGCTTGTGGAGGAGTTTTCGGTTTAAGTGTAGTATATGTACAGTGTGTATTAGATATAAGAGAACATAATTCATGATACCATACCTCATCGATGTTCTTACACATCTCAAACGCCAAATATCTTGTACTCTTTATCAAGTGAATGTCCAACGCCAGCTGAAAGTTTCTTAAACGTCTGTCATTTTCTCGTCCTTCCCTTCGGAGCTTCCCCCTCCTATCATCTCCACCATCTTCTCTAAGTCTTGCACCTCCCCTTTTGCAAGTTTCCTCCCTTCGGCTTGCCATTCTCCATCTCCCACCTCGCCATTCTTCCCTAGTTCTAGTCCAACAACCTTTTCCAAGTGTCTCCTCGTCTGCGTCTCAATATACTCTACACGCTGCTTCCGCCAAGTCTTTTCCCCTTGCCCTTCCGCAATATTCGGGTCCGCCTTCTTTCTTTCCCCTAGGAGCCTTTCTTGTGGCTTCAGCTCCGCCAACAGGGATTTGAGCGCCGGTAGCTGAGAAAGGACGAAGGCAGCATTGGTGCTGAGCGGCGTATCTCCTGTGCCATCTGCGAGGTCGGCTTTGTTTTCCAAATGCGCAAACACCGGGTATGCTGTATCATTTGTGCTCGGCTCGGATGATCCTGGCGCCTTCGAGGTTTCAGGGGCAGACTTTGGAGGAAGCCCACGCAGTGATCGCAAGCGGTTGATGATGGCTGTGTTCTTCGAAGACTCTGCGGTTAGCAGCCGATTGAGTCTTTGCGCTTCTTGTACTTTGGCTCGTTGAAGGCGGATTGTCTCGATAGTCGGCGCGTCGTCTGGGTGTTTAAAGTTCAAGCCCTGTTGAATCCATTAGCATAGACTCTCATTACGTCAACATATTCACATACCTCGTAATGCGGCAGCCTTATCCAGTCTTCTAAATCGTCTGGAATGGCAACAATTGACCGTAAAGCAAACACTTCCATCTTATCAAAGTTTTTGTCAATAGTAGTGCCCAGTAAGGTCTCTAGTTTGTGTGCGCCGGCCTCAATCTCAAGTTTCACTTGCGCCTCTAGCTCTACCGATTTTGGATCTGACGGATCGATGTTGAGGCCTAGGGCTTCCGGGGGTGCGGTGGAGAGGCCTTGCTCGACGGCATCTACGGCCTTCCATGCTAATTTATTGATACTATCTATAATATCGTCGAGTAGACTCTATCGAGATTTGTTAGAGACCGCTTGGAGGGGTAAAATTAAAGATCTAACCCACCACTGGCGTATGGCGCAAATGCTCCGTCAGGAGCGCCATTTTAGAATTGGTAGACATTCCGGAAGCTAACGAGATTAACAAGCTTGAAGTGATAAATCCATATCTGAACGAAAGCTCGCTGTTCAATCTGAGCTACAGTATCACGTCGTTGATTTGTGTACGCGACCGACAGTCGCGATGTCAACTATCGATAAGGAAATGTGCCTGAGGCATATATGCACCAGGGGTCCTCAGGGTAGTACTTTAGTGCGTCTCCGCTGTCCAAACAGGTCTGTGGGATTGTGAGATATATAATTTCCTGGTAGTATATGTGTCACGGTATTATCGTAATTATAATCGAACTATAATATTGGTTCGAAAGCTACAGTATTTCTAAAATGAATGCTGGCAAACAAAGCCACATATGGGTTATCGCTGGGGTGGGGCAGCACCTGCCCGCCATATTTCCACTCGACTGTCGTCGTCATTAGTGCTGCAATTATCCGCCAGTACCTCCCAAGGTTAATCTTAACCACCCAACCTACAAATCAGCAATTGTTGAGATGTCGATCTCGGGCTACAACATCAGAGATACCGTGAAGAAGGGCTTGCAGTCGAAAGATGCAGATGGAAAGCCTAAAGAAGGTTGGCGAGCGGGGGATTTCAAGGGTCGTGATCAAATCGTTAGTATCTGAGTGGCAATTTCCAGCCATTAAGATTTGGATCCTGACTTCTATAGTCGGGTTTGATGGGAAGGGCCAAAGGCCAGACGACTCAGTCCAATACATCCGAATATGTAGCACGGCCACTTAGCTCATTGAAAGATCCCAGCTCGTTTGCGCCGCCACCAAGGAAGAACAGTTACCCCCAGCGGTCAACCCCGACAACCCCAGTAGGATCCCAAAATGGGCCCTCTGCAGCATACGGTCGACAAATTGAACAAGAACCGGAAGAGCCGAAGGCCCCAGAGCCATATCGTAGGGATACAACAGGGCTGTCCACTTCTCACCTCCCCCCGCCTCCAGGAAGGAGAGAGAGAGCAGATGGAGGAGCTCCGGCGCCGAAAGCAAAGCCATCCCTCCCGCCACGGTTACCTCCCAGGCAAAATGAAAACCCAAGCCATCATACACCGCCGCCCCCACCAGCTTACCATGAAGCTGCGTCGGAACCTCCAGCGCATAGGGGAATATTAAATCAAGGTTCTCTCAGCAGGCTCGGCGCTGCAGGTGTGAGTGTCCCGGGATTTGACATCGGACCAAAAACCACCAAACTGGCGGCCAAGTCACCGCCTCCTATACCTTCTAGAAAGTCGACTCTGACAGACCAATCGCCTTCACATGATACTCAGGTGAACGCGCTGCAATCTCGTTTTTCCCAGATGCGGACTTCCTCCCCCAAAGAGCCAGCCGCGCAGGGGACAACCTGGGCCGAAAAGCAGTCTGCATTAAAGACAGCGTCCTCGTTCAGGGATAACCCATCATCAGTATCTTTCTCGGATGCCCGAAATGCGGCGTCAACATTCAATAATTTTAGAGAACGGCATGGCACGCAGGTAGCTTCTGGCCTGAAGTCTGCGAATGAAATGAACTCGAAATACGGACTTGCCGACAAAGTCGTATCCCACGGTGGTTCAAGCAAGCAAGTCGAGCCAGAGCATGACGACGGCCCAATATTAATGGAAGATAAAACCGTGTCTCCAGCTAAGAAGGCGCCTCCGCCACCTCCGAAGAAGAAGCCTGGGCTAGGTGCGCCTGTCGACAGCTCCGGAGGGCCTCCTCCAATACCACTTGCAAGCAAACCAAAGCCTTCAGTAAGTAAATAAATGGATTAGTATAAAGAACTAGACTATTAAATATTGTTTAATGTTCCCAAAATTGTATCAGTCATCCACTTTCCAATGAGGGTGGTAATATTTAACCGACGTGGCCTTATTATTCTCCTTTTCAAGTTACGAAACTCCCGGTTTACCATAGAAGCTAATATTTCTAATAGATTGTACCAAAAGCAACTCCGAAAATCGAAGATTTCGATCTAGATCTCGAGAAACAATGGTTTGCCAACCAGCACATCGTATTCCCACCTGATTCCATAGAGCGAGTTCCTGGCTCTCGGGGTTACAGATATTCCTCTGGCTGGAGCTCTAACGGTGTGAGGAAAACATGCACTTTCAATGGCCTAGTAATATACAAGACGCTGGCTTATACGAAGATCCACATAACTTGGGACGCCAGCAACCCGGGTTTGACGGTCAAATCAGAGCAGAAGCACTTTCCACCACCAATTTCTCCATCCAAATCGCAGCTAGACAGCTACCGACGACAGTAAGTCAAAACAAAGCTAGACTTCTAGGACTTCCCGGCTAACTGGTAAAGGTACTCCGAAAAACTTGCTCACTGGTGTGAACTACAAATGGGCACCCAAGTCGGCAATGGCGAGTGCTGGACGCTGGCAAATAATGGCCTTATCGCCGTTGCGTCTGCTTGCACTGACCGTGGTGAAGAACCTTGTATGGCAAGTCAGGGCTACGTGCATGGCGTTCTGATCTATGAAAAGATCGGACGTAAGCACCCTGAACCTCATGGTGGGGTCTTGTCTGCTGGAGTTGCCAGGGGTGATATCCTTCAATTCTGGAAAGCGCGTCTTGAGGCGAAAGATGGAAGGAGTTGGAAGAGTGCAGGGGCACCGGATCATACTGCTGTGATTACAAGAGTGGAAAACAACGGCGTTTTGAAGACTCTTGAGCAGAATATGGGCGGCGTGAAAACCGTTAAAGAGGGAAGTTATGACGTGGATGAGTTGGTGGAAGGTGAAGTGAGAATCTTCAGGGCTGCTGGTGTTAACTGGGTAGGCCCATTGGAAGCCACCTGGCCCTGAAACGGTGCGAGTTTGAAGGGTTCAATTATTAACTTTTTTGTATCAATAATCCCTTTGACCTGGCCCTTGGAATACTTACATTCATTTTATTGGTAACGATGGCTCTTGTTGGGGCCTGCAAACTCGCAAATTCACGTGGGCCACTGAGGTTCATCCTAACCACGAAGAATAAGAATCATCAATGGGGTAAAATAGTGATATTATTTATGCTAAAAGAACGTTAACGAAGCTGTAGGATATATTTTGTCACATAGTTACCTAGTTACCACGAGCCTGGGATAATATACGGTGGCCGCTCACATTCCGGTGAGTATTGCGGCAGCGTCAATGTCTGCTTCGGCCTCGTCCGGGTTTTCTGTGATAGAGCTCATAACAATATTGTAAGTCTGCCTGCAAGTAGGGCAAGTTTTCGGGTCGCTTCGCGCCAGCCACTCATATATGCAAATTAGGTGATATATGTGTCCGCAGGGAAGGGAGCGAATTGAATTATTGTTGATACTCTTAAGGCAAATGCCGCAGTCGTCCTGGTGGATATCGGGGTATGTCCTGGCATCGACGTAAGAGAAGAGCTCAGAATGCTCATGCAGGGCACCCACCTCAAAAGTCCTGTCGGATAGCGGAACGCCGTTTATGTCGGCCCGCAGTCGCTCGTTGGCAGTATTACTGTCGTGTCTGATTAGCATTTCCATTAAAATGTCCAGGGGGGCGTCGGTGTGGTTCACCTCGTATGGAGCAAGCCTGGCTTGGCCCTCTCGCTGCACTCGCATCATGGTCATAAAGGTGTGGCGACGCTGAAGTATTTCCATCATTGGGAGAGGGGGGTCTGGCTGTCCAGCAGCGGGCGTGTCCGACCTTTCCTCGGAAGTCCTGGGGATATTTGGATGCTGTCGACACCATGTGCATGCTAGATCCCACATGTAGCTGTAGTATGGCAATGTATAATCACAGGCGTCATCGCAGGCGGCATGCGGATGTTTGTGAGTGCCGCTAGCCCATATCTTCTGTTTATCTCTGCAGTGCTTTCGGGTTGAGGTGTGGCCGCAGTTGTGGAAGAAGGTGATGAATACGAAGCATTGAACTTGCTCGGCGAGGTTCGCCATTTTGGCTGTCTGTCTTTGATGATGTTGTCGAGAGCGCGGTATCTGGACGATGTGCCCTGAATTGGTCTTGGATAGTTATTGTCATGCGAAAGTGATGTCTTCGGGGTGTCTGGCTAAAAAAAGGTTGGGTGAGGTGTAACGATGCCTCCTTAAATACGCTGCAGCCGTATGGCCTCCTGCCATATACGAAACATATGATCAAAGGCATTTCAAATACAGTCATTGTTCATTTTCAGGCTTATACCACAACAATGGATTCATTGTTAAACAACAAAGGTGTTCTGAATACGATCTTCAATGACTTTGTTTCACACTGGACATCCGTTACGTTTAACAAGGCCATTGTTAAAGGCGCGTCTCATGCTCTTTGCTACGTCGTGAGGATAAAGGAAAGTGATGCCTGCACAAACCCAGCTACTTAGACAGTGGTCATATCTTCAAACTTCTAGAAGATAGAGAACAATTCTGAATCGTTCAAAGGATCTCTTAGATAGAATGCTTCAACTTCAAACAGTATGTTATTCTCCTATGGAACATATATAGGCTCCAATCTGCCGTCATAAGCATTAGTATCTCCAGAAATCTTGTGCTTCAGTATTCCAGTAGAACAACAAAACCTACAATATCCCCGGAGGGTATCGAGTCAATCAATACAAAAATATTGAAGGAAACCCCATAACTGGGAGCGCCGAAGATTAAACATGCCTCGAACTTCCATACACTGGGTTGAGGACATGTCCCACAACGACACCTTGACCCTCACAAAGCTTCTAAGGCTGCCAGAAAGATTACAAGTTGAGGAAAACTGGCTCGTAAGGCAAGAGAAGAAGATTGTATACTTACCAACCCACTTGAAAAGGTCAAGGGCTCTTATCCCACGCCTGGTCGAGAAGTTTACCAGCCCCAGCACCAAAGCAATTCTCTGCCCGAGCCACAGGTGCCTCGATCCACAGCTCATCCGTCGATTGTTTCTTTCCATAGTCGACGAGTGCACAACCCGAGTTCGCCGCTTCACGGACTCCCCTCCATCAGACCGCGATATCAGGGCGTGGTTGACTCGAGTTAAGACTATCAACTCGCTTTGGACGCAACCAATACTATATCGTTACCTTTTCAACGCAAACCCAGGTGATCCGGAGTTTGAATATACCCACAGCGAGTGCGAAGCATGTATTCTTGCCACAATAGGGGGAAACACGACGATGCTCGCTGATCTACGGATCTGTGCCATCACTCGCAGGACGAACCACGGACCAACCCCCCGCATTATCAGAATCCTCGATGGCTGGCTGTATTGGACAGGGATGGCTGAAACCATCAGAGCTGAATCCGATCCGTTATATTTGAAGGTTAGGAACGCGCGCCGTGGAAGGCCGATAACTCAAAGTTATGACTCGCACGCAATGCCGGAAACTATCAACGACAGGAGAGATGGCACGAGAGATTACAAGAGAGACGACAGGAGAGATAACAGGAGTGAGGACAGGAGAGATGACAAGGGTGATGACAGGAGAGATCAGCGAATACCTGAATCGACTGATGCAGACATCATCGGTTTCTACCTCAACCGACTATCACGAATGTCTCGCACTCACCAGAGATCCGGGCGGCCGAACAACGACAGCACTCACAGCCTTCATCCAGCCTTTCGCGACAACATTGTTTTTGACGCCTCAACTGGAATATACGGCCAACGCCAGGAAGACGACATCCCCCTAGTCCCAAGTATACCCAGCATAATACCGGAACCAAAGCGGCAGCCCCCTATGGCCAGTAGCAGCTATAGTCGTGCTGGTTCTGGCGTGGGATTTTCAAACAGTACATCGAAAATGACAGAATGGCGCCATGACGACTACGCTGAACAGCGCTCGGAAGCATATCGCAAACTAGTAGGTGCTCCTGAGAGTCCCAAGGTTGACGACAAGAAAAGCCATCCGCATACTAACACGGACTACAGGTCACCCGAGACAGCGAAGTCACACAAGACAGCAAAGAGATGGAGTGGCTCCAGCAGTATCCGTGGACCTGAGGCGATAGCTCGTCACCGTGCCAAAACATATCGAAAACTAGAAGGTAAGCCCGCAGGTTCTATCATATCCAGTACACTTTCGAGCCCGAAAATGACTTGGGAAGAATTTAAGGGAACAGTTCACCTGACCAGCCAGAATAGAAACTAGATTGATTTTAGAAGCTTGACAGGATTAAACATTACATATTTCTCTAGAATGATAGGTCCAAATGGTGGGTATTTATTTTGAAGTAGATGCTGAGTTGTGATGAGTATTCCGTCTATAACTTATGTCCCAAAGTCCTCCACTCTAAGCTTGTTCTCGACTCGACATGTAATAAACAACAAGCACCAGAAGCGGCGCTCTATTCATCGCCCGCTTCGTTTTCGTAAAGCTTTAGCAAAGCCGGTCTGAACTCCGCTACCTTTGCAAAGTCTCCAACTTTACATCTCATGTAGTCAAAGGCGACAATAGCTATCTGGTCGTCCGAATTGTCCATTACTGGGATCTTCTGGTACCTTTGACTGAAATGTGTCAAGAGGATCCTTCTCGCCTCCATCTTCTTTGCAACCCATAGAGCATTCGCTGTCGTAGAATGCTTTTTCGCTATTGCATCACCCTCTAGTTCGTTGTCGAACGTAGCCTCATGGATGAGAACAGTCGCTCCTTTTCCGATCCTTGCGAATTCAGCTGACGGTCTGCAATCCCCCGAATAGGCCACTGAGAAGCCATTGGGGAATTTCAAAACAACTGCGAGAGCCTGGTGGCAATGCGTCACTTGGCAAGCTACGATAGAGCTTAAACCATAAGCGTCGATTTCTTCGCTGCTGAAGTTGTTGGTCCAAGTATTTCCATGACTCAACCTTAGGGACTTGACACGCGAATAGCCGAAGTCTTCAACATGGGAATATTCCGACAGCCATCCAAGCATACCATCTTCAGATGAAACGATAATACTGTTGGACTTTGTTTCCTCGTGTCGGCTAGTCTCTTCATGCCATGCCCTCAGTACTGACACTGTGCCAAGGTGGTGATCAGCATGGAGATGACTGATCCAGATGACCTTCAAATCTCTGAGAACCTGGGGCATTTCATCGCCAAACACACGCTTCAGCTGACCCAATGTGTTCTCTCCGCAATCAAACAAGTAGTTCCCTACTCCAGGAACGCGTAATAGTGTAGCGGAGACATTTCGATATTTAGATGGCACAGAAGATCCGGTTCCAAGGGTTATAAGCTCTGCGTCTTTGCAGGGGATATCCTCTTGGACCTTGGCGAGCTTGGCCAGATACTCTGGATCAATTATTCTCTTCTGAGCGGCCTGGGAAAGTTGAAGGACTTCCTTATCTAGCCAATTGGGTGCTCCTGGATTCGCCGAGCTTTGCAGCTCCACCAGGACTTTAGCTGCATCAAAAGGTTTCGGCGCGACTTTATCTTCTTTGGCTTCACGTGATTCTCCCAGTTGTAGAACATCTTCGACTTGTGCTTTGATCCAATCAGTGGACTTCGATGCGTCGCTGGGAAGATTATTGTTATATGCCGGAATGGGAAATCGCTCAGAATCGACGAGATGCAGCTTTAGCTCTGCTACAGTTGCCGACTGGAAAGCAATATTATCGGGACAGCAGTCCACCGAGGATATTATATGCTTCAGGTGGCTATACTTCGCTCTGAAAGCGGCCAACCTCTCATCCGCAAAGACACCTTCGCCGAGGATCCAGTAAATAGCCTTGACGCCTTCCATGACTTTCTCTGAAGACCACTCTTTTTGATTAAGTAACCCCTCAATATAATCTGCGGATGGCAGCTCCACGACTGCGAACGCACCCCCCACTCTTTCTGGAGACATAACCATATCTGGTGTTACCGTCGTGCCAGCTTCTGTCACGACACTTTTTCCCATTGTCAAGTCGCGGAAAGAGCTGCCGGGTTTGACTCCTAGTTCTTTCGCGGCTTTAGGATCGAACTTTCCACGCTGGGGATAGTTTTTGATGATGTAAGATCGAGAGATTGTTGACCGACTTGTCGGAGGCAAACTTTCGATACGAGCTCCTGGCCAAGGATTCCGAACCAAAACATCTATGTCTGGCACATACTGATCGCTGCTCGGCAATGGTCCCTTGTATTCTTCGATCTTTCCTGCTTCGTTTCTTACAAATATGGCGGCTGGCATTTTTACCTCTGAGAGCTTCTTAGATACCAGCGCATCCATTTGCCAAGTTGAATCAAACATGTGACCAATGACCCCTTTTCGTATTTGGTTATAACGATCTTCCCTCTGTTCCGCTGTTTCTTCCAGCTTGCCGTCAAATGACATAACATCTTGCTTGCTATATTCAGAGGTCTCATCCCCAGAGATCTCTTCGTGGCTCCTCTTCCTCGTATGGTGGGAGAGTGACTGATCGGGCACTACATCCATAGCCCAGACTTGGATGTTGCTGTCAGACCAGGAAGGCGCGAAGGCGTCAGCAGCGGAAGCAAAGTCTTGTGACTCAATAATATCTAGCGGCATTCCTTTTCTGAAGATAAATCGCCGAGCGGTGGCTAACAAATGATTCATATTCTCGGCCGCGTAAATTTTTACTCTCTTTGGCTCTTCATCGTTTGTATCCCCTATTCTGCGTTTCTTTCCTTTGCCGGGATTCTCCTTCAGAGAAGCAGCCTTGGTGATTAAGACATCGGCTACAGTTAGAATCATTCCGAGAAGTCCTCCATTGTTTTGCCAACTTGTTTTCCCAGTGAGTAATATATCCTCCAATTTTGCCAGGCCGATCTTCTGCTGTATGCATGCCCTCTGCGTCCCCTCGCTGACATTCCCAATCATATAACGCTTATTATCAAAATGCAAAAGTAGTGTCGTACCGGGAGTGTCCGCTGTGGGAGTCGTGATAACCTGCACGTAGCTGCGCATTATTGCGGACTTGCTCCGTCGGCTGGATACTGGAATTTGATTCGGATGCTGCGGTCTCTTTGTGAGATCTGAAAGGATCTTCTTCAGGGGGGCACCAAGGACAAGCCAGTGACTGGGACTGGTTCTGGCCCCCTTAACCTTTGGACCTTTGATAAGCTGATGGGAGGAAATATCTCTCTGAGGGCTCCTGAAATCTATTTGTCGAACGGGCGTTGAGCTCCAAACTCTCTTCGTGTGTGATTTGGTTATCTGTAGAGCCTTTTTGTAGCCTGGATGCGCCTTTGGTATCGAGATTGTCCGCTGTGCAGGCCGAACTTCATTCCGCAGATTTCCTAGTAATGGCTGTGATACGGAAAAAAACCGACTCATGAATGCTCATCTCACTTCACAGCTCTTTCATTGGCGTCCTGTTGCTCGGTTTCGACTGTCCTTAATTTGGACCTTCAGTAAGTCGGGACAATATTTCCAGGTAAGGCTGGTTGATTAGTCAGCACATTTTTCACAAGGCTGAAATAACCCGTAGGCGTTAATCACATGAAGGGTATGGTTTTGGTGCAACGTGGGATCTCAAAATGAAATATTATATAGTTCGTAACATCAATGTCTTTGATATATTCATAAGGTATATTGTTGCGTTTGGGATAGGGACATAATTAACCTCGCTCAGTGTGGACATATACGTTTAATACTAAAATCATAAAGAGGGGGCATTTTCATTGTATTGGAGAATATCAGGCTACCATATGGCACATCCGTCTCCAACTTGTTGGGCTGTGATGCAACAGAACCAGCTTCCCAATAACCATTCATTAAATATACGATCTAGACCTTCTCGCCGACAAGGCCGTGCTTCCAGACAGTGATGTAGGGGGTGACACCATCCTCACGGTAGTTCATAAGGGCAACCCTACGATATAAGTCAGCAATCTCTTCAATCCCTTAGCGTAGAATGGATATATGACTTACATTCCATCAGGGTCCATGGACTCGCCGACGTAGAAATCGTAGTCCTTGAAGTTGCCGACGATCTTCTTGGCGTAAGTTGCGGCGCCCTTCTCGAAAGCAGTGATTTCCTCCTCAGCTGCGCCCTTCTCCTTTAGCTTCGTCTTGACGGTCTTCATGTAACCTAAAACTGTTAGTAACCAGCATAGATCACAGGACCTAAAATGCGAAGAGCATACCCTTAAGATGGCTGAGGTAGGTCTTCTTGTCAAACTGGGTTGACTGGAGACGGAAGGAGTTGACAACATTGTTGACCTGGACAGCTCCATCCTCAACGCCCTCCTCAGCCTCCTCGGCAGAAGCGTTGGCACCGGTGTCTATTTGATTGTGTCAGTTGGAGAGCCGTAACACATGCATCGAACGTTTAGGTTTGTACATACTGACTTCGACAGCGCCCAGGGTGATCATCGCACAGTCGACCTCGTAGACAACTCCATCAACCTCCTTGGGGTCGAAACTATCCGAGATCATCTCGTCGCCCGAGATAATATCCTATAGGAGAGGCATTAGCGGTCTGAGTTTCAACCAGTTCGGTAGATAATGAGAGCGGGGTCAAAGTTCGCCCCTCGCCTGGGCTATTTTGTCTCATGGAAGCCCACGAACCTTGAAAATAATCATTTTGGCGGTGACGTGTTAAAGTCAAAAGGTTGCGATAAGAAAGACGGAAGAAACTGCTGTTTGCGAAGTCCAAATTATGAAACCAACAATGGAGGGGGAGGAGAAAACTCGTGGTGGCCTTGAATCCTCAGTGTTGGTGGGGTCAATTGAAACTAGAACAAAACAAGTTAGTATCCTTAAGGCTAAAAATTCTGTCAACTTTCGGGGGGTACGAGGAGAGTTCAGCCACGGGTGGCGTGGTGGTGATACATACATCTATACGGAGTACATCTCCGTACATGTACTAGCTTACCAGCCACACAATATTCAATCCCGTCGGTAATTCAGTAACTAAGTCACATGATTTATAACTTTTAAGTGGGACACTTTTGGGGGCAAACTCATACTTCAAGGGAACCATAAACTCCGTTACTCTACTCAGGGAACAGAGCGACGATTGTCACTTTCTACTTTCTTTAGCAGTAGAAACACACGTGTGAATATATCACTGCAGACCCAAGAAGCTAGTTTACGTAAGGAGACTTAGGTTCATCGATGCCCATCGAGCCAACGCGGCACTTCCGGATGCGCAGATCTAACCGAGATTATTCGACGTTGGTGCCATAAACGGGTGAGAAGGAGTGAGGCAACATCCTCCAGACTGTCAGCAACACAACCTCTTACGTTTGCCCGAGTTGTCGCCCGTCGTGTGAACCACGATAACTGTCTTGACAATGACGAGCGCCATGGCAAACATGTCGTCCATGTCGACCAAGTCCAACAATTCCTACCTGTCCGACCTTCCGCCGCTGCCGTCATACACGCTCTCCCCCGTCGAGCCGCTCATTCCATACATTTCCGACTTCTACCTCTCCCTCCTGGCGCCATTCGCAGCTTACTGGGTCCTCTCGTTATTCTTCCACTACATCGATGTCATGGACAAATGGCCTCAGTATAGGCTCCATACGCCAGCGGAGATCCTGAAGCGCAACCGTGTATCCCGCTACGAAGTTGCCCGAGACGTTATTATTCAGCAGATCATACAAACAGCCGTTGGGGCGATACTGGGCCTGACCGAACCTGAGGAGATGGCAGGAAAGGAGGAGTACGATATTGCAATGTGGGCAAGGCGTATACGGATTGCCCAAAGGGCGCTGCCACAGCTGTTGGGAGCCCTCGGGCTTAATGCAGCCGCCATATCAAAGAATGTTGCAAGCTCTTACCCGCTGCTCGCAGGCGCAATATCAGGCGGAAACTACCCTTGGCTGACTACTGGCATCGATGTTGTCAGCGGTACTCCAGTACCGGCGTTTGCGAGTTGGGAGATAATGGCTTCGAAGACAATCTACTGGGGACTTGTCCCAGCAGTGCAGTTCTTCATTGCCATTGCCATTGTCGATACATGGCAGTACTTTTTGCACCGCGCCATGCACATTAACAAGTGGCTTTACAGTACGTTTCATTCTCTTTGCCCTCTAAATGGAGACTCATTTGCTGACATCTTATAGCTACATTCCATGCTCGTCACCACCGCCTGTATGTCCCCTATGCATACGGTGCACTCTACAACCACCCATTCGAGGGTTTCTTGCTGGATACTCTAGGCGCTAGTATCGCCTACAAGCTTTCATTCATGACCCCGCGACAAGGGATGTGCTTCTTCGTTGGGTCAACACTCAAAACCGTCGATGACCACTGTGGATATTCCCTACCCTGGGACCCCCTACAGCACATCACAAGCAACAACGCTGGATACCACGACATCCACCACCAGAGCTGGGGTATCAAGACAAACTTCAGCCAGCCATTCTTTACGTTCTGGGATCGAGTACTAGGCACGGTCTGGCAAGGCGGAAACGTCAAGTCTCGTTACGAGAGGTCTGCGAAGGCCGCCGAAGTGCTTGTCAACGCCGACAAGGTACCGCCGAAGCGAGAATAATAATACTTACACTATAATTCTTTTGTAGCCTATTGATGTATCAATTTTTTTTTGGCATGGCGCACGGGATGGTTGGGATGCGGCCTTGGTTTGCGGGAGGTTTGGCGTCATATGGGCACCACTCTAATGGACGCTGTATGAATATAGATGATCTTGACTGCAGGACAGGAAGGTTCTAGTTGCAGGTTGGTTTAAGAGCCCTTACTAATTTTAATTACATGATGCTTCTTCAGAACATGGTTGTTTGGAATACATTGCAGGAAATATTCCTCCACTTCTTCATACGAAATACAAAGCACATTATTGGAGTCTACATGAAGCCCCCTGAGTCTTCGGACCTGCAGCTGTGGCTCATGCGCCGTGAAAAATGCCGATATGTCGCTCTACTTGATATCGTGAATTATTGGACTCTCACTGTTCAGATATACTCAGCCTTACCATTTGATCTACGATAGAGAGATAAGATAGAGAGGAAGATGGATGAGAGATGAGACTTGGCAGTACAGGGTCTTGTATTTCCCCCTCGATGATGTTCTGGTTCAATCATTCTTGCTCAATCAGGTCAATTTTGTACTCTACAAAGGGGGACCTCTTGTCATCTGCGAACTCCTGCATTGGTTTCATGCATCAGACACGTTACTTACAGGTCACTCCGGTTCACCTCCTTTCGAGTAACAAACGATTCAATATTGCGGAGAAATATGCAAGAATATGCGTTGTTGATGTCTCATTGCGATGGGCCGTCCATGCCGGCCGTCCCTTTGTGGCCCGGTCGAGTTGTGTTTAGCTCCTACTGGATCCTGCTTTGGACGCGTCGTCGCCAAGCGCCAATCATTATTTCCCGTCTCATTTCAAATCCAGCCATATCGTGCCAATCAACCAACCACCACCACCACGCTTGCGGGAACTAGCTACTCTCTAGTTGCGCTCACGCTCTCCATCTTCCAAGTCCCATTGGAAGCCGAGTGTCTCTTCCCCCCAATAGATTGATCCTCAGGGGAATTAATGGGGATCAATGGGGAATTAATGGGGTTTAATCTAATATTACAGGTCCACCACCATCGACACCAAAAATCTACGGTTGAGACATTGTTCCTGGTTGAGCTGAAGCAAAACGCCATAGGTTTGGTTAGCCCAAATGTTATAACTGAGGCATTGTGCCCACCTCCTCGGCGCCTACTGAACAATGCGACACACACTATTAAACCCAGCGTTCCCCTACACCCCTCCCCCCCCAGCCCACATATATCCTCCTCGAATATATTCCTTGTCAAAGTGCCTCTTAAAACTCTTAAAACAATCAATCTAAGCGCCGTGCATCAGGTATCGTCGATCATCCCCGCTACCTGCCATACCTTTCATGCCGAGTGAATCAAGGGTTACAGCAACCGCTCCGACTGGCCCAACCCAAACGGAATATCTCTAAATCACACAACTGCATCGTCTCAAAGACGACCTCGCGCCTGCTGGTACGCAGGTCGTGTTCATACCCCGCAGTGACCGAACATCTCAGATAGAGACTGGAGAATATATCCAAGTAGATTGGATGGGTTTGGAACATATTCGGCTTGCGAACACGATGGCGCACCATTGATGATTAAATATCTACGAGTCCCATAGGCCTTGTGAAGAACCCAGTGTTTGATCGCATCGAAGATAATTAGAGTTTGGGGCTGGCCATTTTTACCACTGTCCTTTCACGTCGACCGCAATGGACCCGACCACGACTCTCATGACCTTTATGCTGTAAGTTGTTGCCCATTATGAGCTTTTTGTAACCAACACCTGTGGTTTATTCTCATTCATTGATCGGCGTCGTCTATGGGTAGTTGCATGAAAGTGGACTCCTTGAACCCTCATGACGATTCACCCAGCACGAGTTATGGGATGTGAACTAGAACCTGTATCACCTTCGCATGCACGGCATTTATCCACTTGGTGTTTGCTTTTTGAATCATGGTTACACAATAATCTTCTCCGGATATCATCTAATATGCTTATAGCCAGACATCTTCCCACGCACGATCGGTGCAACTCATCGGATCGTGGGACAACTTTTCCAAACGGTATCCGATGGAAAAGGATGCCAGGCGTGGACATGGGGAATGGAGAGGCTGCTATTCTTTCAAAGACATCATCTGCGACGGCGACACTGCGAACTCTGCGAAACGTAATGGCGGGCTGAAGATGGGACAAACATACTATTACTATGTAAGAGCCGCAATTTGGCTTTTGGTTATCAACTTACTGATTTAACCAATAGTACGAAATAGACGATGGTATTGAGATCCATGATCCCACACGGCCATTCACTACCGCATGCCAGTATCTGCCTGGTCAGCCTGTCAACTTTCTATGGGTTCCAGTCGAAGAGACTCCATTGAGAGAACGAAGCGCATCTGTAGGCGCAACAGGCACGGATATAAAGACCATGAACCCTGCCGACAAGTATCTGACCCCGCGAGCGCCACCTCCAACACCGAAATCGCTGCCACGGTTAAACACCTCTCCCGGTGTTATTGCAAGGAAGAGAGGCGCAAGGTCGACATCTCCTGTCCCTCGATCACCCTGGTCCGCTAGAGTTCTCTTCGGCCTTAAATCTCCTATTTCTGCGGCTCCAAATAATGATCGCCGGCTCTCACCCTCACGGAGCCACGAAGGCGATGCTCACATCAGCTACCCAACATTAGTGAGCAGCACAAGCAAACGAGCCACTGCCTTGGCCGGGAAGGTAGGCTCTGGAGAAACATCACCATCCACCCGGAATCCAGCACCTCGAGATGCAGCGCCACCAAACCCCTCCATCCACTCAGATAAGAGCTCACTTTCCTCCCCCTTCACATCCATCCCCCACGACAACTTCGAAGACGAATTCGAAGACGACGACAACTTCGCCAGCACCTCCCACCCCCCCATCGACGACGACGAGAAGTCCTCCATCACCTCCCTCTCCCCGCCGCCACCAAAACGCGATTTCCTCACCCTCTCACACCTCACCCTCGCCCCCGTTGAAGCAAAACCCCTCCCCCACCTCCCCTCAGACGCATGTCCCTCAATGGTCGCCTCGCCCCTCCACGTCCTCCCCCAACCCCTCTCCTTCGACGAGAGGATGAATCCCAAATCCCACTTCTCCATCGACAGCATCGCCACAAGCTTCGCCTCGCTCGCGGGGAGCCAGTTTGATAGTTCGAGTCCGTCGGCGTATGATTCGACTGATGAGTATGTGGTTACGGATGATGGGTTCGATTTTGGGTTTTCGACGCCGAAACCACCTGTTGTTCTTGAGGGGGCGGAGAGGGACGCGCAGGCGGGGAGCTTTTATGGGTATAGTCTCCCGTTTGGATCGGCTGATGAGGGGATGGAGAAACATAATCGTTCCGATAGTCTGGCAACTGTTACGCTTGAGGAAGGAGGCGCGAGGTCTTCGTTTGGGTCGCCGGTGTTCCAGAGTAACTCCCCTTCATCACCGGATAACAGGACTGTTACGGCTCTTGATGAGCTTCTTGATGAACTGGGGTATCTTGGGGATTTTATCTCCGGAGACTGATCGAATCACTGGCTGTCATACAACACCTTTGGGCTTGCGAGCCCATTGTACCGATCTTGTAATACGGTAGATAAGGCTCTACCTTGATGTATATATTTTACTTTGCTTTCAATTCGGAACGGCGCCAGGAAACTGTCTATATTCGATAGATAGAAGGGGGGAAGGAGTCAAAGGGTAAACAGCAGCGCTATCAGGCGAACTGCATATGACATAATGATACCAGGAGATGTACATAGAACATACCAACGAATGCTTATAAGGCTTCCACAGACAAATTATAACAAACAATTGAATAAACTTCCCTGTTTGCACAAATTGAAGCATTCCCCCTCTATATAAACAACTCACATCACGTGATACATGTACAACCTCCGACCCCTGCCGCAGATAAGCGCAATCTGCGTTATCGGATCGGTCCAGGGTCCAATCCCGCAAATATTTCGAAAACCGAAAGGCTTCAGAGTCACCGATTTTGTGCCCTTGCAACCATTGTCCCTTATAATTCACCGGAGTGAAGGTACCGAAGGCTGCGCGATTATACTCCTGTGCCTGGGAAAATCGATTGAGCAGAATCGCGAAAGAAGGCGCGTGTAGCGGTGTGCGCGACTAGCGGTGCAGGGACGGTCGAGTCACAAGAGGTGAGATAGCTATTCTTCCGATATACAAGAGGGAAACTAATATATGCCCAGGCCTTTTTTTCGAGTAATTTTCTACAGAGAAGCGATTCAAGATGTCGGCAGCGCTCCCGGGGAACAGGGCACTCCCCGCCTCGCAATATGATCTCGCCACCTACTGGGGCCGCGTGAAGCACGCCGCTGAGATTTCAGATCCTAGGTGAGAACAAAAACACAAAACGGGGAAAGGGTTGGGGGGGAGGAGGGCGGATTGTACGTGGTTTTTCATGGACAATAAACCCCTGGCCAAGGACGAGGGGGCTTTGGAGTCAGGAAACTATGGACGGCCGAGGGGAGAAACATTGGCTAACCAAGCGCGTTATCTAGGATGCTGTTGATATCGAAGAAGGGATTGGAAGACTCGAAGGAGTTGATTGCGAGTTACAAATTGGGCAAGATTGCGCAGATGTCCCCGGAGCTATGGCATGCGAAGAAAGTGGTGGACGCGACTATACATCCTGGTGCGTTGCCTCTTTCTCTACTCGTTCCTACACCGCTGGGGAGAATATACTGACAAGAACCAGATACGGGTGAAGCAGTAATGCTACCCTTCCGCATGTCCTCCTTCGTCCTCTCCAACTTGATCGTCACAGCCGGCATGCTAACCCCCGGCCTCGGTGTACGTCCCTCCTCCTCCCCCCCCTTTCTATTCCAACCCATAACTAACCCCCACCCCCTATAGACGACCGGCACACTCCTCTGGCAAATAACCAACCAATCCCTCAACGTCGCCATCAACAACGCCAACGCCAACAAATCCACCCCCCTCTCCACCTCCAAGATCGTGCAATCCTACCTCCTCGCCGTCGGCGCCTCCTGCTCCGTCGCCCTGGGTCTGAATGCTCTCGTTCCCCGCCTAAAACGCGTTTCTCCAGGCACCAAAATGGTCCTGGGACGTCTTGTGCCTTTCGCTGCTGTTGCGAGCGCGGGAGCGCTGAATGTGTTCCTCATGCGAGGTGAGGAAATCAGGATGGGCATCGACGTCTACCCCGCCCTATCCGCTGAGGACAAAGCCGCCGGGAAATCCGAGTCCGACGTCCCCTCTCTCGGAAAAAGCAGGAAAGCCGCAACGATAGCAGTCAGCGAGACAGCGTTATCTCGCGTGCTCAACAGCTCACCCGTGATGGTTATACCGGCCCTGGCACTGGTGAGATTGCAGAAGATGAATTGGTTGAAGAATAGCCCGCGCTTGGTGTTGCCGGTGAATCTGGGCTTGATTCTGACGACGAGTTTGGCGGCGTTGCCGTTTGCGTTGGGGGCGTTTCCGCAGAGGGAGATGGTGAGGGATGGGACGTTGGAGGAGGAGTTTCATGGGAGGGGGGGTGCGGGGGGGATGGTGGTGTTTAATCGGGGGATTTAGAAGGTAGAAAGGGGGGGGGGATAGGAGAGGGGAGAGAAAGGAGAGGAGAGAGAAAGGAGAGGGGGGAAGAAAGGGGAGGGGAGAGAAAGGATGGGGGGGTATAGATCATGCATTGGAAGTTTGATTGTGGGGACGGAATGAGAGATGGGGAAGAGGGTAGATCATGCATTGGGAGTCTTCTTGGGGGGGTTTAAGATCACAATTAGATCTTCAGAATATAGATCATGCTTTAGAAAGAAAAACACAGAAATAAGATCACACCAACACCTACAGATCACACCTCACACCTCACAAGTGATAAAAACAACCCACAAGTGGAACCAACCCACCACCATATCATGTGCCTTCCCCCCAATCACGTGTCAACCCAACATCCTCACTTCCCCAAAATAGGGGGTCCAATTCGCCACTACGGCACTCCATTTACCGGTCTGCTGGCCATCTCATAATACAAATCAGACATAGACGGCAAGGAGCGAACAAAACCTGGTGTGGAAATTTGAGGCGACTTCGATATCTTTCGATGCCGCGATCTGGCCCGGTGGCGAGTTAAGCCACACAACCCACTCCAACCCACTCCACGACGGTAGACGGTAAACGGGAGATGGTAGACGGGTTCGTTCTTATCCCCCAGCGGAACGGCTTCCATGCAGGCAGGACTTCTTGGCCAAGATGGAGACTGGTAAGCGGCGTTGTGTGGTGGGAGATCGGGGTGTGGTGTGTGTGGTGGTGGAGACGGAATCTGTCGTGCTGCCTGCTGCAGTGTGCTGGGATGGGCTGTACTGTACGGTGGTGGGTTGGTGGTACTGACCCATCCGGCAGGAGTTACTCTAGGGGGGGTGAGGGGCGAGGGCGAGGGGGAAGGAGTGGGAGCGATGGGTGCCGAGAGTTTGTATGCACCTACTACTACTGTACATAACATACGTAGATGTGTTTGTATCGGTTTCTTCCTCAAAGGATCAGGGAGTCTCGCCGAATGATGTATCTACCACCGCCGCTGTTATCGATCACTTGCGGAGTCCGTAGGCAACGTTGACGTGACTACTCTACCGCTACCGGCGATGGATAAGGGCACACTCACCACCACGCCACGACAGTATGAGATGGAGTGGACGGAGGCAGGCCTGTCGCCTGGCCGGGTAAGTACTGGATGTGACATTTGTTGCCGCGGGGCGAGGGCGGGATGGGTTGGGGTTGGATTGTAAGTACTTCCTCACAGTACAGTAGAGTACAGTACACCTACAAGTATCGTAGTCAGCCAACCCAACTGTAGACTGCTGGAGCGCGGTGGTGGTGGTAGGGTGGAGATGGATGGGATGGGATGGATGGCACGCCCCCTTCTAGGTCTCACAACGGACAGCGGTAGTAGGAGGTGGTGGTGGTGGGTGACACCGAACACCGAGTGAGCGTTGGTTTGTTGGGATTAACTTTTTATATGTTTTGTAGTTTGTAGGGTAGCACTGTATTACTATATTATTATATTACCATAGTAGTAGTAGTAGTAGTAGACGTTGTTGTGTCCACGGTGATAGATTCATAGAGTGGGAGTAGGACAGTAGAATATACAAAAGTGTAGAGTGTAGAGTACCTCACCACAGATAGCGATAACGAGCAGAACCGGCGTAATTGAACACGGTCTGTCTGTCGGTCGCGTCCAAGCGAGTCCAGTCCAGCGACCATTCCTTCCCCATCATTCCCCCATACAAGCCATTCGGACATTCGGACACAGGGTCCAATAATCGTATGTTAATGGCTCAGGACAAAGAGTCGTTACATGCAGACAGATATACTAACGGTAAATATTTATATTACAACCCATCTTCCTGCACATACATATATATACCCATAACACAGCCATACGACCATATCATACAACCATACCATATAACCATCCTAACGAACAGAGTTACAAGCCCAATAAATCGTCCGTTGAGCGGGGAGGGGGTGAGTGTTGTACCATATCACCCATATCACTGTACTGTACTGTACTGTACTGTACTCCAACGCACTCTATGAGGAGAAGTACACTAAAACCACACTACACTGCAGTAGACTGACTAACTGACTACTTTATAGTGCAATACATCACACCTGCACTACATTACAGTCTATACTCATGTACCCCGTAACTGCGCTGTGTACGCTAGATTATACGCTTATTCCACTACTACCACCCTCTACTACCACTACTGCCACTACTAACATCAGAAGAACCCCCAGCTGGTCAATAATTTACTCTACACTGTATCATCCCCCCAAATCATGAATCTGAACTAGAGTTACAATAATCCTAATATCCTAAAAACTAACTCTACTACACGATAACCTCTCCTCCTCTCCCCGTAAACCGTTTAAATGGCCTTTGCCCATTAATTGCGAGCATCTTTTTGAATCTTTGCGTTCATTTTAAGAGTAAAAAACCCTGGAGAGTACTTTGCTACCCACCCCTCCCTCCCAAAATATCGATGACCCGAGTCTGTTCTGGTCAAATCGATTTGCCCTCCCTCGCCATCTCGCCAACGCGCTCCCTCGCTCGCCCGCCCGGCCTAGGGTAAGACCACCACGAAACAAACCTCAATCCTTCATTCTACCCCCCCAAAGGGCTTCCCATAACATATCTTTGGCTACGCTTCTTCTTGGCTATCAAATGCTGCACTCTTGACGCCGCAGCCTCGAGGCTACCTGCTGAATCTCAACTCGAGCCCCGGCAACATCTGGCTCTCCCTTCTCCGCACCGCACCCAACACTCGGTTTCACTCGCTATATCAGCGAGAGCGCCAGTGCCCACGACACTGCAATGACGACGCCCTCAGCGACGACTGCTGTTCTACCTCAGTCCGATGTCCATTTCGGCTACTCTCACCATCAAAACTACCAGCCAAATTCCGCGTCCTTTCGAGCCAACGGCAACCTGGTCAAGGCCACCGCTCGTCGGGGTCCAGCATACAAGTTCCCTCCCCCATCGAGCAATCTCACCGCGCCCGCTCTGGACGTGGCCGCTCTGCCTCACGTAGAAGAGTCCCACAGACCTCACTTATACGAGGAGGACGATCAGACTCCGATCATGCCACAGGTGCAGACCGCCACCACACTGCAGACCCCCAAGAAGCGGCCGCGCTCTCGCGAGCCCGACTGGAGAAATTTCTACAAGAATGGACTGCCCAAGGAAATCATCGTGATCGATGACTCCCCGCCGCCTCGAGCCTCAGCATCGGTCGAGGCCGTGGCCAGCGGTCCTCGATCCGACAATAATGGCGCCAATGCGGCGGCGGCTTTGAGGCACGCTGCTAAAAAACGGAAACGTGACGACATGTACGATCCGATATACCATATCAAGGCTGGGCCTTCACAGACGCGAAGTCCGCACTACAAAGGCTCGAATGCGAGTTCGACCATATCTACCGATCGCACGACGTCAGCGATACAGACTACGGCCGCGACGTCGCTGGGGTCGCAATATTCGAATAATGGCTCGCGAGCGTACCCGGTCGACGACACGACGCAGCCGGGTCAGAAGAGGAAGAGGGTCGCGACACGACAACAGCTGGCTAACGAGGCGAAGAGGAGAGAGATTGAAATTAATGGCGATGCTTTCACAAATTATAGGCCTCCGCCGAGGCCACCGATAAAGGCCCCCGAGGTCAATGTCAAGGTTATGCAAGATGTAGGTTGCCTGCTTTTCGGGAATTGTCAACATACTGACTCGTTATAGAACTCGCATACCAAGAACAGCAAAGTGGATGATGAGGATGGACATTATATCGTGGTTCCTGATACGGATCTCACGGAGAGATGTGAGTATCATTTACTGCTATTATTCTGAATTTAGGCTGACATTTTGAAAGACGAAGTACAGAAGCTTCTCGGCCAAGGCACATTCGGCAAAGTCGTTCAGGCCCGGGACCGCAGGAGAGGCGGCTCTTTAGTTGCCATTAAGATTATTCGATCCGTCCAGAAATACCGAGACGCTTCCCGAATAGAGCTGCGAGTATTGTCTACTCTGAAAGCCAACGACACTGAGAACCGGAACAGGTGTATACATTTCCGCGACTGTTTTGACTACCGCGGACATATCTGTATCGTCATGGATCTGATGGGACAGTCGGTATTCGATTTCCTCAAGGGAAACAGCTTTACGCCGTTTCCCAACAGTCAGATCCAGAGCTTTGCTCGTCAGTTATTCACAAGTGTTGCCTGTGAGTACCATCCATTCCCCCCAAAAAACGTTTGCACATATACTAACACCCAAAAAGTTCTTCACGACCTGAATCTGATACACACGGATCTCAAACCCGAAAACATCCTCCTCTGCGAGAACGCATACCAGACCTTCACATACAACCGCAAAATCCCCTCCTCCTCGACGCAAATCAACCGCCAAGCGGGACAGCGGAAAGTATTACTCGACACCGAAATCCGACTCATCGACTTCGGGTCTGCGACTTTCCAGGACGAGTACCACTCCTCTGTCGTCTCCACGCGGCATTACCGCGCGCCGGAGATTATCCTGGGGCTGGGCTGGTCGTATCCTTGTGATATCTGGAGTATTGGGTGCATACTTGTTGAGTTCTTCACGGGTGATGCGCTGTTCCAGACGCATGATAATTTGGAGCACTTGGCTATGATGGAGAGTGTGGTGGATGCGAAGATGGATCCGCATCTCATCCAGCAGGTCAATAAGATGAGCCAGAGGAGTAGTGGGGGAAATGGGACTGCGGTTGCAAAGTAAGTTATTCCATCTTTCGACAGTTTCGAACATAACTAACACAAACTTAGATATTTCAAACGCATGAAGCTCGACTATCCAACCACAGAAACAACCCGAGCATCAAAACGATTCGTCAAAGCCATGAAAAAGCTAGAGGTAATTCCCATTCCTCCCTCCCTCCCCTTCCCTCCCTCCTCTCCATTGGCCTTCAACTAACACCACCCCCCAGGACATCATCCCCCGGAACAACGACTTCTGCACTCACTTCCTCGACCTCCTCAACCGCATCTTCGTCTACGACCCCAGCGACCGCATCACCGCCAAGCAAGCCCTCCAACACCCGTGGTTCAAAGAAGTCGCCACCCCCGACGACGGCACGGAAGCCATCAAGATCAAACTCCAGCGCGAGAAGGAGAGGGATGAACGGCATAGGGCGAATGGGACGGGGGCCGGGGTGGGGGTGCATCATTATCAATGACATGACACCTTGCCTTGAGAGTCGTGGGATGGGATAGGAGTAAAAAATGGAAATAGGAAATGGGGAATGATCATTGTGTGTTAATGGGGGGGGCCAACGGAAATAGTGTGCCCCGGATGTGCGATGATTTACAACCCCCACAGCCGCATCGCCGCCGTGCTGCTACCGTCTAGCTCCATATGGTGCTGGGTGGGTGAGTGGGCAGACGACAATGGTGGGAGGGGTGAGTTATTTTAATGACGGACTGGTGGGCGTTTTCGGGGAGACGGGGGGAACAAGGGCGCAATATGTATGTGGAACGGTGGATGGATGGATGGATGGGGGGGGGGGAGTAATGAATGTTGGGGGTATCTTGTCTATATAGGTGTATGTCCTTTCGTTCTATACACTTCTTGGATTGGAGATAAGTGCTTTGTTGTTGTGATATCCTCGACGGGCGTGTTGTCTGTTTGGATGGGTGGTGATTGGGCTTTGGTAGATGTCTGTTTGGTGATGGACATGCCTTGGATAGAACCTGTGCAGGAGGACTGGTGTGCGGTGCATAGTGTCAATCTATCACGGAAAGAAGAGGGACACAGGAATAGGCACAGGTTATATATAACAGATAACGGACACGAAAAGTTTCCAAAAGGACTTGAGAAAAGCTGAGGCCTCAAATATCAAATATTCACCACCATACCTATCTATCATACACTATATAATACACCACAAAAACCACAACACAACATAACCAAAGCCTCATTCATAACACTTGTGCCCATTCCATTCATTATGAATCATACCATACCTCCCCACCAACGCCCGCTAATCTACCAGCAATCACCATCATCTCCCTCCCTCCCCCAATGCATATCTACATATTCATCTCCCCTCGCGTTCATCATCATCCCGCCCCTGCGGCTCCGCAGGCGTCTGCGCCCCAATAACCCATCCAATCCCTCCAATCATCGTACTCATCGCCGCGCTCCTGAGCTGATCCCTCTTCCGCACTGTAGACTGCTTTACCCCATCCTCCGCCTCCTCTGCCACCCCACCCACACCTCCATCTCCGCCCCACCCTCCCTTCTCCGCATACGCACCCGCACCAGAACCCCCACCACCACCCTTCACACTCGTCAACGCCGCAATCGACCTCTGAGCTTGCGCCGCACTCGCGCGCGTCAAATCAAGGAGGGACATCGGCGCCTCCGCCCCAGTACGGGATTTGGCACTACTCATTGGCGCGCTGGCCCTGGAGAGGGTGGCTGGGGGCGGATCAATCCCAAACCGACCAGGCATAGCCGTATCATCACCCTGCTCATCCCACGCATCCTCCTGCTCCGCCTCCTGTCTAATCTTCGCATCTAGCTCCTCCTCGCATCGTCTGAATACATTGAGGATTTCTTGGAGTGCGGGGGGAGGAGCGATAAGGAGGGCTTGGGAGAGACATTCCATCCGTTGCTCTAGATGGCGGATCTCGGGGTTGGCGCTGGAGTTGCCGACGTGGCTGGGCTTGAGGGTGTGCGCGTTGAGACGGTATTTACCGGTTTGGAAGGCCGCTTTCCAGGAGTAGTTGTCGAGGACCTTTAGGGGGGGGTGGGCGACTGCTCCGCCCTTTGGGAGGGGGGTGGAGGAGGGAGAGGAGGGGGGTTTAGAGTAAGCGTCCCCGCTGATGGAGGGGAGGCGATTAACGACGTACGAGTAAGCCGTCTCGAAATCGTTCTCGGAGAGCGCGGCATCGATACACATACTCGTGATACGCCACCTCGCAATAGCCATTTGCTCATCCACCTGCTCGGGCGACATCTGGGATCGCCCCTCGAGATCCCGGACTGTGAGGCCCGCGAGCACGATCTTGGAGCCGAAGGAGAGGAAGTTGTCGATGTCAGTGTATGTGCGTGTGTTTTGTGCGAGGACCTTCTCGACCAGCGCGATGGGGTCGCCGTGCGTGTGGATCACGGAGGGGCGGTAGGGGGAGCCGGAGTTGAGGACGAGGCGGTAGTTGGCAAAGTGGTTGGCGGCGTCGGAGAGATGGAGGATGCGGTCGCGGGGGAGGGAGGTGCGGAGGGTGTCGGGGAAGGCGTTGAGGCTGGTAGGGATTATGAGGGGTGTTGTGTGGGTAGCTGGGGATTGGGGGACTTACATGTCGAGACATTTTTTGACGCCGCCGCGGGTTTTGTTGGGGTTGTTGGCATTGTTGAAGGCGTGCATTGCTGAGGCAATAATTGTGGAGGATAGTTCTTCTTTGGATAGAGGGGGTTCTGGGGAGTTTTCATATAGAGATCGAGCAGTAGCGTAGCCTGGTCATGAAGGTTTAGTCAAATATGCATATGGTACAACAAACGGGATTCACTTACGACCATGAGTCAAAAGAGCAGTCAGTATCTCTTTTTCCACCGCACCTCGGAGTATTTGACCCAAAACACCACGGCCTCTTTGGGTAGTTGCACCTTCCGAAGATGGGGGTTTGCCCCAATCATGCAGCCACAATACCTCTTTCCTTGCGCTTACCCAGAGCTTGTCATCAGCACCTGCGGAGCCTCCTAACTTATTCAGATATTCTTTTAAGACTGTATGCTGATACGACTCGGGTTGGTTATGAAGCATAGATCCGGTCTTCTCAATAGAAGTGTGAGCCCCAGCTTTGAGGAGCAAGTACGAGCTTGTGATAAGGGCTTGAAGCAGGTCAACGGCTGCCTGCGTCGGAGCCGAGAAATCTTGCTCGTCATTCTTTAGGAAGGAGAGTAGCTCTTCGATATGTTCCCTTACTGGCTTCCCATCTTCTGACAGGTCGGGAACAGGGGCTAGCCGACCCGCGGCTGTTTCCAGTGAACTTATTGATGGCAGCTTCAAACGAGTGATGACGTTACGCAAAATGCGGTGAGCCTCTGACAATGCCGGCATGGAGTCTCCAGGCATACGAAAGGAGGCAGTGAGAGCACAGTGTCCATAGCGTTCGTTGATTTGACGGCGGTCTTCTTGGGAAAGCATTGCGTCCGAGTCCCCATAGCTACCAAGATCTACATCAGCTGATCCTCCCCATTGCTCGATGGCATCTGAAACTGCGATATACGAGGCGGGATTCTGGTTTATGATCCAAGCAAATACCGCATCCCAATCTTGATATTGTGAGCCTTGTGAAGGCACAGCGCCTTTCAAGGGCACAACAGTTTGCGCTCCCATTGCTGATAACGACATCTTCCGACGCTTCCATTGATTATTTCCATAAAGCCACGGTCCAGCCAGGCAGCGAAGATCACGAGCCAATGTGCTGTCCTTCAGCTCGTTCCCATTGTCGGTACGCATGGTTTTCGAGAATAGAAAGTCCACGGCTTCGACTGTGCCTAAACTTTCGAACCATTCTAGGGACTGCGTCTCGGTTTCTGCGGGGTGGTATTCGTAGTTGCGCCGTAAGAGCGGGAGGACAGTTGCAAGCACCCAGTCCCTGAGATAATCGGACCGTTCCAGAAATGGGGCCAGGAGCTCTGGCAACTGAGCAATCAAGCCAGTTTGTTGATCAATCCTATAGGCTCGGTGCAGAAGGAATAGAATTAACGGGTCGTCGGGCGCATCGTCGTGGGTCTGGTCCATTCGCAAAGACAGAAGTCTAAGCTTCCGGACCTTCTTGCTGGCAGCTGCATTGCTGAGGCCCACGATGGGGGTCGTATCTATGACAGTTTCGTCTCCTGATATATGGCCGGAATCGTATTCGACAAGGAGCTGGACATATTCTGAGCTGTCGAGACTCTCAGGGAGATAGGTGAGGAGGATTCGCAAAATCAAGTCATGTAGCGTCTTTGGGTGGGTAGCTAGCAAGGCGTGAAGTGTCCTGATATCTGCTCTGATGGCCGCTTGAACGGCGAGCAGAATAACTTTCGCTGGGGGGAGGTCCAAAGTCGCCATACTCATTTGCAACCATGTAGATATTTGGCGGATTGCTCAGAGAAGGCATCTGAAATATTATATAATATTCATGAGAGCTCTCACATACCCCAAAGTTTACAGATACGTAGCTGGTCCAAGCAGTATAAGGTTTCAGGCCATAAGGCACCCATGCATGGATTGTTCCGCTGCGGCAACGACGACGCTCGCGGGATCACGAACAACCAGAGTAACGAGAGCGAAGATACCAAAGAATTGGCAATTGACCACCCAAGATGTCGTCAGGATATGGACTTAATGGAGGTATGTCAATTGAACGCACAATGCCTTGCCATTGGCATCATTTGCGCTCCCTGGCGACCCTGAGCCAACACTTACTAAATCAATAAATAGGTTCATCCCGATGCTTCCCATTCTGGCAAGAAGTTCTAGCTTGCTACGTCGTCAACACAAACTCAGATGATACCTCTGGAAAGAGGAAGTGCCAGCCCATCCTTGAGGATTACTACGAGTGTCTACACCACAAGAAAGAGGTACGGCCAGACCCAGCGACACCCAGATAGTCAGAATCGTCAGTTATTGCAGGTGCTAACCTCAACCTAATAGGCACACCGTGTTGGTGTGATACAGACGGCATACCGCAAGCACCAAGCAGCAAACCCTCGGGAGGACGCACCCAAGGCGGGAGAAGTGAGGAACTTGGGATTATTAGATAAGGACGACGATACGACGGCCCCAGGAAGAAAATAAGACAGCAGTTGAGGAGAATTGGGAGCGAATTGTACATAAGACCGGTTATGAGTTAGGTTGTTTGTCAACTATCTGAACCTATATTACCTGAACAGCTTTGTTTTGACTTTCTTTACTTCTATTGTGAACGGCTATTCCTCGAAATGCCCTCTGAGTAGAGAGCTTAACCACGGACAAGGCGACGTTACCCGAGTCTCCCATTGGCTACATACAGCGCACAGCATCAAGCAGTGCTTCCCAGTGTGAATGTCTTTGATCTTAGAGGGTACCTTTCAGGCAATAGTATTCAAAGTTATTGAATTATTACTCCTGGCCCCTTAGGATCCCTCCAGCCCCATTGAAGGAGGAGAGGAAACTTGCGTAAACACATACGTATAAGTCAAAGGAAGTGTGGTTTCATTAAGTTCAATACAATTGTAAGCCAGGTCATGACTGTCCGGCTTAACGCTGTGAAATGTCGAATGCCTGCCCCGTATTTCCTGTTGCCAGTTACTATGGAGGGAGCAGAAGCGCTTGTTGTGAATTCACCTCTGAACACAACCTTCAATTTCTCTTCACGACAACACCTTCCTTGGTGGCCACTCACGTGAACGGTTTTGGAACAAAGACATCGCCGTCAATATGCCATCCTGCCGTGGTATAACGTTGTCGATAACGTCGGCTTCGGATTCGAAAGTATATCCAGAGTTCCCTCACCCAGAAACCTCCCAGTTCCAAAACAGCGAATCATTTGCTCTACCAGGTAACAATACCAAGGCGACGTCGTCATTGCCTAGCAAAGAGAAACCAGGAAACAATGCTCCCGACTCATCCAACCCCTATGCTTCCGTCTACATTCCATCCTTGCCTGGTAAGCATAACGTCGTTCTATGTTTTAAGCGTTCCTACCTAACACCCTTCACAAGGAACCCGATTTGTTGTGCAGTATTCCATAGACCCACCACATACAGACGGCATAAACGTTTTCCTTAAGCTGTTTATGAACGGTCGACACGTCACGTCATGGGGAATAGATCCCAGAACCATGCCGGTGGGACGGGCTATGTTGGGCCTTTTCGAAGCCGACAAGAAGCTGAAGTCGAAAGCATTGATACCTAATCCAGCAGAAACCAAACCGTTCTATTTCAATGATCAGAAGCAAGACGTTTCGGCAGCTGAGAATGGTGGTGTAATTGAAGTCAGGGTCTTCAGAGCTTGTGGAAAAAGGCGTCGGGGTGCAATCCTTGACGTATTCAGAGGTGGTCAGGATAAGTATGGAATTGAGTAAGTTTATGCAGCAAGTTCGTTTTAATTTTGAGTACTTACATAAATTCAGGTTCAAGTCCTCTGGGCTTCTTGAAAAGAGCAGGTACAAGTATTTCGACTGGCTCTTGGAGGACCCAAAAGATGACCCCTTTGTGACGTTCCGCTTCCACTACCGCAGCTGGGACTCTCTCGAAGCCTTACAGCTTGTTCCTGGGATGTGCAACCGTGAATTATTGCCAGCATTCTCCATAAAGAACAGCCTCAGCACACCCAACCTCTCTGGAGCTAACCCCACCCTAACTGGCTCTGGAGTTATCAGTAGATTCAACAAAGCCACAACTAACAATGGACCAGAGCACCGCAACCGCTCACGGAGTCCGGGTGCTTCATTGCCAAATAAAAAGATTGAGAACACCATCTTTGGTCAAATGGTCGCCAAAGACACTGCTCTTTCACAGGTCCAGTCCAAGCAGGCGACACAGCCAGATGTTAATAAGCTAAAGAAGAAGTTACAGATTCCCACATCGATATTTTCCACCGCAAACAAAGAAAAGTGGATAAGCCAGGAGAATCTCCAGCTGGACGTAAGGCCTCTCCCAGAGCCTCCCGCAGGACAGTCTCATGGTAGAAACCTTTCTGCGTCTTCAATGGCATTCTCCATTGCGCCGTCTTTACGGTCTTGGGCAGATGGTGATTGGAGTGAATCCCCTGAACCAGTATTATGTGTTGCAGCCGAACTACAAGTCCTCCACAGCCTCCAGCTTAACCAGTATGGGCGCAAAAAGTCAATCTTCGATGATGATAGTACTACCTCCAGTGCTAGCGATCACGATGATGCGTACGGCGATATTGACCAATCCTTTCAACTTTCTCTTTCTGCACCACCGGTCTATCCGAAGAATAATATGTCTCCGGTTAAAAGGTCTCCAGTCAAAAAGCCAACAGCTCGCGGTCTCCCTCTTTCGACCAGTGCTATCTTTCCTCCTCCAGCCATGAGACGGGATAGAATGCGGCGCATCCGTTTCAAGGACCAAAAGCGAGGTTCCAACTCCCCTACGGAAGGCTATGAAGCTGACCATGAAAGCCTCCCTAAATATCGTGGCTCAGGTCGTCCTAGCACCAGCGGTCTGCCTGCCAACATGAAATTATCTCAGGTTCCACCTCGGCTACTTGCTGTCAACTCTGGTTTCAGCTTCGAGTTCAACAACCCCTGTGAAGCTGATGGAAGTAGCGAAGGTAATGAGGACGCCACTCTCAGAATCAAAAGCGGAAAACCTGAAGAGCGCAGCGGTGAAGGCCCCAGAAACCAAAACAGAGAAAGGAAATGAAGATAACTATAAATCCCCAGGCACTCATGGTTCCCGTTAACTAGTTTCTGCTGTTTCAGCCAGTAACACTAGTTGTTCTACGTGAGAAATACGGGCATGCTTATCGTGTTTCGCTACGATGCAACAGCAAGGTTTTGTGAGAGTACTATTTGCCGATTGCTATACCACTGCCGTCAAGTGAATTGGATTTTTCAGATACTACCCAGCTCCATTCTTCACGCGATTCTGTACTACTATTGATTTCTAGGCCACGGCAAGGCAGATAGCTTCTCGTTTGTTTTTCAGGTTGGCAACTGCGCCAGTGTATAATAGAATCCCAATACCGAATGACCAGGTTCTATTACTCATGCTGCCCAAAAGTGTTCGTAGAGCTTGTACATGGCAATGAACAAAATATTGGCAATTATACGTGTTAACAGATAATCGAGATCTTTGATAATACTACTCGGCACAGTGACTATGAAAACTCTCAAGCAGCACAAGAACTAGGCATTCAGATTCGTCATGTTCCCTTTTAACAGATAATCCTACTTAAATCTTATTCTTCGATGCGTCTTCCTTCATACCCTGTTGAACCCAGGCCCTGGTCTCCTCTGCCTGCTTCCTCTTCTCTTCAGGGGTGGTAGCAATTTTGGGCTTTGGGACTGGTACATCGCTCCCCTTTTTGACTGCTGGTCTGGCTTGCATCTTGTCACGCCACGCCTTTAGAGTTGGGAAATCGTCGATCTCGATTCCCGCCCAGGCCGCAGACGACTACAAATCATTAGCTCTTTCACTACAAATGAAATTATACTCACAATCCAGCCAATGTGAGCAATGTCAGCAATGGTGCATCGGTCACCAACAAGGTATCCCGACGACGACTTCTCTAGGTGCTTGTCCAATACGCCATACAGACGACGGGTCTCGTTCTGGTATCGATTTATTCCATATTCGATAGTCTCGGGGGCATAATTGGTGAAGTGGTTCGATTGCCCTTGCATAGGACCAACGCCAGCATTCAAGAAAAATAACCAGTTGTTGGTCTCATAATACTCTCTTGTACCTTTCGGATACGAGATCTTGTGCTCTTTATCATACTCATCAACTAAGTACTGCTGGATGCTGCCGGATTCAAAGAGGTTGATTGTCTCGCCATCAGTGAACTTATCCGTGAGAGCGGGGATCCGACCATTCGGGTTTATTGCTAGAAAGGAGTCGGTTTTTTGCTCCATCTTTCCCAAGGCAACATGTGTGACTTTGTACGGGAGCCCGAGCTCTTCGAGGGTTATAGAGATCTTGACTCCATTGGGAGTTTGGGATGTATAGAGATGGATATCTGGAGTGGGCGCCATTTTTAAAGACTTGTGGAGGAGAAAGACGAGAGTGGAAAGATTTGTGAAGAGAAAATGATGTATCAGTCTGGCTAGCGGAAATTCGATGGGGAGAGAGCCTCTTCTTATAGTTCTGAGCCACCGTTCTCCTTTGATATTCCTTCCTGCTCAATAACTCTTCTAGCTTACATGATCTAGAGACGTCATTACCCCTCCCTCGGCATTATCAACACTGATTAGAAATCAACTAATAATCCTACTGCATCCTACCACATACGCGGACGGGGTCTCTATTGGACCGATTATGACCATCATGTTGTAGAACTGAAGATTATATCTCTAAGCCAAGGTTTCAAGCTTGCATGTCGAGTATATAATGTTTATTGTGCTTAGTTTAGTACTGCCGTCAGCATTTAACACAATACGTCACGTGATGATCGGCCATGTATGCGGGCGCGGCGACGCTAGCAGCACTAATGGCTTCATGGTATTTCTAAAAAGCTTCGCCTTCCATCCTGAACCCATAATCTAACTTTATCCAACTTCATCACTACGTCTCTATCCTCGAACGATATCGATAGCACAAGATGGCGTGGCGTAACCAAGGCACAACAGGCTCAAACAACATTCCTTTGGGAACCAAACGACGCTTTGGAGATGACAATAGTCCGTCAGGTGGCAATCACGGGGACTATAACCAGCCGCCTTCGTCAGGCCATGGCGATGGCTACAGGCGTGGCCGTAGCCCGGAAAGACGTAAGTGTGAACTCGACTCCTGTTTTACAAACCCAAATCTAACTGTGCTTGAAGGCCCTGAGCCAAATAATGATGCAGGCAAACCGGTCCGCAAGAAGAGAAACCGCTGGGGCGATGCAACCGACAACAAAGCTGCAGGTCTGATGGGGCTTCCGACCGCCATCATGGCGAATATGACCAGCGAGCAGCTTGAAGCATATACGCTCCATCTTCGAATTGAGGAGATTAGCCAAAAGCTCAGAATCGATGATGTCGTGCCAGCCGACGGCGACAGGTATATTTGTCCCACTTGCGGCATATCTGAACGAATAACTGACATGAAACAAAGATCACCGTCTCCAGCACCACAATACGACAACTTCGGTCGCCGTGTTAATACCCGCGAGTACAGATACAGAAAGAAGCTGGAGGACGAGCGCCATAAGCTGATCGAGAAGGCCATGAAGGTCATTCCTAACTACCATCCGCCACAGGACTATCGCCGCCCAACTAAGACACAGGAAAAGGTCTATGTGCCAGTCAATGATTATCCAGAGATTAATTTCAGTATGATTGCTAACCCTCTAACCTTTCTAACACTCTTAACCTCCATCCCCTCCCCCTTTTTCATTGCCGTGTGGCATTGCGTGCTGCATTCTAACCTCAGGGTGCGACGCCTTGCCATCACTAACCTGTCAACCACGTTTTGCTCTAAACTTTTGACCATAAACTAACACTTAGCTTTTTTTTCCTACTAAAGTTGGCTTACTTATCGGCCCTCGTGGAAACACGTTGAAAAAGATGGAGACTGAATCGCAGGCTAAAATCGCCATCCGTGGCAAAGGATCCGTGAAGGAAGGAAAAGGCCGTTCGGACGCCGCCCACACCAGCAACCAGGAGGAGGATCTCCATTGTTTAATCATGGCAGACACCGAAGAGAAGGTGAACAAGGCCAAGAAGCTGATTCACAACGTCATTGAAACTGTAAGTGTTGCCTCACATTTTTTTCCAATTCAGCATCTAACAGTTTATAGGCCGCATCTATTCCGGAAGGCCAAAACGAGCTTAAGCGCAACCAACTGCGTGAGCTTGCGGCCCTTAACGGTACGCTCCGTGACGACGAGAACCAAGCTTGCCAGAACTGTGGTCAGATCGGCCACAGGAAGTACGACTGCCCTGAGCAGCGCAACTTCACTGCAAACATCATCTGCCGAGTCTGTGGCAACGCTGGTCACATGGCCAGAGACTGCCCGGACAGACAGCGTGGCGCAGATTGGCGCAACGGGCCTCCTGCCCCTGGAGGAGGCCCTGGCGGATTTGCTGGCCGTCCTGCAGCTGGCCGAATTGGCGCTGGCGATGCAGTTGATCGTGAATACGAGGTAAGTCAATTCTTGAATTTCCAGTATGCTTAGCAACAACTAACAAACCTTTAGCAACTTATGCAAGAATTATCTGGTGGTGCTCCTGCACCGAATGGCGAAGCACCCCAACGTATCGAAGCTGGCCCAGGTAGTTATGACCAAGGACCTCCTGCTGATGCCGGCGATGTCAAGCCATGGCAGCGTGGCCCGACTGGTGCTGCCGCCCCATGGCAACAGCGGGGCCGCGGCGGCGATGATTACAACTCGCGTGACCAGGCACCTAGCGGCGGTGCGGCCCCATGGGCTCGGGATCGTGGCGGACGCTCTGATGACAGAGACCGCCGCGGTGGTGGTGACTACTATGGTGGCCATCATGACAACAGCTACGGCGCCCCGCCGCCACCACCACCTGGTGGTGCTGCTCCTTGGCAGTCGGCTCCCCCACCTCCTGCTGCTGGCCCAGGCTACGGCGGATACGGTGGCTACGCAGCACCAGGACACGGCTCTGGTTACCCTCCTCAGCAAGCAATGGGTGCTCCTCCTGGGCTTGGCTCTTCAGGTGGTGCTCCACCACCACCAGGCGCTCCTCCTGGACTTAACGCTCTCTTAGCGCAATATGGTGGAAGCCCTCCTCCACCTCCTCCGTCTGGAAGCGCGCCACCCCCACCTCCTCCTGGTTCTGCTCCTCCGCCTCCTCCACCAAGCGATCAACCACCGCCACCACCACCAAGCTATTAGACTACAGACTAGTAGCTTGCGGGACAAAGGGACGACTAACACGTCGCATAGGTGATTAACACTGACAGAAAGACTGATTCTAACTGATGCAGCTCTGGCTTTAAGAGTTCAATGGATATTTTTGTTTCGCGTTGTTTCTAAATTAGTAGTAATTCGAATTCAACGTTGTATTTTTATTTCTCGAAATAGCTCGATTTGCAGCTAAATATAAGCATAAATCACATCGTGACAGTGTAATATACAGTATGACAGGCTAATCTCACATGGTGCGAAGGCCAGGGAACACATCCACCAACATGCCAAGGATGGTGTAATCCAGAGAAATGTCTCCGTTTGTATCTGACCCTGATAGTCTAAATCCAAGACCTTTCGCTCCAGGTTTGAGCGTGTATGAGCGAAGCTGGAGTTGCTGTGATCGGCCGCCCTAGGATGATGGGGTACTATACAGTGCAGTAGTCCCCGAAACGGTCCCACCAGAATCAGTATACATTGCCCTGAATCCCTACTGTGATAATTTCTCAGACGAATCCCACAAGTTTTGTCTGATGTACATTATCCATAGATTGTTAACAAGTATCATGATGGTTTAAAGACAGTCCGCATCTCTCCCAGGCTGTGGCTGGTGGCTCCTTCCTTGGAAGTTGCGGCTCCTCGGTAGGCTGTACCTTCCATACTAGGGGTTTAAAGGCACGGAAGGCAACGCACCTTCCCACTTTCCCACTCCTTAGTACCATTCCATTACCCTTGTACTTACAAGTTCATTGGAAATACAACGCGAATTGTTTGATACGGCGAGTTAAAGAAACACATAGATTCCGTTTCAAAGGCTCTGAGTCCCTGGAAACGGCTGCTTGCAGATCGCCCAGAGCCTCAACCGACGCGTTAATCCAGCCTCCCTCATCTTGGGCGGTCTGGGGCTGAGAACTAGGCTTCGTCGACACACCAACGGAGACGGATCCATGAGTGAAGGAGAAGAGACACCTGCATTGCAGGTCATAGTCCTGGTGAGTCTAGTGCAATTGTTTGCTTTCAGCGTCTCTCCTGGTCTTGCTTCTCGATGGGAACCCTGCCTTGCATGTTGTCTCACGGCCAGCCCTATATGTGGGGAATGGCTAATTTGGTGAACTATCCGTTTGACCACATCCCGTCTTGTCTCAATCCTACTCTTGATCTTAGTCCCCCTGCGTTTGCCTTCCAATATTGCGCTGCTCAATCCTGTTGTCGTTCCCATTCCAGTTGGCACGTGACTTGCCACCTGCCAGACGATGATGGCTGTTGGTGTCGCCCCTGTTCAATCTTGACTTCAATCGCTCCATGAGATACCTCGAAATGATTTCTTATGGGCATCATGCTAATCCATCCACTTAGGGGTCCACAGGTGGTCCGCTAGAGGATAATACAACCGCATTCCTCGTGCGTTCCTTGTCTGAGGACTGGAAGAAGGGCTCCGTCTTAGCTGTTGATGCCGGAACCCATCTGTCGAGCATCGCAAGAATCATAGAGGAGCATCTTCCAGGGCGAAAGCAGGTAGACGAAAAGTCCTTCCTTACCTCGGGAGCATTCTCTGGCCTTGAGCTGCCTCACATATCGGCAAAGGCGAATGCAGGCCATATAACCAAGGCCATCGTCGATACCTATCTCATCACTCATCCACATCTAGACCATATATCCGGCTTGGTTGTAAATACTGCAGCATTACCGGGTGTCAGGCCAAAGCGTATTGCAGCACTTCCTTCGACGATATCAGCGTTCAAGAATCACATATTCAACAATGTCATCTGGCCCAACCTTTCAGACGAAAATGATGGCGCTGGACTCGTTACCTACATGCGTCTTGTGGAAGGAGGATCAGCAGCCCTTGGTAATGCGGAAAGTAGAGGCTATGTTGAGATATGCGAGGGACTGAGCATCAAGACTTGGTCAGTCAGTCATGGCCACTGTATGGAAAACCACTGGCATCGAGGTTCATCCGTCGGACATAGCCGCATTTCCCATGATAGCATTGATGGAACTGCTATGCAGCGATCTTCCTCAAACTCTACACCAGCGCCTCGCCAACAACAATACTCATCGCATCCAGCCGGTCAAGACGGTATATGCGTTTATGACTCTTCGGCCTATTTCATCCGAGACATCAAGACCGGGCGTGAAGTATTGATTTTCGGCGATGTCGAACCTGACAGCATTTCTCTTTCGCCTCGCAATCACCAGGTCTGGACCGATGCCGCTCCAAAGATAGCAAATGGCACACTCAAGGCAATCTTTATTGAGTGCTCATACGCTGACTACCGGTCTGACGATACTCTTTTTGGGCACCTCGCACCCCGATTCCTGATAGAAGAACTTATAGCCTTAGCTAGCCACGTCGACATTGCTCGCACAGCGAGACTCTCGTCCGGCTCCCTTGGCGCAGCTCAATCCCCGAGCGATCTTCGTAAGCGGAAGCGTGTATCTCAGACCTTGTCGGCAGCAGGCTCATCCACAGGGTTGGAGGCAGATATGCCAAGTCCGGCGATGAAGCCGGAATTATGGACAGCAAGAGAGGTCATTCGCAAAGCCCACAGAAAGGATGAGGCGAATGTGAGCCCTCACACCCAAGCCCTACCACACCCACCGAATGCTTCACTTATGCAACTGGATTCCTTCGAGTTAGATGCGCGTAGCCCACGACCATCCGGACGGGATATATCTCAGCCACAGTCACCTTTTAGTCCTAAACATAAGCCATCCCAGCCCTCTCAGACCTCTCAGGCCTCTCAGACCCCATTAACTTCTCTGGGAGGAGACATGGCCAACATGGCCCCTGAACTAAGCGGTAACGGCATGAAGACGCTCTTCGGGAAGCCTAACTTGGAGGGGATGTTAGAGGGGTTGAAGATTGTCATTATCCACGTCAAGGACAACTTAGACGACAATGAACCTGCTGAGGATACGATATTGAGAGAGATGAACGAGTATGAGCAGCAGGAGAAGCTGGGATGCCACTTTGAGATTGCAAGAGCTGGGATGAGTGTACTGCTCTGATTGAGCTGATTGTTATATTTGTAATGGAGTACACGGGGCGTTGGGAGAGAGGTATTTTGGCAAAGCGAGGTGGCGTGATGATGATGGTTTTTGCTATAGAGGGGGTTATTGTAAGACCGAAAGTTGGCAACATTGTTCGTACCAGAGAGGCTGGAGTGTTGTTTATTGATGCACAAAGTATTACATAGGAGTTTGCACAGGAGTTACGCCTAGTACTATACAACAACTGGTGCTGCTTGCGACCAAAGTCAACTTTTTACCATTGCTCGCACGCTTTATAAACCCTCGCTTTATTGTTCCAGAATCTGGAACTGGCGGGGTTTTAGATATATCACTTCCGTAGCATACAATACAACACGATATATACAGCACAGTAAACTTGATTTAGAGCAATTGATTTCGATATTTATTGGTATACGCCAATATCAATAGTCCCGCTCTACAAAAATGCACAGTTGTCCATAATCTCTTATTGGTATACATTTATCATACGAGTTTCCATCCTATCCATCACGCCAAAACCCCACCCTAGCAAAACAAAGCACTCCCCCACCCCGAAACCCCAACACCCCTAAAATGCACTATAATACCCACCTCTTACTAGCCCATCACACCCTAGGAAGACGGAGCCGTGCTTCTCCGTGCCAGTGGAGACGTAGAAACAAGCGGCGACCCAGGCGACTTCAACGGTGGGGTCACAGCTTCTGCCGGTGCCTTTCCTTGAGCGACTGTAGATGGAGCTTTCCTTCGTGGTCCTCTTGCACGGCCCTTAGTCATGTGGGTCAACTGTGGCCCGTCTTGCTTCTCAGGCCCCTTGGATGCCAACCGACTCGCAGTTTCCAAATTAGAGCTCACTTTTCTGCTTGACCCTGCTGGCTTTGGAGGCGGGCCCCTGGCCAGCATGCCAGCCAGGGCTGGGTTGAAACGCCCGGCAAGTTTGGCCCCCGCGTCAAGCTTTCCTTGGGATGCCGCAGGAGAACCAGGCCCTAGTGATATTTTGGGCTTCGGAGAATTGTAAGGTAGGTTGTTTTTTGATAGAGTGTCGGATAAACCTTTGCCAGAAACAGTGTTGCCTTGGGTTCCAGGTGCTACAGTGTTGACCCTTCCCAGATTCGCCTTCTTGAGCAAGGCTTCGGGAAGCTGGGTCTGAACAGGGGGGAGTGTAGACTGTGTAGCACCGACGCCCCCTAGCTGTGCCTTCTTGCGCAAGGCTTCGGGAAGCTCAGCTTGAATTGGGGTCGTGGACTTCGTAACTCCAGTCCCCTCTAATTGTGCTTTCTTGAAATCCTCCTTCTTTTTCAGGATAGCATCCTTAAATTCGTCCCTACGCTCGGCTTTCTTCGGGCCACCAGTTAAGCTTAGCCCTGCTTTCCCACGAAGTATATTGTCCTTGAGCTCATCAGGGGCGACATAATTTTGAGTCTTGGTGCGTCGAAGCTGGCCGAACACATTCTTGAATTCCGGTTCATCTTTGCTGGGAGCAGGTGGAAGCACCTGTTTTGGCTTTGAATTCAAAATGAAGTCCTTTTTAGGCGGGGTTTGTGGTTTGGTTTTACCAATGACCGGCGATGAGGGTTTAATAGCTAGAGGCGCCGTAGGCTTGGTTTCGGTCTTTTTAGGAGTGGCTGTTTCTAAAGCTTCAAGCGATGCCTTGCCTGACACGCCACCGTTGTCGGTCTTTGTTTTGGGAGTAGCATCCGATGCTTTGTTTACCTGGCTTATTGGAACAGTGCCGCTTGAGAACCCTGCTGGTAATCCTCCAACACTTAAAGGTTGCGCAATTCCTCCCATTGGTGGCGATCTCATCAAGCCTCCAATGCTCACCTGGTGTTTGTGGCCTAACGGCTTATTCGATGTTTCTCCTGTTGGAACCTTTTGTTTGGCTTTGCTAATTTCTGACATCCAACTAGGCTGTTGAGGAGGAGGGGCTGGCTTCGGCTTCGGAGAGTCTGGTTTGTTTAAAGCGCTTTCAAGCCAGCTAGACTTCGTGGGGCTCCATCTGCGCGTGTCTGTGGACTTGGGAGGGCTTGGAGGAGGGCTCACACTGAGTGCTGAGTTCTCTGGCCGATCAACCTGCCTCCCAGAATGTGCATCCGATGACGCTTGAAGTTGCGAAGCTGGTATACCTGGCTTTACAAAGTCCCCGTCTAGAATGACTTCCGATTCAGAGCCCCATTGAGCGCCTGGTCTTCCTTGGCGGGCGCCCTCAAGGCCGACTGTAGCATTGCTATGGCTAGAACTTGGCCTAGATATTGGAGTGTTCTCTCGACTCAAACTGCTGGGGCGTGCTTCTCGCGTGGGAGAATTCAAAATGTTTCCCAGTGGTGTCCTCGAAGAAAGATCCACGCTATTCCGATTACTTGCGGTAGAGTTGCCGCGAGTCAAGCCGCCAGGTGACTGTACACTCCATCTTTTATTCACACTGTCAGATCTTTTCATCATTGCACTCTGAACGAACCCTCCCATCCCTTTAGTGGGTGATATTGGCCGGTCCATCCTCTCTGGCGAGATGCGGCCCTGGGAAGGAGACATCGCGAGATTGCGAGTAGAAACTGGTTGGTCTATATTGCCCTCCGATGCAGTTATTGATCCTGGTTGAGGAAATCGTTGTGCACTGGTTGCGGGCATTGGTGACACAAATCCAGTCCGACTGGTCGTGGAGCTATATGCGCTGCTCTGCGTTATACTGTCTTTGGTAGATGAGCTAGCTCTCGAAGGTGAAGATGATCGATCGATATCCGCTTGTTTTGTTTCCTTGACATTAGAACTATCACTATACTCTCTCGTCGGAGTACGCGACATTCCTGGTAATCCCACGCGGTGGATGCTTGGTACGGCTTCGTCTGCGTCCTTAACCTCGACTTGCGTCTTTCGATATGCGGCAGAGCCTTGCCCTCTGTCAGAAGTTTGTCGGAACCATGTAGGATCTTTCGCCGCAAGCGATTGTGCTATTTCGTTCCGGTCCATTGGTGCGGCATCCCTCGACGGAGGTTCGGACTTCTCAATTGGAGAACGTGTCGTGGGTTCGGCTGCAATCATGGAAAATGGTCGCGTGCTTGATCGAACCGGTGATTGTGAATTTGGCCTACGCTGCCACGAAAGAGTTGGGCTTCTTGACGGCATCGCGCTTGAGGGCGACGCCCTGACAGATATGGTATGAACAACGTTCTTGTCTGGGACATCGCTGCTGCGACTAATTGGTGATGGGCCGTAATCTTTCGTAGGTGATTCTTCGCCAGTTAGGCGGCCCATGGTGTCGTCGAGCAGTTGCTCTCGATTTGATAATTGAGACGGGCGTTGAAGTTCTCGGGATGGAGTCAAGGCTGCTTTCGGCGATTGGGTGCGAGTTTCAGCGGAGGCAGGTTTATATGGCGGTGGGGTATTGGTAGGAGAGTCCTTTATTGGGGATATAGATCTAGCGCGTTCTGTGTTGTTGTGGTGTCAGTGAGACAGGACAAGACTATAGGTAACGTTGAGTGTGAATGCAAAGACAAGGGCAACACGAACCAGCCCGACGGGCTTGCCGTTCTTTTCGTCCCTGCAGAATCTCCTCCTCCAGTTTTTTGTTCCGCTCTTCATCCTCCTGGTCGCGCTTGATGCCCAGTTCCTGTATACGCTTCAAGAAGTCATTTACATCCTCGGCATCGGTCTCTGCTGTCGAAGGCATGGTGGGAAAAGGTGACGGGTGTTTTGGTGACGTTCGTAACACATTCGCAGCTACAAAGCAATGCAGTTGAATACACAAAATAGCAGGCTGTTCAAGTATGACGGCAGCGCTCGCTATAAGCTGAAGTCTTTCACAAAGTTGACAAGATGCGATCAAGAGCTGGAAGCAGCGGTCGGGTGTACTTGCTTCAATCTATTTAGGTTCGATTTAAGCGTCACTAATCGCAGGTCTTGGCAAAAGGCCGCCCGCAGGACACCGATCAGCATCCGACATAGGACTCGATCCAAGAATCGCGCACACAGGCAATATACAATATTTCTGTGTCCTGATACTATATTCACCAATATATCTCGTAAAATTGGTATTTTTTGTGCTCCATTCCACCACCGACTCTGGTGTTCCTCAATTGTCTGAAATGCACCCCTCCATGTTTTGTTTATGTCTTGGCCATTTATCCCTTAGCGCGAGGGGAGTTGTTGCTGGCGCGTTGTCCCTGGACAACCCCCGAGATATTGTACGACTACGGAGCCGCTTGGCCTTATAGCTCCAGAGCCTGTTTCGTCCACTCCAGTGGATGTCGTCCGGGTAGCCATGACAACAAGAACTACTTGAATTATATGGCTCAGAACAAGAAAAGTCTGGCTTTGGCATCGTTAACCACCCAAGCTAGCCCTTCGTTGAGGTTTGTACCTGTAACGGCGCTGCAACGTATGATGTGCCATTTATGCGATCGGATCTCATCTAGCCGCAAGCCCTAACCATGATATTCTGTTAGCGGATGACTTTCGACATACGAAATAAGTATCGTGCGCAAACCTCTTGGATTTCTGTCTCATCCATGCAGCCGTTGACATCTGTCTTGTTCGCGAAGACAAGGAGACTCGCTCCAGAGAGTCTCTAGGAAAACAATGGTGTCAGCGTTGGCACGAACACGGGGTAAAAGGGGATCGCTGACGAACTTCCTCTTGCAACAGGCCTTGTAATTCGGTCCTGCAGTCTTCAACACGCAGACGATCAGTCGCATCAACTACCCAGATAAGGGCGTCGGTCTTTTCAAAGTAATTTCTCCAGTATGATCTCAAAGTTTTCTGGCCACCAACATCCCCTCAACGTCAAAGTTAGTGTTGGGACTGTTCACAAGAAGTGGGCTGGAAATCTAACAAATATTAAGTTTATATCTTATAACCAATGTCAGCAAAAATACAAGGGTTTTCCATCTCTTTTACTCACCCCTCATAATCTATGGTCTTAATAATGAAGCCAAGAGTTGGGCTGACGCTATTAACATCTTCTCCCATGATCTTCTTCACAATGGTCGTTTTCCCTGCATTGTCAAGACCACTACAAACGTCAGCATCTGGAAAGAAACAAAGCAAAAGTGTTCGTACAGCATCAATATGCGCATCTCTTTGTCCTTCAAACGCGCTTTTCTTAATATGGACAACATCGTTGTCGTCCGGTGGTTGAACCTTTTGAGTTAATAACTTTCATGCTCAGGAAGTTATTAACACAAGCGATGTGGTCACGTGGCACATGCTCAGTGCCTCAGCCGCGACCATTCAGTTACAGCAACTGTGCTAGAGTTATAATTCCACAGCGTCCATTTTTAAATGTTCATTGAAGAATCTCTAAGACAAGGCAATGATGTCATAAATGCAATTGTTATAATAATTTATTATTTTTAACTTGTAATCTGTAAGAGTTGCTTTGTTCGATTGTAAATTTGCCAGCGGGCTATGATAACCAGCTCATCCTTGCCAGAAATTAATCAAAGTGAATTTGAGTCTATCATGGTTATCGGGATTATCGCCGAGTGAATTTGGGTATACGGGAGTTATTGCTTGATTGGGGCGGCTTTTTCAAGTGATAGCGAATACCGCTACTTTCTTTGTCAACGAACTCAATCTGAGAACATTCAACCAACTTCTCCTTCACAAAGTTTTACGGTTTACAAACACTTATCACCACATACGAAGAAGCTCTTAATTTCTACACCACACTTTCCATACCGGAGCAATCCTGTTGCAATGCATCCAAATCCAACACCGCCTCACTTAAGGCGACCGAATCCTACACAGAATCAAGAAGTCTCAACACAAGCTGCCGCAATGAAGCTCAATCCAATACCGCCTCATTTAAGGCGAGCCAGTGCCGAACAGAATCAAGAAGTCTTGACAAGAGCCACGGTGGTGCAATCCAGTCCAATTCCGCCTCATCAAAGTCACCCCAGCACAGCGCATACCCAAGAAGTCTTGACAAACGCTCAGTGGGTTCCACCTCACATGAGGAAACAGCGAAAGGATCAAAGTGTTTTGGAGGCGTCCCATCCCAAGCTGGACCGCAGTCAAGAATCACACGTTTCCGAAGTTGAAACTCTGGTAAAAGAGAACATCCTCACAGAGATCGAGACAACCGAACCAGTGGCGCAATCTACAAGAACGGATAGTACGGGGAGTATAGAGCCACAGACACCCGTAATGGCTTCTACCAAGGTGCCTATACCCCATCCTCAAACAGAAACCAAGCTGGTTGTTGCTACTCCTGAAGTCGACTCCGAAGTGAAGTTGGCACAAACCCCAAACCATAAACTACCCCCTCACCTGCGAAGGGGAAATATGATCCAGACACCCAAATCTTCTACGGATAACAGACAGATCTTCAAACAAAGCCCAATCTCACCACCGATAACCCCCCCTGGCGATGCCAATGTGTCTCAATTCAGCTCGGATCAGATACCAGTTCAACAGCAGAAAGGCTTGCCAAGCTCTATGGGAGATACCGTCTCGCCAGGAGAACCAAAATGGCAAGGGAATGTTGTATCCTCAAGCAACAGTCCTCTCTCGGCAGTTGGATCCAGGGCATCGTCGAATAGACTGGCTTCTCCTATTGCAATCACTTCATCGAGCCCTAGTTCAGCTGGGTCACCAATTCATATTTTCCCATTCCATCTCAGGAAAACCCAAGTTTCAAGCTCTCTTGCCAATTCCAAAGTCACCATCAGGGAGGATTGTACGGAGATTTATGATAATCCTGGCCTTCATTCTCGAAATGAGTCAGGAGCGTCCCGAGCTGGTTTTGCTTCGATAAAATTGCCTCCCCATCTTCGACGAGAATATTCAATTCCGGTCGAAAGCACTGGGCTTCTTGCTGAACAGAAGGGCCCGACACCGCCCAATGCAAATACAGCCGCCTCTCAAGAAAACGGCTCCCAGCCGCTGAGAAAGGAAGCAAAGCCACATTATATCCCACCACATCTTCGAGGCAAGAAATCGCATACGCAACAGTCTTCTGATCTGAACAAGTCAACGGTTGCTTTGATTCCAAATGAGAGTACTTCGGGCCATTCTTCCAATACTGTAGGAGGTGTACCCCTGGGTGATAATCAAAAGGCTTCAACAACGGCAAAAACCGAACTTGAGGCTGTTACAACGCAACCGCCCCAGCCAAGCTCCAATTCAGCTCAGTTAAATGTCTCTCAAGAAGAAGAGTACGACACTGGATTTTTTCTTCATACCGATGGCGGGCCTGCCAAAGACGTGGTACCCAGAGTTTATTCGGATGCTTCTATCAAAACTCACTCTGCCCAAAAAGACGGAAGTGATGCTTTGAGCGAGTGGGCAGATCTTCGAAAGCCCGGTCCGGTCAAGAGCCTGTGTATCAGCGATGACGATTTTGAAGACGACGCTTCGGTGAAGAAGTTTATTGGCGCAGCGTTGGCCGAATGCCCTGGCGATGTTATTAGACTCAACAGTCTTAATGACAATTATATCTATACCACAGATTCCGCAGGCCAAGAATGGCATTTGGATGTCACGGAAGAGTTTCTGGACGCCTTTGTGAAGGTTTGGCAAAAGAAACTCCCGGAAGAAGTTATTGTTGTCGATGTCAAAGCGATGGGATTCACAGACAGCTTCCCAATTAACATCAATTCGTTTATGGATGTACTTGAACATCCTGAATCTTTTCCAAGTAAGTTCTTTTGCCATATATCGAGACTGTTTCTAATTCTTTCCAGATCCCTGTACAGATAATAAAGAGAAGCAAGAGAGATGGACTTCAAATACTGCAATGGAGCGAAGACAGACGCGGAAGCTGGCTATCGCTCGGCGTCGCCAGCGGGGGAAGAACACATATTTTGTACCAAACATGCAACTGGGTGTCCAACCTTTCGACTGGGGAGAAGCTGCCGTCCCGGAAAAACCATATATCGCCATACACGTCCGCCCGGCAGAGATGAAAGACGTTCCTGGCATTACAGCAATTTACAATCAATGGGTCTTGAACTCTTTCATTCCTGAAGACCAGCAGCCGGTTACTGAAGAGGACATCAAGGCTGTCTTCGAGGCTACACGAAAATGTTCTTACCCGTTCATTGTCGCCATTCGAGGAGACCCTCCTGTCGGAAGCCGTGTCGCAAAGTCCAATGAGGTGGTTGGATTCGCCATGGTAGAAAGGTGTCTGGGATTCGGTGGTGCCTTCAATGGCCGATCCCGATCCACCGCGACGATTCAATTCTACGTCCATCGAGAATGCTTGCGACATGGAATCGGCGGGCACTTACTTGACCAGCTCTTGAGGCGTGTTTCTAGATTACACGTGCCGTTTTCTGACCGCAACCTTTGGATCAACCCCACCAGGGACGCTCTTTACGAACAGATCTCGAACAGATTCCACCAGATTGTGGTCAATAGACCCGTCGACAAGCCAAATGACCCGGACTTCATGTGGTTTGACGCGTTCATGAAAAAATACAAGATTTGGGAGAGGCATCGTACTGTATCTGTAGCTCAGAAGCCTCGTACAACTTCGGGGCCAAGTGCAACATTCCTCGACATTGTCACATATCAACATGAGGCAGAACTTGAAGTACGTGTGGAGGGTTAATCGACGTCTATGTTCAGAAAATCTTCCAATTGGGCAGAGCTATTCCGCGGTTGTCGGTGCCCAGCATCGATGCGTTACTTTCTGACTTTTCTTCCAGTCGGAACCTTGTCTCCGGCCTGGCTCTGCGCACAAAAACGCCGAGATGCTTGCTATATCTTATTCAGGAGGGTTTTGGATGGGGGTGAAGAATACGCTCGATAGAACTCCTCATGACCGTGGCTATGATGGCATGCGTGGCCACATTCAAGTTACTTGGTTCTCATACTCAAATTGCCTTAATGTACAACATATGAATACAGCCCTTTTAAATCCCATCGATTACTTGTCCCAAAATTTTAATAAAATCTTGATCGTCAATGCGATTGTGCTGTGGCAGTAGAGTATTTTGGGAGATGGAAGACCCCTGTATTATCATCCCATTTAATTGGTCGATGCCTTTTACCGCCTTTCGCAGCTACCATTTTCTGCCCGAAAAAGTCTCGACAACTAGAATTCATCCAAGCCTGCACCTCATTTCTGCAAGGCCCGCCCAATAAATCCTCAATCTTCGACACAATGGTTAGCGCTAAGAAGATAAAGGCTCAGGACGACTTCGTCCTGACTCTGTCCGATAACGAAGAGGATGCGAATCCCGAACTTGAAGTAGTCCCCGCATCCAGCGAATCGAAGAACAAGAAGCGCAAACGCGACAATGCTGCCGGTAGCAAAGACAAGTTAAAAAAGGCAAAGAAGGACAAGAATGTGGAAGTAGACGAAGAGGAGGAGGGAAATGACGGGGTTTGGGGCACCAAGGAGGATGATGATGGAGCTATGGATTCCGATTTCGAGTTTCAGCTTGAGGCAGCGGACGCAGCGGGCGAAATGGAGGAGTTCGAAGGGTGGGGGTTTGAGAGTGCTAAGAAGAGCTTTGCTGGTGGAGCGTCGAAGGCCGGCGACAAGAGGGCTGTTGATATTGACGAGATTATTGCCAGGAGGAAAGCCAAGAAGGGCGGCAACGCTGAGGAGGTCGACGATGTTGAGAGCAACGATGAGGATGCTGTAATGCACAACGACGAAGACGAATTTATGGCGGAGGATGGCTTCGGTATGGGTGTTGCTTCAGATGAAGAAGAGAGTGGAGATGAGGCCGCAGAAGACGAGGATGAGAGCATGGGAGAGGCTGGTGACGATAATGGTGATGCCGACTCTGATGACGAGTCTGTCGCTTCTGCGCAACCACACCCAGACGATATTCAGGGAGCGTCATCGGATGAGGAGTCTGACGACGACGTAGAGGAGGCTGCCCGCAGAGATGCATTTTTTGCACCAGAAGAGAAATCTGAAAAGACTGCGACGAAGGGCGAGGTTTTGTCCTTCCAGACCATGTCACTGTCAAGGCCTATCCATCGTGGTCTGGCAGCATGTGGATTTTCGGCGCCGACACCTATTCAAGCCAAGACCATTCCAGTTGCGTTACTTGGCAAGGATGTCGTCGGTGGTGCCGTGACAGGTTCCGGAAAGACCGCGGCGTTTATTGTTCCCCTCCTCGAACGTCTCCTCTACAGGCCCAAGAAAGTACCAACCAGCAGAGTCGCCATC